ACTACCCGTACATGTATGACCAATTAAGTTGGCAAATGGCTAGTACATCAACCTACTTTATATGGGTCTGCAGCAGCACATCTTTCATCTGACCCAGTGCTCAGACAACTCATCCATTCAACTGTGATCCACCAGAGCATCAGCACTGATGGACTGGCAATCGATCTTCTGCTGGTAGGGTCAATTCAAGTTTCAACTCTTGTACTGCATTCAATCCTACCATACTGGCTTCAGCTGTGCATTCAGTCTTACACTGTGCATCACCCAAATGCATCACCCAAATTCTCAGAAATTCAAGGTAATGCTTACACTGTACTTTTAGGAATGTAATGCCAATGGCCTCAAGCCATTATCCACCCCCCCCATGACTGGCATACTGAACTTCAATTAGTTGAAGCACATAATCCTCTCAAGGAGTTTTTACCCAAGCTGCTCGCATCACCTCAGTCATTAAGTCTCCATTTTTGCCAGCAACAGAACTCCCAAATCCTGCCAATTCTCCCACGGTGCAAAGAAACCTATGGCACACTTTTTGGACTTCCTGTGCACTGTACACGTACACCTAGCTTAGATCCCTGCTCTATGGCACATGTTATCTGTAGATTCCATGTGTTAACGAGCGATTCCACTAAATTACAAAAGCACAGGGTGAAGCTATCTTATCGCCTCGTATGTACAACAATTTATTGAAGTGGCGATACATAAGGGTGTAAAAATATATTTTAAAAAAAAGAACGACAGTTCAAAAGGATGATGATCTGTCTTGACTTTACGTCACTTGGACTGCCTGGTCATGCCTCTCCCTTTCTGAAAGACAAGATGAAACTGTCGAAAAGTAGCAGACGAATGCAAGGGGGAAAAATGCAAATGGCAAAGACGCTTATATTTTTGAAGCAGGAAGCCGCACACAAATAATTTACGGTAATGGAGTGAGTGCAGTGGCAGCTCAAAATGTTGAAGGACAGAGCAAAAATGGTGGCGATGCATACGCTGAGCGTAATTGGATTGAAATTTCAATTTCCCTGGCACTTTTAGTCAACAGGAAAACTTTGCCAATGCCCTAGAATGCCCACTCTGCGGCTTAAACAAAAGTGTGGCACCCAAAATATTCTAAATTGGGGAATAGAGTTTTGGCGACGCCGCGAAATTTTAAAAAGTTACAAGGCCACAAGAGGATGCTACATTAAAAGTATTCTCACAGCAGCTAGCGGCAATACATCGCAAAAATCATGAGAGTTAGTACACTGAAAAAGCATGAAAAAGGGAACCGGTGTTGGGTAGGAGCAGGGTGAGAATTCGACCTAGTTACCATTGCAAAGCAAATACTGTAGCAACTGGACTGTTCTCTGTAAATCTTTCTCAACCTGGCAAAAGCCTCCCAAACTCCCCCTTAGCTTCTGGACGATCTCTGGAGTTCTTAAGGTCACATGTATATGGATAGACCTACAAGTTTACTAATTCTTCTGCTAATTAATTTGCCACAAAAAGAAGTACAGAAAATACTGAACATGTATAACCAGTGTCATGCAAATAAATCCCATGTGCTATCTGACCAAACCCCTAGAGGATTTGCAGGGATTTACTATTGAAAGGTTACACAAAGCATACACTAGTGACCTCTCCAGTCCTTGCACTGTCCAGATCAGTTACATATTGGCCTTTTTAAATCTTATACTCTGGCACTTGTAGCAGGAATAGAGCTAGCCTCTGCAAAAATAGAGTATAAAATAGTGAGTTTAGTCCAAGGTTCATTTTCTGGTGTTTCCTAGCTCTGTGATTATCTTTAGTATTGAACAACCCATTTAAGCCTTGGTTTGAATTCAGGTTGGCAGAGTCAGGTTGGCAGCATCAGGGTGGTGTGGTGATACTTTCCTCACCTCATTCCACCACTGCGGCCTGGGTTTGAATCCCACCCAGGCTGACCGGTGGATTGGGTTTTCAGTCCATATCTGATTCCATCAGTTTCCCTGTAATAGTTGGCTGGGGTTGTCCTCAAACTTTCACCACTACAACTGAACATTTCTTCATTGTCTTCACCCGAGGGCCCCACAGGAAAAAATATAACTGATAGGGCTTTATTGTGGTTAAAAAATCAATCAAATAATGAGTACTGACAATTAGCACCTTCAAACAAAAAAAGTGTTCATGAGTTTGATCTATGAGTTTGGTCTGGATGGGTTTCTACAAATTACAAAAAAAAATAAATAATGGGTCCCTTATTAGTGGTTTCTGAAACTGCAGTCCATGACTTATAAATACAATGGTTCCATTTTTAGTGGTTTCTGAAACTGGAATTCACAGGCTCATTATTCTATTCAATGAACCCACTGTTCCAGCAACCACAGTAATGCATCATGTAACTCAAAGCTACCCAAAGGATTGTTGGTAATAAACTTAGATTTGTTTAAAAGCCTTCCAGGAGCGAAATTGAATGCATGTACTTTACAAAACAAGGTCTTTTATATTCTCATTTATCCCTTCCAACTAATAATGCACATTGGATGTATCAATCGGTGGCCGCACCCCCTTCCAACCCAAGCCGCCAGGGCAGTCCTAAATCTAGATTTGGTTAGGGAAGGTTAGGCCTTTCAGTGACATCTAGATGATGTCTGGAGAGTGAAAAATCCACAGGGTGGGAGTTCCCACTAATGGGTACAATAAATGGTACTGTCACTTAATATGTTTAGAGGGCAGAAGGTGGCCCCCTACATAATGTGACAATCGATCAGCATGGGTCTCTGTCTCTCTGTTGTGGGGCAGCCCTGGGTGGGGAGAGGTGAGAATTGACAGGTTCATATCCACACCAAATGATTCTCTCGCTGGCAAATGCAATGTGTGCACAGGGCACAAAACTATGCACAGACCCTTCATAAACTTAGCATCAGCAGGGGAGAGACAGGTGTCTGCATGTCAACTACTGGTGACTTGTTCTTGGATATCAGTAGTGGCAACTTTGTAGCACAGTGGCAAAATAACCACAGAGGGAGAGGTCACTTTGAGTACCCATCAAATTTCTGCAGGGAGTAGTATATCATTGCAAGTTTCATTAAAATACCGGTACATTCTGCCACTGTACAAGAAAACTGATACAATTTTGTTGCAGTAGACATTTTGTGTACTTTTCCAGTACTTTATCACCCACCTACATCTACTGTACACTTTACATGTATGTACCCAGAAACCTTGCACAAAAAAAATAACAGAACTTGAGCACAAAGGAAAAGAACTAGGGCAAAGGGAATCTGAAGATGGAGGGCCCTCGTGTATGTACAGTACATGAAAAGCAAACAATCTGGCTTTATTTGAAATGTGAGGGGCCCTCAATAACAAATACTGAACTTTTATATATTCCCGTCATTCTTCTCCTTCATGTCATCATGGGGTGAAACTGGGGCACAAGTGCCAACTTGAAGTTTCAAGCGTCGGTTTAAAAACCTGTATGACATGGGGATGGTCCAGTACCAGGGAGTTGCTTGGTTTTGCCGAGCACAAGAAATACTGGCCAAAATGGCATACTATTTTGCCAAGCACGAGGAATATTTGGCCAAAATGGCATACTGTATCAAGCGCTTGTAACGAATGGTTTCACTCATTTTTTTTTTGGTCCCTGCTTATACTTTCTTCAACTGACTTTAATGAAATTGGACTTAGGGCTTATTAGCCTACAGCACAGTTCCACAGGTCACTGTACAAGGGATTACACTGAGTACATTTTCTGTGTGTAAGTTGGGGCTTCCCAATTTAAGGTAATTCCTCCGAGCTGGGAAACAGTCCTGCAGGCTATTAAACGCTCGGATGTAGCCAATTCTTGTATGTACACACACCTTAGGTCAGAGAATTCAAACGAAGCAGGAGATCCTCTCAATAATAATCAACTCAGAATACTTCCTCTTAGCGTCTTAGCCTGGGGTTGTGAAGCCGCCGTAATGAATTCGGCTATTGTCAGGGCCCACTAGCTGTGGGTGCCTGGATATAACTATCCTGCTCAGGGTGTCAGGCAAGAAAAGACCCATTGTGCTGTCTTGTGTGTTGGGCTACGACCACAATAAATACAAGACCTCAGGATGGGAGGTTGTAAGGTTTTTCTGTCTGGAGTATTATGAGCCAAGCCCACACACATGAGGCATTGACTCCCGACAATGCAAATAATCAGCTTCCCTAGATAAAAGAAAGATGTGCAGTGTCCACAACACGTTCTTGCTGAACCTGTGCCCCCAGAAAAGCAGGACCAGTGTGCATTTCCAATTCCTGTGTACTTAAATTAAACACCCACTATCTTGGACCCACACTGCAATCACACTGCTCAGTGTTGGGCACAAAAAGAAAATTAATGTGAAGTCTGCCAGAATACATTTTGTAATGACCCTGGAAGTTGGATACTTTGTTTCAGGAGGAGTGTTAGTTATTCAGGCTCTTAACTGTACTCATTAGGCTCTCAGCAGGTGCTTATTTGGAGTCACAAGTCTTCACCAATCAATCATGAGTCAATCACTGCCATCTACTAGTTATCTCAAGTCACAAGCTTTTAAGACCAAGTGTGGTAAAGGCTTTCCTTTGTTCCTGTTCATCAGTCTATTAACTGTGAAGTGACTTGTGAGTTGACCCATGATTGACTTGTCAACAGCTTTCAAAAACATCACATCATTGGTGTGAATTCTCAGACTGTAAATTTAGAAATTAAATTTGAATTTCATTTTCCTGTTTTTGAAGCAAGGGTATTGCTTCGGGCTGGGAAAGGGGGTACATGCCCTTTGGAAAAATTGGGAAAATAAGAAACAGAAACTGGCAAGAAAGAAAGAAAGGGAATGAAAATAATCAGTCTCCATGGGAATGCCTCAGAAGTGAACATCCTTCGGCTGTTGAGGATTTGCCAGTTTGCAACTTGGGAATAAAGTCCCCTTCCAAGTGGCTATGCCTTTTTCCTAATGACACTTCAGTTGAGCATCATTTGCTATACTAAGCCAAACGAACTTTTTCCTCCAAATGCCTTCCCGACTTACATTTCTTCCTGGATCCACAAAAGTGTTGTTTAGTGTGATTCCTTCGATGGTGTCTTGCTGAGGGATTCTCATCAACTGATCTCCTGTACAGCCTGTGTGGTTTCGGACCCGCCTCCAATGACAGGTTGTGTTGGGTGGCAAGTTGTTCCGAGAGTGGTTCAATCAGAAAGTCTTCAGTGGCCGTTCTGATAAGGCCAGTCTGAAATTGTTGGAAGTGGAAAATGAGGTGCTCTTGTTAGACAAAAGAAAATGAGGGCAAATGAAGCACCGTACAATTGTCTGCTGTGATGCAGTCTAGATGGCAAGGATATACATGTACCAAGGGGAGCTAAGGGTTTCATTTGTCCCTCCCCCTCCACCCTACCAAACCCAGGCACAAATACAGATGTCTGTGGACACCTCAGAAAGAAAAAATCAAAGCGTGAACACCAAAAAGTGATTGACAGTTGGGAACAACCCCTTCCCCATCGTGCTATCCACTGGCCGCGGGGATTTTCGATGGGGAAGGGACAAGTTGTTAGACCATCAGGCATCAGCCATTAATAGCTAGATCCACTGAGCCCCATCCAATTATAGGACCTGCAAAGAGAGGGGGACCCAAGTCCCCCCCCTTGAAAAAGTGTAGGGTCACTGGCCTCCTCTCTCCCTTCTGGCGCCAGTGGTGCTATCCACCAATCGAATGGGTCAATCGATCACTTACAATGTACACAAATTCAATGATGAAAACTTGCTGATTTTGGCAAAATCAAGGAGCATTTCATCCATAGATACTCTACCTTGGGAACAACTCTCAGCCCGCTTACCAATCCTGTTAAGTTATCAATGCCTGGGGCCAATTTCATAGAGCTCTTAGGCACAAAAAAATTATGATGAGCAGGACAGGCTACAAGTTAAAATGCTGTTCAAAGTGTGCGTCTCTGCGAGATTCAATTGGACCCTGATGAGTTGGCTCTCTTACATGGGTTACATTTGCACATGAGGACAATGCTGTCATAACCTCAGACAATTAAAAAACTGAACTCATTATGAAGGAAAAGCTTAACAAATAAAACGGTGTGTTTTTCCACTGAAATGCAAGTATCAGACAGTGGCATACATGCACCTTCAACAAATCTGAAAAGGAATGGTGATTCCGTAGAAAACTTGAGCAGGTGTTAAACAACCAACAATTATGAAAACCATCCAAATCCACATCCCAAAGTTGTAATTCCACAAGGAATTAACTCCTCAAATCTCTCCGGGCATAAGGCTACCGGTGCCAAAGAAATGCTGCAGTGAAATCGTCAAGGCAAGGTCATTAAAATGAAATCTCTCTGCACTTGTGTTTATTTATCATGTGTCCGGTATTTGTCTTCCTTGCCTCAATGTGAATTTTTTTTTCTTCAGAAGAGAATTTTTTGACAAGTAAAAGTCTTCCTGCCAAAGAATGTGTAATTTACATGTAGCAGTTCACAAAAAATAAAGTACATAGAGTGAAGGAGCTAAACACAGCCTGCATGTGTATACCAAATGAGTGTTAAAACACAGGTACGGGTACACCTGTCATCACTGATGACTTCATACCTTTCAGCAGGTTATGGGCTGTGTTTGGTGCAATACAGCATGCATGTCTCTGAGCGCAATCGTACAGTACATGTGCCTTGGAGTTGCAACCTACTCCAACAATTCCAAAACTGCTCCCTGGTCTACCAGCAGTTTTGACATTTAGAATTGCAGGCGTTACATGCATATTTTCAGTTGATATTTTTTTCACCTGCTTTAACCGTTCTCGCAGTTGCGATGGGAAGCAGTTGGCATTTCATGAAGGTTAAATACTGCCTATTTATATCATATGAGCTCATCATCAACTAGAAAGTAGCTACTGGTCAGACATTGGTCCTGCATTTGCAGCAACAATTTTCATACCATGTAAAGTCATCTACAAGCACACAATTATATACATTTTACATAATAATTTCTCAAGCCACAGCTTGAGTTTTAGGCAAAAAAGTACAACGTCAGAAACGACAAAAGTAGGAGTGAAACAGCGCAGCTACCATTATTAGTGTACCCGCACACTGCACTTGTACGTTAATTCACCTCTAGAATTACTCTGTGGCTATGTACTGGTACATACATGTATGTGTACTGTTCTTCTATGACCAGCTGGTAAGTAAGATGGATCGGTGTATTACTTAAATTTAGGGTCTATTATGAAATAGGGGGTATATTTTCAGCACTTCATTTAAAATTTTTCTTGGCTTCCGTCTTGGACAACATTTTGATGCCCTCGCACTCGATCTCTTCTGGCTCAAAAATACATTTATGTGCCTGCATGTACGGTACATGTACATGTATGTACTTGATTGAGGTCAGTTCCATAAAAAACATGCAAGATGTGATGAATTACATGTATAGCACTGTGTATACATGACATTTACATCCATGATTTCTATTAAAATGCAGTATAAGGATTGCAAACGTGCACAAAGAAGGTAGTGCAGTACCTTGGTACAACAGCATAAAAAGACTTCGGGACCTCGACATTGATCTTGTTATAAGCTGGACGAACAGTGTTCTTATTAACAGCGTTTGACCGTGCTACCGTAGCTTGGAACCAGAGTATACATGTACATGTATGTACAGTACATGTGAATCACAGACAAACAAATTTCTCATTATTATCTACATGTATGATAATTAAGGCTACCACTCTGCCAATGTTTCATTTTGGGGCAAGGATTAATTAATGAAAAAGGGCGGGGGCTCCAAAATGATCCTCCAATATCTACAAACACAAAGGGCTGTTTGTTTCACACGGATCTGGATCAGCAATTCTAACGTTGGTTCACACCATCTATTAAGTGAGTTTTGGTGTAAACCAACCACGGATCACTGATCGTGATCCAGATCCCAGTGAAATAAACATTGCCAAAGAGCCTCCATTTCACTGCCCACTTGAAAATCTCGTCTCTAAATGCTTATCAATGATTATCATAGCTAAGGCTTAAAACAAATAGTAAAATGTTAAGAAGCTGGGTTAACTATCTTTTTACATTTGATACAAGAAGAAGAGTTAATATGGATAAGATGAAGACACAGCAATAAAACTGCATACTGGTCAACTGTAAAATAGAAGGGCATCAACAGATTTGTAGCACAAATTTAGAGTTAACATGATAATTTGAAACAATTCGGTTCAACTTGAAATTGGAGATGATTACTCCAGCACGTGCAACAGTTTGTCAAAATTAATAACAATGGACACAAGGTATTATAATGTACACTGGTACATGTCAATGTATTGTAACAGCTACTGAACTGCTTTGAATAATTGATTGTGGCGAACATGAACAGAATGACAAGATTTTGCAGGTCAATGAAAGGGCCTAACTCTTGGCTTCCTCTCCATTCAGCCTGTCTCCTCTCTTTGTCATTCAATTGATGACAGAGAGGGGCTTATGGCCAAAGGACTCACCAGCTGGGGCTGACAAGAAAAAGGAGTGCTTTGTTTGCTTTAGCTGGGGGAGAGATGGAACCCATTGATCAGTAACTGAAAAGCCCTGTTGTACATGTAGGTGGCCTTCCGCTACTGCCGCTGCCAATAATGCCTTCAGCCTTTTATGGCAACTACCCATCTTTTATTCCGGCTATGATCTACCTGTATCTTGTCAGACACAACAAAGCTGCTTATCATTATGACAAATAAATCTTGGCTTTCGTTCGTTTTTGCGGGCATTCGTTTTTGGGGGCATTCGTTTTTGCGGGCACAGTTCCCGGCAGCAGATAAAAACCAGCCTGCTGGAAAATCAACCTGAACTCCCTCAGGCTTGTTCAGGTAACTGAACTCCCTCAGCCCTGTTCGGGTAATCAGCTTGCTTGGGTACAGAGTGGTGTCATTTTTCTATTTGTTGTGTTATATCCTGGAGCTTCCTCCTTCATAAAATTTACGGTACATTAATTTCCAAAATAAGATACATGGACATCTACAGTGTATGGGTTCCTTTATTTTTCAACACATACCTGTAAGAGAAGAACCACTGTGCATTGTACGTTAGACAGTCTGTACCAGTAACCACCTGACAAATATGCCTATTGACCAGATACACACTTGTGGGTTTTTTATCTTGGAAAAAGTTGATAACTGGGTGCCTTAAACTTGAGTTTAAACTTTGAGGTTTCTTTGATTTTCTACATTACTTTGATTTAACTGTCTGTGTGGATCTTTGTGTAAATGGCTCATTAGTCCAGTTACGGTACATGTACCCTGGAAATAACGCTTTGGTCGGAGGAGTGCCTGTGAATTGTTTGTACACCTTGTAGGCCATTTTGAACACCTCGTTTATTGCATAAAATGAACTCAAAATGTAAAACTCCAGTAACTTGGACATCCTGTTTTCTACTTCAAGACCAAGGCGGACTCTTAAATTTCAAATGCTGGCTAAAACCTGATTGAAAATGCTCTCATTCCAGTTTTCTCTTGCCGATTTTATTTTCAGATGACACAGTACTACCGCAGTAGTACATATGGCTGGTTCTGAACTTTTTTTGGTGGAAATTGCCCAAAATGAGGCCAAACCACTCTGACAAGGTACAGGCTTCCCAAGACAAGAGAAAGCAAGAATTACAGGGATGGAAGGTACATGTACCATTGTCTGTTCATTTCTTTTGAATAGTGAAAGATGCGTAACAGGCAGAAGGGAGGAAGGTTACAGATGGGGAACCCCAGAACCTTTCAGCAGTACAGCTGGCCTTTGGAACAGTGGCACTGTGGCAGTAAACCCACAACATGAGACAGTCAGGCAGGTGGAGTGCCTGAAAATTCAGATAGGGGGACTAACAACAAAAGGCCACCCAAAAAACTTCTATGGTGGTATCCATAAAGAGACTAAAAGATGCAACACAACGTTGCACATGAACAATGGTCATCACTACACAGTGCACATCTACATGTAAGCTCTGCTCCTTAATCCTGCAGCTGACCGACAACTGCAGGCCTGCATGTAGGTACAATGGTACAGGTCAATAACCTGCCAGTTTGGGTGCCCTTACTTCAGGAGAAGGGGGTAATCTCAACTAGAACTACAGGTACAAGCAGCTGAGATTTGTTGGACAGGGCAGTTGATTGGAGTTTGTGTGTTTTTAGCTCTATGGTTGTTCAGTGTGGCTGAGGGTACATATACATCATTACATGTACATGTAGGTACACTAGGGTAGGGTTTGGAAGTATGTCGGGGTTGAATTTAGTGGAGTGGGAAAGGTTTGATTGGGGGAAAGTACATGTGAGGGTAAAAGGATAGGACAGGGATAGAGATAAAATCCTTGGCTCGGATGTGGCACGGACGGTGACGGAAAGATTTGGGCAAAAGTTGGTGACTGCGTAAATAGCAGTTAAGCTCCGTAACCCAAACTGCTGTACATCTAGGGCAACTTGCAAAATCCTGAAGCTCACCAAAAGAAGTTTCAATATTGCATGTACTTTTTCAATGTCATGAATTTACTTTAAAGCTCTCACTTTCAGTGCCTGTTGCAAGTTCACAAGTTGGCTGGACACCATATGTGATATGACACCCCCACTGGGAGAGCATGTCGAATATCTACGTGAAAAACAACACAACCAAACACCCCATGGCTCTCATGCCTTTTTATTGCCACTTTTCAAGAAATGGAGGCACTTCTTTCAGATTTCTTCTGGGGGTAATGAAAGAACTTCCTCCATGCTGTATTTTGTTCACTTTATGACCAGATGGAAAAATTTACCTAGGAGAAAAAAAATACCTTAGTCTTCCTTTTACTTCGTTACAAGATTCTGACTCTGATTCTGATTCAACTGTTACTGTTAAATTTACTTTTCTTTCATTTATTAAAACTTCTTGCTCAACAAACAAGTAGAGTATAAGTTTTCTGCAGTTTTTGATTATTTCCTGTTTTCTTAATGCTTTGTGTCATATTTCAAGATTTTTACACTTGTTTTAGCTAGCTACATGTATTAATTCATGGATAACAAACCTATGGCTATGACTAAAACTAGTAAATTAATTTTGTCTCTGACTACAGATGCTTAGTGTAGCAGCCCAATCACATCTGAAAAAACATTTTAACATTTCTTGTTATCAACATGTATGTGGTACTTACCAAACCATCACACAAACTGACGGCTATTGTTGAGCTGGCTTGAGACCTGAGTGTTCCCTCGTAGTGGCAGTTATCCACTTCTGGGATGTAGTCCTTTTGCTTCACTTTGCCCTTGGCGAGCCACTGAACAGAGAATCCAGGGGCTAACAGAGCCTGGTTAGCGGACAGTTCCAGGTGAAAATCTTGGCCATACCCACTGAACTTGTAATGGACAGTGGCTGGAAGGGATGGAATATCGGCACCACGCCGTCTTCTAGCGGGATGCAGAATGTGAGACACAAATAGTCCATTGGAGTCCGCCTGGTAGGGAAGTACTATCTCATAACCTGATGGGGAGAAGTTTTGTTTAAAAGTTGTTGAGCAAAATATCACAAAAAAAGATGATCATGAACCAAGCCACATTGGGAAACTGGCCGAGTTCTCCTTTTCAATGGACATTTGGGTTGAGCAAATAAGTTGGCTGTAGTGGAATTGAAAACGTGGCTGCAGCAGAATTCCAAGCTATGACCTCAGATGGTTTGGTATCTCACGCTAATTCAACACTCTACAGGGCAAGTGGAAGGTGTGCATTCTACCCTATCCTATGATTTTTACACACTGGGTGCCTTTGTAAATGGGCTGAGGTGTAGCTAGTTATTCTTCCTGCAGAGTAAGGTGCTTTGCAGCAGAACCAGACTCCGAAAATGCTGACAGCTTGTGGTGGCCGAGATATAAAAAGACTGAGCTGACACAGGGAAGAAGGAAATGGTTGACCAGTCCATCCGAACCACAAACTGCTCTTCAAAGCAGAACATGCTATTCAGCAACTCCTCATTATGTACCAGTACATTGTGCCTTAACTAAGAGGCATCCATATAGAAACTCTTCCAAAGTACATGTACCAAGATATTTTGATACAAACTTACTTGCACTGATGTTCCCAAACAATCGTGGACGTTAAACAAAAGAATTAATGACCATCCACGATTCGCGATATGTCCATGATTGCCAAATGTGTACAAAAATATTGGGGGCCTTCCAAAAAAGTTAAAGTATGAACAAAAGAGGACAATAGGAATGTCCATGATTGCCCCCCAAAAAACATGTTTACATGAGTGTGTGCTTAACTTTAACAGCCTAAGCACAATTGGATCTCATTTTTGAAAGTTAAATGCTATTCACTTTGCACAATAGACAGGTTTCCAGCTATTACACAAGAGGGCCTTAAGGTGCATACATGTACAGATAAGTCAGCCAGCTGTCACACACATTGGCCTACATACATGTACATGTAGTATGATTACAAGACACTGCATGTATGACTCAGATAGTTTTACACTCATTTAGTGCATCAGTGGACCTTGAAATTTTATACCCACACAAAAATCAGTGTGCGAATCCAATGGACCCTCCCGCAGAAATATAATGGTTAGTGTTCAAATGACAAAATTAACCCATTTGACCTCGTTCGGCCACATAAACGCTCTTGCACCTACATGCAGCACTAGACTTTGAGCAAGACTTCACTGTTTCTTATCACCAGCACTGAGGTCAGTGTCTCCTACTAATCACAACAGCCACCAATTTATGCTTGGTGACCAAAAAGGGTAATAAACTTTGCATGTTTCGCTTCAAAATTTCCCTGACAGTGATAGAGCTGTATGTGTACTACTCTTTCTAAAATGCCTGCCCTCCATGGTTTACAGAAATATCACATTTTGCTGATGTCAGATATCACCTCCAAATGTTGCACCTGCTGTGTGAGACTCTTTAAAACTTCGTGAATGATTTTTTTGTTTTGAACTGAAGGCCAGCCATAGGTTTATCACTGTCAGCCATAGGCAGGCAAAAGTACAGGTACAACTGTGATATAATAGGAAGAGCACACCTTCAATAGAGGTTTCCATGACTTTTTATATTTATTGTATTTGCCCCTTGCGATTTACAGTTCTGCCTGGTAATACTTACTGGTTCTTTGAGTTTTTGGTCAATGCCTAGAGACGTTGTTTAACCAGCTCTCATATACCACCTTTTGTCTCTGCTGGTGTACTTCTTAGCAATCAGTAGCCGTGCAAATACCGATACATGGATTAAAATATATTCTGACACTATCTGTCTGATAGCAAAGCTCTCCCTAAACATGGTGAGATGCTAACTGCATGAGATACAGAGCAGTACAAACATCAGCAGTCGCGTATTTAAAGAAGATAGCAAACATGCAGGGCAATCCTGACAAGAAATGGATGTGTAGGATGCCATTCTGGAGTTCGTTGTTACGAAGGGTGTAATATACATGTACCTTTTAAAATAAGGATGAAACTGACCAATGTAATGTGTGTGGCAAAAGATGTTGGCAATTTTTTAAATGAAGTGTTTCTCTGTCCCCCTTGGGTGTTTCAAGAAATCATGTTCACTGCTAGGGTTTTCAAAGGTTGTGCACAACAGTTAGGTCAACCGAAATACCCTGTGTATGTGTAATCCAAAAACTAACATGAGGTCTTAGTCATAGGAAATATTGCGATGTGTGTTAGACTCAACACTTCATCGTGAGAACTAGGTTCATATGGTTGGTGGGTAATACAGTCCAAATGTAACCCAGCTTAACAAAATGAGTCATTAAGCCATGAGCCCCTGTTGAGTATGTACATGTACAATACCTTTGAAAGAACCTTGTTTAACTGAAATCACTGGGAACCCTCAACTTTTTCACTTAATGTCCATTTTCATCAAGATTCCAAAAGTGAGCAGTGCATCCAAACAAAGAAATCAGTCTGCTCTTTCTTCTACAAACTGAATAAAAAATTACTGAAAAAAAAATGGTCTTACGACTCCATTTGCGGGATGCGGTCACAACTGCATAGCACCACCCACTTACCACGTTCATCAGCATGTGCACACACTCCAGGGCCTGGCTAGTGGCACTCGCTGAATGTTTGTTATATTATAATTGGCCAGTTGGTGTTTTGAGTTACAGAATGCCAGGTGGCCTCCGCGATTTAAAGCCATGCGTTCATGCAGGATAGCCGTGTTTCCTCAAAGGATAATTGCTTGCAGTTGATTCTGAATGGATGCACTTTAAAAACCCAACAGGTACGGGTACTAGTATATAAGATTAGCCCCTAATCCTCATCCTGCACTACTGAAATATTTTGTCTAATATTTCTGCTTCAGAAAACAGTTGAGCTCCAGTAATTTGTAGAAAGAATACAGGGAGTTGCACCCAGACGAAGATATACACATGCCCCTATAACGAACAGCATTAGGTTGAGTAAAAGGACCCCCAACAAAGCCAGATTCTCATCCAGAATTTTTAATGGGAGTCTTTTTTTTTAGCTAGCAGATTTTTCAGATGGCCTTTTGCTGACACTTTAGTTTTTACTTTATTTAACAAGCATCAAACTTGCATTTGTCCCACCTCCCTTCAAAAAGAGAAAACTGGATAACAAAAAAAGGAGGTGTCTATAGGTAGGGATGGGAAACTACATTATTTTATTTACACGGTCTTATCTGAAAGGAAAGACACACTTAATGAACATTAAAAAGATGGCTGTAAAAATGTGCATGTATTCACAGTATGTTGACTAATCACAACATCAGATTACAAAGCGATAATAAATGAAGCTTTTATGTGGTGCTCTTTCATTGCACCGACATCTCAAAATGCTTAAAACATGTACAACAACCCTACTTATCAGGCATTTACTTGGCAGCTGGTATTTTTGCACCGTCTATAGGCCCCCACAGCTCAGATGCCACTTTCACAACCGGCTGGGTGGAGTGAGAGGCAAGTCTGGATAAAATGACTTGCGCAAGGTCACAATATGTTGGCTGGATTCGAACCTCCGACCTCTCACTTAAAGTCACAAATCCAAACCAGTAGACCACACACCACCCCCATACACTGGTGACAACTTGTACCAGCTGTTGAGCAAAATAATTGGCCCTTTGATGGGCTCCATGTTGCATTTGTAATGCTATAATGACCATTTGGGACCAGTGTTCAAACACTCAAATTGATGCATGACACTACTCACAGTAAACTACATGTACAATGTTTTCAATCAAATGATTATGACTGTTGACCTTATGCTTAAAGGCCATGGCTATGTTTGGGCATGAATGGTTGATCAGCCCACCAGAATTGTTACATGTACATGTATCACTGTCGGTCGATCTTGTCCGATATTTGTAACTTTACCGGAAGCAGGTTTACCTTTTTTAGCACAATCTTTCACAACTATGACTTAGAACAGCTACGTGAAGGTGAACCAGCTGACAAATTATGCAGCAAAGTTGACAGATTTTACAGAGATCAAGCGATCGCACAGATCAACAGACTGTGCTTAAGAGCAACATGTACATTTATTATTGTATTGTGAACTGTTTTCCCAACTTTCTCACCTCCTGTATTTCCAGTTTCAGCGAGCAACTGAAGCAAGCAGAGGTCACACAGAGCTGACCTTGTTTTTGACAAACTGCTACTTTTTTACTTGTCTTGGACTGTACTGCCACTTTGATTCATATGATTGAATGTCCAACACATTTTATATTATTATTATTCAAGTGCAGATCATCACAATAATAATTCCTTGACCAACTCAGGATGGAATGCATTGACAGATACTTTTTTCCAGATTTTTAAAACACAAACCGGTACATTAATTCTTTGTTTTCACACAAAATGTCCCAAAAGATTCAAGGAAACAGATATCTGTTTACAGTTTTCAAGGCAGCTATGGACAAATAGCATTGAAATTTCATAGCATTTATTATGTTAATTCCTGCAAACATTTCCACTGGGCATACACAAACAGGGTTGCTTTCTGGTTTTCCGACTGAATAAAAAACATAGGAAATCCATCAATTTGAATCAAGGTTTAGCATCTAACTTCACATGTAGAGTCGGTGTACTGTACATTATGTACATCACTGAGCACAATGAACGGGAGAACCGGCACACTCCATTTGAAGTGGGTTTCCGGCCGGATGCACTAAAGATTTTATGTTGGCCCAACAAGGATCACAATGACAGGAGCCACTCAACTGTGCTTCACGCATTGAAGGGTGACGCATCAGTAACACTGGAAGTAGGGTTACCTTTGTATGTCTTGTGCTCTTCCAACTGTTGCAGAGTGCTGAGCGGATGGCTTGATAATTTCGAGGCATTTTCCTGAAAACAAAAACAAAACACAGCCATTCCAAAACAGTCCTGGGGTGACATGAAGCGACAAAGGGTTTTGAAACTTAAACTTGGACAACAATTTGCCAGTAGTGAGGAATGCATAATTTTAAACGTACAGTTCTGCCCTTTAAATTTGAATTTAAAAAAACAGTATCGAACCTTCCGTCTGCCTAAAGCAGTGTATCTATCGATAGGCCTTAAGAATAAATTGCATGGACGGCACCAATAACTGCAAAATAATTTAATTTACTACCCTTCCAAATTTACAAGAGGTAGAGAGAGGTTTCTAAAAAAAAAAATTGCTAAAAAATACTGTACCTGAATGGATAAAAAGAAGGCAGGAAAAAGTGCTATCAATGGATGATAATGACTCAATGCAACCTTCTTGATGTCACTCCCCCTGGAGGGTTTGAGCTCTCAATACGAGCTGCTGCCAACAATAGAAGAAGTTACATCAAGCCCGTAATTCAAACGCCAGCTCCGACAATACGGCCATTGTTACCGACAAAACACCCGGGGCTATTCTTTTCAGGAGTACCAGGCCTACTATGCTCGCCCGTGCCCTATTTTTCTGTTCGCCGTAACACTTTTTTTTCCACTTCTAATGCAAAGTGCCCCAACAATTGAAAAAAAAAAAGGACTCGGAGTATAACTTAAATAACAACTGAATTTCTATCGCTTTGTTTGTTTCTACTGTCTGAAATTTAGTCTTGACTGGAAAAGGAACTTCAAGCACTTGTGTCATAAGCTACCTCAATGCAAAACCTCCCAGTACGGGTCTCCAAACCACTCAAGCATACTGGTCAAACTGCTGCTTTTAACAGCAAGACACTGCAGCTACCACAATCAATGACAGATGCCACAACATTACTGGGGAGTCTGTCTAAACCCTATATGACCTCACATAAAAAAAACCACGAGATGGCTGTGTTTGGCCTTAAAGGCTGGATTGGCAAGATTTTGAAGAATTGAAAATGACAAACTAATTATCGACTGATTTACACTACAAGGTTGTTCTGTCCCTTTTGGTTTCAATTGTCCTCCTTGATGTGGTTCGTGCAGATATTTTTCTTCACTAAATTTGGAGAAATTGGCTGGTACTATCATGACTGTACATTGCCTCAAAGAACTAATCACAGAGGGGGGTGGAAAATCAACCCAAGGTTAATCTCAAGTTCACACAACACCCCCCCCCAAAATATCCATACACACACTCAGAAAAGTCATTATTGACACTGTGTATGCAGTGCATTTAAAGACCAAGGTAAATACATGACTAGCAAGTTTCAAGGTGACTAAGTTTTGTCAGTTTTCACACCTACAGTGATATGTTTAATTCTAAAGCAAACAAACAAACGCTGGTTTGAAATCTAATTAGCCCACAGACCCACTTCCAAAACTTTACTCTTTAGAAGTTTAGAGCAGGTTTACCATGCGTGCCAATGCTTACCTGGATGTGATTCTGTTCTGAACACAATGAATCAGCGAAGTATAGTAAGAAATAAATGCTGAAGACGATGTACTTGAACTCCATTCTGGATTCACTTTTAGTTCTCCTGGTCCTCCATGGACGAGACGATGCAAGAGGAATTCCACCCGTGTATCGGAGAGGGGTTTTGACCATTGTTTCTCCTAGCATCGAGTCGCAGCCGCATCTGGGGCATTTAATCTTGACTAAAGAAGAGTCACCGCTAGCTCTTCATCATAAAGAGCGGCCAGCAACTTTTGCAGGCAGCATTAAGGTTAATAAGATTGAGATGAGATGTGATGAGGTTCGTCTGACAGTTGGCTCCAATGTCCCAGTTTTCAGACCATTTGGCGAGACAGCGCGCCGTACAAAGGCGACCCAGGCAACCCGATCTTGGCACCCAACACGCCGGAAACGTACGACTCCTGATGAACGCACAGCCAAGTTGACAAGGCTTGCTTGGACCCCAGCTGAGCTTCTAGTCACACAGGGCAGATCCTTTCATTCAGCCGGTGCGAGTCTCAATACCAGCACAATACCAAGTTAATAAAGCGACTTGTTTACTGTGCACCTTAAGCGCATTTATTGCTGGAGCCTAGCATCGGACGGTGCACCTCGCTCCAAAATGGATCAGCTCCTAAACTGGGGGCTTCTTTCGATCAACCCTCCCGATCATAAAATTTCTACAAGTACATGTATATATGAATACATCCGGACCCCGCCACCCCGGCTCCACTCGTATCGAAGTTTTATGACCAAGTGCTACTGGCTGCAGAACTTATAAAGTCTGATCGTGACAGTCAGCTGGATGGATTGAGTAGACTCAACACAAACACGAAAGTGCGCGCCACACAGCAGGAGCACCGTCAGTCACATGAACCTAAGCTGCGGTCTAATTGAGGCTGTGGTTTCGGTTTAGATCCCTTGACTTTGGAAAACAGGCTACTGGCTTATTAGTTCAATTTTTAATGAGAATATATAAAACAAGCTTCAAATGAAAGAGATTGTTTGTGAAAATCACTAAAGTTCAAAGAGCAACAAATAATTTTTGATGGAATCAGAAGTGTGCGGAGAAGCCACTGTTATTTAAAGTCGATGTTTAAAAAATTGTTTCCCAGTAATGAGGGCGCTGTTACAAGTGCCACTCCCGGTCCTCCGGTTCAGAGACATTGTCATGCAAGTGCGCACTCGACCGCCGAAACTTGTTTTCGAAATAAATAAAACCGTGCAAACAGGATGATACGTGTCACCTGGGCATCCAACATTACAGGTGTTTGAAATCTGATAAATGCCACAGAGCTTTACTTTTACAATTCTTTCTCTAGCTTATTTCAAGAAATCCAGTGAAAGGTTCTGATACCTTGCAAATTAAACTTGATGGCTGAAATCGGCGGTGGGGACGACGCACACACATTGAACACTGTCTGATTCTTGCCGTGCCCAGTAGTTTATTGCACAGAATTGGATGCCTGATGTACACATTTCACCTCTATATTAACCCCAGCAATTTCACTTTCTGTAAGACTCCTCTATTTTGACACAATAAGGTTTGACCATGGCAAAAAAGAAACTGGTTTCAAAACATGTCTGGAACATATTGCAGTATTACTCTTCGCGTGTTTGAGATTTTTCTCCTGTTTAGTTCAGTTCAGTTCAGTTCAGTTCAGTTCAGTTCAGTTCAGTTCAGTTCAGTTCAGTTCAGTTCAGTTCAGTTCAGTTCAGTTCAGTTCAGTTCAGTTCAGTTCAGTTCAGTTCAGTTCAGTTCAGTTCAGTTTCTTGATATCCGAATTAATTTCTTGATATCCGAATGGAGTTTAATAATTATTGTGAAGGTTATTCGTTCAAAATATTGCCTCCAGATTTCCTCCGAATTTGTCTTTTTTGGGTGCAATTTTTCGTAGGTGACAGAGTGGCTGAGATGTAGGTTAGGTCAAAGTTATGGCCAAATGGGTATACTGAATGTATGTGTATGTGGCGTTACTTTAGAAAGAAATGTTAATGATTTTTGGCATATTAATTGCATATTTAAAGTTTGATCATCAAGCCACTGCATCACGCCCCTCAAAATCGTCTTCCTGTATAGAATAATGAGAAATTATGTTGAATACATATACATACAAATCGTTACAAACAAACATCTACATTTACATACACATAAAAATGATTACACACAAAATGTAGGGCATTTGAAAAACAATGGGAAAACATTGAGCTACTATATTAATATGCAACTAACAGCGTGTAAACCACTCACAACTGAAAGATAGTTGGATAATTATTTAACATTAATTCAGAAGTTGTACGGATTTGAGGAAGAAAACTTAATTCTATTGCGGGTAGGCCTACTTCTATACACATAGTATAAATTATTCATATCCTATGTGGAAATTGTTATTTTCATGTTTTAGTGTATGAAATGGAGGACTGAGAACTTTTGGTTTCATTCCATTTTATTTGTGGTAGAATACAAAGCAATGCAACAATTTTGGTTTCTTTATTGTCAACTTAAAGGTTACATAATCAACATTTCTGGATTTTATGCATGTCCGTAAGTATTCATACCCCATAATTGATTAAGAAATTCAGGCTTTTGTTGGTGTCTGAAAAAGTGGTTATCGGTTTGAATGTCATCCCAAAATTTTACTACTCTTATGCAATCATTTAAGCTGTGTTCCAATAAATTGGCATAAATTCAGTGGAGTCAGTGTTTTCATGCTCACTTCATGATCAGCAGCACAACCGTTGACATGGCAAAGAAGAAAGAACTGAGTGAAGATCTTTGGCTGCACATCGTGAATGGTCACAAGGATGGCAAAGTCTATAAAGCTATTTCAAAGCAATGTCAGGTTCCAGTGGCAACAGTACAAAGCATAACCAACAAGTACAAGGAGTTTCACACCGTAAAGCATCTCAAGGGACGTAGTCAGAAGCCAAAAGATGACGCCAAGACTGGCCCGAAAAGTTGTGCGAGAGGCATCCTGGGGCTACCGAGCCAAATTTGAGTGACTCTGGGACCAACATATCAAGGCAAACACTCCAGCGGACATTGCACAATGGGGGCCTCTGTGGATGCCAGCCAAGGAAGACTCCACTTCTACAGCCCAGGCATGTAAAAGCCCATTTAGCCTTTGCAAAAAGCACATATTGACATAAATCCAGGCTTTTGGTTATCAATGCTACGGTCTGATGAGACAAAAATGGAGCTTTTTGAAAACAGGATGTGGCATTCGTTTGGAGGGGGAAACGTGAAGCGTTCAAACCGACGAACACGGTCCCAACAGTCAAGCACGGTGGCAGGAGCATCATGCTTTGGGGATGTTTCTCCGCCTGCAGTGGGCCCAGCAATCTCGTCAAAATAAATGACATCCTAAAAAGGAGCAATACGTCGAGATATTGGAGCAAAATATCAAACAGTCGGGAGAGAAACTTGACCTGGGGCAGCAGTGGATATTCCAACAGGACAACGACCCAAACACACGGCGAAACAAGAAATGGTTCAAGGAGAACGATGTGAATGTTTTGGACTGGCCAATTCATATCCCAGATCTGAACCCAATAGAAAATCTGTGGAAAGAGCTTAAGGCTTGAGTTCAGCAAGAAGACCCTCTAACCTCATGGACTTGGAGACCTTCGCAAAAGAGGAGTGGGCGTAAATTCCTATTGAGGTCTGCAGGAACTTGATCAGCAACTATCAGAACCGTTTGGAGGCTGTTATTGCAAACAAAGGCTATGCCACTGGTCATGGGGTATGAATACTAATGGACATGCATAAAAACCAAAAATGTTGATTTAAGTCGACAATAAAGAAACCAAAATTGCTGCATTGCTTTGTATTCTATACCATAAATAAAATGGAATAAAACCAAAGTGTTCTCAGTCTCCATTTTTGGGGCTTAACTGTAAATGATCGACAGTGTTTTCCATACGGAAATTTATGATTGTGTGCTGATACATATTGGTCGTCACAAGCAATGGCCTTTTTGTACCACTCGCCTTTCGCACAAATCACTCATACCCTGCTGCCTTTCAGTTTCACCCACAATCTTCCCGCCTAAGTTAACAACCTTGTTTAGCACATTTTTCTACCCGTAAGCTTAGTCCACCGTACCAGCACATACAGGAAAATGTCAAAACAGACTCAATAAAACAGCAATAAAAAGACTGAAAAATATCTTTGCTGACATGAAATGATTTCAGCTTCCTTGGGCAATAAAGGCGAGACTGGCATCTAGAATGGATATGATCATTGGAGTTAAAATTGTCATCTGTTAATCTGTCATCCAGAATAGTGCCCGAATACCTGTACTCATTGACACGTTCTATTTCCTCATTTATAAACAAATCGGGCAGTGGCAATAATTTCTTTCGGAATCAACTATATCATTATTTTCTTTTGTTTTACATTAAGGTTAAGACAGTTGTTGTCAAACTAATCCTTGAACCTAGCAACTTCCCTATGGTAGATTTTGCCAGAGTTGGAAAAATCAAGAAGGGCAGCGTCGCCAGAATATTTAGTGAGATGTACTGAATCACTTCCTCTACAATCATCGGTATAGATTGTGACCAAGAGGAGGGGGGGGCTTTACCTTCAGAAGAACCATGTGAACTAAATCCTGGGGATTTGAGCAAATTGATAGCGAACAAACTGAGTTTGATTTAAAAGAAAGTCAAGTATCCAAAGGATCAACCTCGGGGCTATATTCACAGCTGGTACCTTGGCTACGAGAAGGCGTGATTGGATGGTATTGAAAGTCGATGAGAAGTCCACAAAAAGAATGCGAACAAAATAAGCAGTTTTTCTCGGTGCGTAGGCGCATAATGTAGAAGTGTCAGTGTGGCGTCACCATCTATTTCCCTTAAATGTAACTAGAAGCTGATCAGAATTGTTAAGATATTTCTTTCAAAGCATTTCGTCAAAATGGATGTCATTCGGTAGTCATTCAAAGATGACGGACTGCGAATCTTTGGACCAGTACAAATAGCAGCAATTTTCCTAAGGGAGGGAGCAGTACAAGATTTAAAGGACCAATTAAAAACCGGGAAAGTACAACATGAGATTTCTCCGCAAGCATGCGACCGTTTTAAAAGGCATTCCGTTTCAGACGTCCGACATCAGACTACTCTTGCTCATTTTGTCCGTTTTAAGAGCCATGGGGGGGGGGAGCAAGCCCCCTCAACTCCCTTAGATGTTACAAGCACCCACAATGCGGAATCCTTTCTTGTCTTATATTTTACAAGTTTTACACAAAAGCCATGCTCGAAGAAGAATTTGTTAATATTTTCTCGATTTAAAAAGCTGTTCCACGATGAAATCACCGTGTCCTTTGTAGAATTAACAACTAAACTACTGTTTCGTAGGCTTTGAAGACTTGGACTCTTTCGCCAACTGCCTACTGGTATCTTGTGAAAACGACCTTGAATTAAACACATTTGGCAAAAACGACTGTTTCTTTAATTACTAAGTGATTGATATATTTTGCTTTGTTTCGTCGATTTTTTGATTTGCATAATTTGATGCAGGAGTGCATTCTTCATTATAATTCAGATAGGGATGGCATCCGATTTCAGTTCGATTTAAATTAAGTCAAAACCTACATATTTCTCAATTAATTATTTTACTATAGGCCTCTATTACTTTCTGGCTTTACCAACACGCTGTCTGTATGTGAGCAAAATTTCAACAGCTGTCTTTGAACCGAAAGCCAAGTTGTATCCTCGGAATAATCTTTCACAAGGCCACCTATCCTTGAACTACTCGTAGCCAACTTCTCTTGAACCGGTGGATAGAATACCCATCCATCAAGCAACAGGTGCGCCACAATTCGGCAGAATACTGACGGCGAGGCTTCCGAGTACCTGTTAGCTGCACGTTTAGATTAATTGACAAGGCGCCTGTCGCAGTTTCGCTCACATGACCAGTCATGCATCGAAAAAAAAACAACGAATAATTAACTGAAAAAATAGAAACAAAATGCGTATGTGGATGTTTTAATTAATTTTTGTTTCAACTAGATTTAAACTAACGTCGAATAAAAACCTATTAATACAGTTAAATATTATTCTCATCGGAAAGATACACCTGCAAGACTTTTCAATAGTTCTTCGTAGACCAGTGGATATGGGATGTGTTACTGTTAGGAATAGTCAAATGCTATGTTGATGCATTCATTTGAATTGTCACGTGACATGACCTTAAAATGTACACATTCGTCACAGGCTGAATTCTCCGGAGCTAGCTTTAGGCCTAGCGCCTACATAAGCGATATGAAAGCAAGTAGGCCTACGTTTATGAATAGGGACAAGATCATCATTAAAGCATATAATGATATCATTGCAGGCAACGTGTTCATGTTTAGCTTGACACTGCTACTCTACACAAGCTGATATACTACGGAGGGGCAGATCCGGGAATTTTTCTGGGGGAAGGGTGGTCAGGCCGGTTTGTTTGTTTTTTTTTTTTGGTCTCCTTTTTGGGGACAAGCAGAAACGATGATGAAACATCACATATGACATACATTGTTTACATTGTATTGGGCATTTAATTTAGTTATTTTTTAGTATTATTTTCTCTTTTTTGATTTTTTTTTTAACTAAAGAAATCGTCAATGATTTGCCCCCCTAATGGATTTCATGGGTCCGCCCACACACGACATAACCTCCAAAGTGGAAGAATTTTTCTTAAGTCAGCAACATATTTCACAAGATTTCAAAAAATTTCAACCCCGAGGCTTTTTATTGATTGTACTTTTTCTTCAATTATTATTGTTATTTTCTGTACCGGCCAGGCCTTCTTCCAGCACCCGAAGCCGTTGAGTAGAAGAACGCCCTCACTAGTCTCTAGTGGTATATTTTAGTCAGGAGACTTTCACTGGGCATGCAGTTACCAATTAGATTAGATTAGGGTACCATGAAATAGTGCATTGACCTAAAACGTAGTGGCTGTACTTTGGTAAATGCGGTAGAGTCCCGACTGTCGCATGTTAGGCCAACATTCTTTCTACCAGGTTTCTTTGTGGGATAAAGTAGATATTTTGCCCGTTAGTGTACATTTCAAGTCAAGAGATTGCAACTACATTCACTGTATTGCAAATTGTATATTTAAAAGTAAAGGTCGAACGGCGAATACCGTCACAAAATGTCGAAGTTGGATCAAATACTTGAGATTGATCCTCCAAACGAGTTGAGGTTCAGAGGTAAGAATTCAAAAATAAAGTGCATGCGAGGCCTTTATTTTTTCGTGAATCGGTCACAACTTTTGTTCATTTTAAGCAACCACAATAGAGCCCACATTATTCCAACATGTCAGGATGGGGTCATCAGATTGTATTGACATCACTGAGTACGGATGATGTTGCCTGGGCCTAGGCCCAGTTAGCCCCCTAGTGTAGCACGTACTCTCACTCCCGATCCATCCTTAGCCACACATCCGTATACGCATTTTTGTGTCGGCGTATTGAACATAGCGGCGCACCCACTTATCATCGTGGGCGCAATTTCTTTTGCACACGAACATGATTCTTGACCTTTTTGCTTTCTAAAAACCTTTTATTGAATGATGTCACTCACGTTAATCAGGTTTTTTCCAGTCTTTTTGCCTTTATCCATTCAATCTAATGGGCTCGCTCTCTCAGTCGCCATCTTTAAAATAAGGTCGTTGAGCATTACGTCACTTGACCCCTCATCGTCTCGACGGCTGTTCCATGGCAAGACATATGTAATACACGGACTGAGCGATGAGATACTACATGTACCAATAGGCTCTTCCAAAACTTTGGCAGCAGTTTAGGTATTTTGACCTGAATAACGTGAGTGAAATCATTCAATAAATGGTTTTTAGAAAGCAGAAAGGTCAACAATCATGTTTGTGTGCAAAGAAATTGCGCCCACGATGATAAGTGGGTACCCCGGATTGTTCAATATGCCGACGCGAAAATGCGTATACGGATGTGTGGCTAAGGATAGATCGGGAGTGATAGTCTGTGCCATACTAGTGGGGCTAAGGCCCAGTAGGCCTACATGACCTAACATTGGGGGCCTAGCAAGGGTTATTTTTAATGGTTTTGTCTTGCTTGCATTCAAAGGGCTATGTAGGCCTATGCTTAGTCAGATGGTGGTCAGCACACAGGATCTGTACTTTTGAGATGCCATATTCAGGGAGTTTAGCTCGTGTTTGTGAATACAATGAAAACAAGTCCAAATGGAGCAAGTTCAGATTTCATCTTAATTTACTTTCTTGCTAAGACAGCAGAGTCAACCAAAATGACTAGTCTAGCAGCAAGAGTTCCCTTTTCTTTTAGCCTAAGGAATGAAGGAAAGTGCTGGCTCTTTTAAACTAGAAATGTTGGGTGCAATTGGCTGATCTACACGATTGACTGATCACTCTGATTCTGTATGAAATCTTCCTCTATACTTTCATTTTTGAACTGGTCTTGCACAACCAGGAATTTGTATGAAAAATACTGATGGTGGAATCGTTGACAAATCGTGCAATAAGATTGAGTGATTGTGCAAAGATCAAGCAATCACACAGATTGACCAATCATGCCCTACACTCGGTGAAGTCTACAGATACAAACCGCTTTTTACCTTAAGAACTGTTGGGTTCAATATTCCACTTCTCTGAGAAGCAAAATAACCAGCCCAACGATCCACCCGCTTATGCGTGGAAAAACGTTTTACTGACATCTCAGTTGAAGCTGCGTGGCATTGCTTTGGAGCACACAGTGCAAAGAAATCTGGTATTTGGGCCAGTGTAATGGAGCTAGGTCTTTGCATGATTTTTGGAGGTACCATTTGTGGCAACTGGACACATTTGTGGATGGGCATAAAATGTAGAGGGGCCCATCTGAATAACTGAGCTGTTAATAGACTGATTGCGCCCAGTAAGTCATGTACAATGTAACCTAGAATAGGTATCAAATATCAACAAACATGGCGTCCCCCATAGCAAAGTGTGTCCTTAGTGTCATTTACCAAGGTTGGTAAAGCACTCAGACTACTGATGTGCTAAGTGCAAAACTGAAAATTGGCTTTGTTTTTGGTAAACAACACTTGAAACACAAATTGCTATGGGAGGATGCCATGTTTGTTGATATTTTATACCCAAGATTGGTTATGTGACTTGGCAGGTGCAATCAGTCTATTGCATTATATGTTGGGGGTCAGTCAGGTTGGCGCTGGGGCATTTTCCTTGCTTGAGTTCAAATCCTGCCCAGGTAGGCATGTGGATTAGATTTTCAGCCCTTAACTGACTTTGTGGGTTTTCCTTGGAGTGTTTTCGGAGGGTTTTCCTCCCACCTCTGAAAGTGGACACCTGCCTCATCTTAGCTGGAGTTGTAATTTATATAAGCTTGTACATTTTGCATTTTTCACACTGTTAATGATGGCCCACTAAAAGTCATCCTAGCAGTTACATGGCTACTGTCAGTAAATAACATTGTAACTTTATCGGCTGTTTTGGAATGTTTCGGAGCATTTTCAGATAAATCCATTTTCCACCTGTTTTGAGGAAAGCAGCTTTTAAAAGAAATAGAGCCATTATTTTGTGCACAAGTAGGGATTGTCTGTTCCATACCTTTGGACCTCTTGAACATTTTAATGGAAAAAGAATTTAAATTGTCCAGTAAACTGTGTTTGTAATATGCATGGTTCCTCCTCCATTTTGAAACTGTCATTTATGAGCTTTTGCATCTAAACTCTTCAAGCTACTCAGTATGACATTTTTAAGAAAACTGGTTTCACATGTGACAGGGACACCTTACCGTTTTCAGCAATGTTTTGAAAAAATGCAGGTTTGGGGCACCAGTTTCCCCACCAAATAAATGGTACATTTAATTTGGAGGTGTGGGTTTTGGAGGTATCCCAATTTTGTTCCAAAACAGTGGACACCTTATTGCAAAAGGCTCATGACATTTTTTCTCTTTGTCCTCTGTTATAGGTCCTTTCACTGAAGTGGTATCCTCTGAACTGAAGCTGAGCAATCCCTCAGAGAAGACGGTTTGTTTCAAGATCAAAACCACAGCCCCTCGGCGGTACTGCGTCAGGCCCAACAGTGGCATCGTCCAGCCAAAGGAGTCTGTCAAAGTCTCGGGTATGCCAGCCCCATAGTGTGTTCACATTTTGCAGCAAAGACCATAAGTGAAATTGGCACGGTCGGAAGGGATGCTCACACTCGGCATCTCTATCCAGCAAGAATTTCCAGTACATATTGATGTCCGGTTTTGTTTACATGTGTGCTTTCCAGTGGGGACTTGATGGACTGCGTCCCACCTGACTGCCATAGGAAAAGCACATATGTAAACAAACCGTGACTTCATTGTGACGTAGGTCTTTTGCAGTCGATGCAGAAGTCTTGACAAAGTGGACAGTGAATCTCTTTCTTGCAAATGTACATAGGCCTCTTAGGAAGAGGAGCCCCACTCCATTACTTATGTTAGGAGTTAGACCCAACAAGTCAAAACAGAAGATACTTGTTACTTCTTCTAGCATTACTTGTATGCCCCTCACAGCGGTTCCCAAGACTTTGGCCATTACTGAGACAGCTAAGGCCTAGAGTTGGTAGGCACCTCTACTGTATTGATGAGATTCAAGGCCAGCTCAAGTCAATTTTCTTCAATACTCCTAGCATGGTACCTTCCAAAAACCTCCAAGTTGAGCCTTGCCCATCCTGGGCAAGTATACCTGCTCTGTTCGGCCCTTCAGAGCCCTGCCGTAAATGTATCACACAGTGTAATGTGTCCAGTCAGACCCTTATAGCTGACAGATTTTGGAGAGTGGAGCCACTGCTCACTGTAAGGACAGGAAAAAGAACACAAGCACAAATATGTGACATCAAATCAATTATTCGCTCTGCGAATTTGCATAAGTTGAAGAACGTTTCAACTCGAGCGTATTTTGCGGCAAATGTTTTGCCTGTGAATTCGCTTTCCCTTTGGCATGTCCCCTAAAGTGTGAACTGGCCCGAAGAAGGTTGCTTAGTGAAAGAAGTAATGGTCCATCTGTGTTTCTTATCTCCACAGTCATGCTACAGCCATTTGAATATGATCCCAATGAGAAAAACAAACATAAGTTCATGGTGCAGTCGCTCATTGCACCGCCGGGCGAAGTCAATCAAGAAGAAGTGGTAAGTTGACCCTGTGTTTACGTGGATAAATTCAAAGGTCTCGATGCAGCTCACCGGTGTTTCTGTTGATAACAGTCACACCAGAACCATTCTTGAACCTTAAGAGCTGTCCATACTAATGCTGAAATACCTCAAAGGTTGAACACAGTGGTACGCTCTTCATATCAGCATCAGTGTCTTCGATCTTCACTTTTCTTAACAGCAATCATCTCAGATCTTCCACAGCCCTTGTTGAGCTGTTTCCAGTGGTTGGCCGAGTTGATTAATTTAACCCCCTCAGCATTTTTTCTAGAAGGCTGACTCAACCCGTCAAATTCCAACATCCTTTCGCTGCCGGGTGGGGTGCAATGTACTCAACCTCCAACAGTCACTTGCTGTATCAGTACTCAGCCAACAAACTCCAACAGGCAGTAAACTGTTGAGTTTTGGCTGAGCGGGGATACTTGGTCATATACTTTGTATAAAGAAGGGGAACACAGTGCAGTCATCCCTTCAAGATCTAACAACTGCAGAGCTATACAAAATTGTACTTGTTTTGGGAGGGCTCAGATGCAAGGAAAAGACAAGAGAAAGAATGGAGAGTTTTGAAGATTGTGGAGCATTTTTACGTGGGGGGCAGTTGGAGGATTTTGCAGGATGGAGGCCGCAACTTAGCTTAAAGGCCCAGGGCATTAGAGTACAAAGAATGGGCCATTGAGTTGGTACACAATGGTCAATATGTGGAAGATCCATAAAGGTTCATGTCATTTAGTATTTCTGGTATTGAGAGGAGACAATATGAAGAAGTTACAGGTTTGGGTTGGGAGGAAAAGACAGAACACTATTCTGGGTAAGACGTCAAGGAATCATGCAGGGACTGAAAACCCAATCCACATGTGGACTGAGCCAGGAATCGTACCCAGGCTGCAGAAGTGAACGGAAAGGAAATAAGTACTATGCCAACCTGACTCCCCGGTCTAAGGGACGAGGTTTAATTCTGCCCAAATCAAACGTTTGAAAGAATTCAACAGGTGCAGCCCAGCCACTTTTACTTTAAGCAGGGCCGGATGTCTTAATTTTTCTAGCGTAAAGAATGCACTGCAGGGCTCTGGATTGGCTCTGGATGGTTGGGATGGTTTAAAGTGTCAAGAAGGGAAGGTTAATTACACCCTGACCTTTTTTCCCCTCTTTATTCAGTGGAAGACACAAGAGAGTAGTGCTCTGATGGACACCAAGCTAAAATGTGTATTTGAGCTGCCCGCCAGTCAAGCCACACAAGCTGCCTCTGTGGTAAGTGATCCCTTCCTTTCTTTCATTTCTTTTGTCTTAACCAGTACCCTTCAGTATGTGAGGAGGTTTATGTCTATCATTTTTGTCCGGTTCCCTGACTTTACAACACTGACGACTCTTGATAAGTCAGAGATCATGTGAGCAACCACTCGTCAGCTCTACATGTCAGAAGTCTTTCCTCGGAAGCTATCGTGAGATGGGTTGGTTACTTTTAAATTCTGACACTTTGTGTTATGTGCTGGTAGGAGCTTTGACCTAACTGAAAATTCAGAGATTTCAGGGTTGACGACAAACATAGTAGGAGTTGTGTCCTAGTAAAATCAAGAAAACCTGCGGAATGTTCAGAAAATGTGGACATTTTGGAACAGGAAGAAGCTCCTCCTTGAATGCCCTGAGAAGGGGCGACCAATTCTGATACCTGTTTCTCTTTCTGTGACGCTCCCTAATGACATGCCTAGAGAAATAGCACTGGGGATGTTAGAGGGACCAAATCACCTTGTCATAAAGAGATTTTTTATCATTAAAAGACTTGAAAGCAAAGAAAACCGGCAGAAGTTTAACCAATTCGGTTCCTCACATGTTGCTTTTCGTAAACAGTACTTTATTACAGCAATGCCCTTTGTATCCGCTGTCGACTGTACATCTTTTGAATGCCCCTGCAGGTAGAACCTGGCAGCGGTGGTAAACCGGCCAAAGCAGAGACTCAAGGGAAGACGGCGGAGAAGGACCTGGAGTCAGTGCTGGAGGAATGTAGGACGCTCAGACAGGAAGTCAGTAATCTGAGGACAGAGAACTCAAGCCTAAGAGTAAGTTTAGGTGCCACTAGCCTTTATTCACTGGTCAGTTTGGAACCAAGAACGAGAAGCACCGCGGCGTGAAGAACTCTTTATAAAATAGTAAAATATTCCCATGCAAATACATCTCATCAGGCCAGTGTTATCTTTTATGGTCCTGTGTGAAGGGAAGTAAGTAAAGTCACTTGTCGCCACTTATCCAGCCGCTGGATTCGAAATTCAGACCCTCAACACTAGTCACAAACCCTATATCTCTTGGTCAAATGGAATCCCAATTGTAGCAAGGAATTCTTTGGTGTGTTTTTTGTTTCCTTTGATAATTTCATTCTCCATTTAAAATACAAGTATTGTTTCAGCAGATCACAAATGTTAACTTTCTCAGTCATTGCCTTGAAGGCAAGAGCGGCAGTTTGACGTTTTTCTCTGGGGAAAGGGTTGAGGGTGGTTGAACCACTTTAAAACAAGGTCCTTAGGACTTCATAAATCAGCTCGTATAATCAGAAATGGAAAACAGACTACTACGACTTTGGACCTACAATTTTCCTGGTTATAAGCAGGATGTTGTACAAACAGTGCTTTTAATTCTAGAATTGACATTTACGTTTAGCTTTCATTGGCCTAGTTCTACCCACACTCCTTTGCAACCACCAAAACACTAAAATTTTGCATTTTAAATCATTGACATAACAGAGCAAGCTGTAATGCATCTGTTTCCTTCCTCCCTCCTTTTGTTTGGATGTTTTTGCAGGACGGGGTGCGACAGCGTAGGGCCGGCGGTGACAGCCAGATGACGTCAGTGCAGCCCTCCATCACGGAGACCCGTGTCAACAACATGCCCTCGGTGGTGGCCCTGGTCGTGGCCATTCTGGTTGGAATCATCATCGGCAAGGTCATCCTGTAAACAAAGAAACAAACAAAGAAAACAAATGCTCATTTACGCCAGCAGGCTAATGGCCCGCAGTCTGTTGAATCTCTCTGCTTTTCATTCGCCGATTCGGGGAAAAAACCAAGACAGGGGACCAATCTGACTGGGGTGGGGTGGGAAATGGGAGGGGAAGAAACTTGTCAGCAGATCACTTGATAAGCAGATAACTTGTGCCAGCGGTTTCCTGTAATTATAACTAAACTCAGCAGATAACACTGCAACACGAGTATTCAGTTGCATGTAAGAAATAATAACTAAAATACCCTGAAGACTCTGGTATATTTCCATATTTGCATTGTGACCCAATACTGTGTCGATGTGATTCAAAGCTCTCCCATGATTGGTGTAAAAAAAACAACAAAATTTGTGATGAAGCAGGTTGAAATTACATTTGATTTATAAAGAGAAAAAAAATTAAAATAAGCACAGGCGTCATGTTTATAAAAGGGGAAAATGGATCGGATTTGTTGGTTATTGGTAAAAGTGGTATGCAATATAAACAACATCAATGACTAGTGGAGCACTGGGGTAACTATGTGTCAACTGTCAATTTCCAAATCTGAAAGTTCCGACTTTTTTCTTACAACCAAAAGAAACTGGCTCTCAATTTTGGCCTCACGCTGAACAATTTGATGCATCTGTAGCAGAAAGCAGACTAAATTCACCAAACTGAAGCCAAAGACCCGGAGACGCAGTTTGGAAAACATGGCATAGTATATTGGGGGGAAAAGGCGGTGATTTGTGAAGACGTAATGCTTTTGAAACTTTTGGATCACTTACACCCCGGGATCGTTGTTTTCTTCTCCATAAAGTGATGCTCTGGAATGTGCATATGTGGAAAATCTGAGGGACAATACAAGTTAATTTTACGGAAGATTTGTTAAACCTCCTAACTGCACTGATATAAGCTGTCATGAAGTGGAATTCTCAGCCTTTTCACTGTTGTCTTGCCTTCCAAGTTCCTCTGGAATCGACGGGGAGGTTTGGAGGGATTTCTAACAGACTTTGCCAAAGATACAGCTTAGCGCTGTATCTCAGGTTGAAAGATTAGATACTATGGCAGGAATGCAGTGATGAGTTTTGCACACTGGCAAATCTCCTAGACTTGGGAAGGTTGTTTGTAATTGTATAAAGGGGTGGCGTGGGTCACTTACTTGTCCGAGGTTTGTGTCCCATTAAAAAAATGTTCTGAAACTCCTCAATTTAATGGTGAGAATGGCTGTGCAGAATGCTACATGGATTCATGGATTTAGCAAAATGATCTCCTCACAGCTGCCAGATCCAACAACTGAATTTGTATTATTAAACAAATCTAGCATAGACCCAAGGGTGCGTCTGGTAAAATGGGCATTTCTTTATGTAAACTTTCTATGGCCTTTCCGAAGGATGAGGCTAAGTGTGGGGGCTTTTTAAAAGGTTTTGGAAGAAAGGCAGGTTGAATTAATGAAAACAAATAGTGTTATCTTTCATTTTGCAAAGACAATTGGGGGAAGAGAGGGCACCAATCCACCTGCGTGTAGGCACCTGACCTTATACCCTTCCATAATGGGTTTGGCATCGAGGTACAAAGAAGTCTAAGAAAGTGGGCTGGGGATTCTGTCCTGTTGGATTTCAGTGAATGGAGGATGGCTCCCGGTCAAAATATCCCGTGGGTTTAGGGTCAGTAGTTAATTCTGCAGTCTTTCATCTTTGTACATTTTCTTTTGATTGTTCAAACCCAAAAAACTAAGGCTCGTGTACGTGTACAAGATGGTCAATTGAAAAAGAACTTCATTGTTCAGCCTTTATTGTATAATTGTGTCTCACTGTTTCCCCTCCCCCCCTTCATAGTACAGTTGTGAAGCCTGAAAGCCGCCGTGGAATATGGTAATTTGTGTTAGTTTTTGTGTTACTTCAAACTTCCTGTCATGATGTAATGCAGCTTGCTTTGGATGTGGCCGGTAACATGTGGCGAGTGTGTGGTCACATGGATCCATGTTGGCAGCTTCGTGCTCGAAAAATTTTGTCAACAATATTGCATTTGGAAATTAAATCTGTGAATCGCTGAATTATTTTGTATAGTGCTGTGGGAAAAAAAGGGTCGTGTACTAAACGGGGGAAAAGTTGTTTTTATCCTAACTTTTTTTTTGGGGGGGCTGTTCACATTTGAAACATGCCAAATCTGACTTTCAAAAGCTTGTTAGATATATCAGTCGTCTTTGCCTTATAGTGAGAGCCGCCATTGGACAATGTCCAAGTGCAGACACTATTGTAGACTCTTTGTGAGACATTGATTCCCAAGCCCTGTGGCTCATTTATAATGTACTCAGTTCTCATCCTGGGAAGTAGTTCTGGCGAAATTTTGAAAGTGCTGCCAATTTCAAAATGGTGTATCTCGGCCTGTGTTGTTTCATTACTGGAATGGTGTCCAAGGAGAATATGCTTTGGCAAATTAAGTAAATGTTTGGTGTGTTCAAATAGTGCTGTAGAATTAAAACCACCCAACCCGTCTGCGAAAATCCAAGATTTAAGGCATACTATGTAGGCATTGATGTGTGGAAAATGCAAGACTTTATTATTGTCCTTATCAGACCTTCACTTGCTTACCCAAATGCATCTGGTCTCACTTGTAACTTTGCACGGCTTTAGGTAGGAGAGTTTAGGCACCAATCCCCTATGGAATTACATGTACTCATAATCAAAATATAATAAATCAGAAATAAGTGGATGGGAAAAACAGCGGGAATTGCTACTGAGCAATATTTTCGTAGTGCACACATTTTACAACTTGAAAACAATCTTGGTGATGTATTAACATGTATAAGCATTTCGTAGATGTACAGGACGCCACAACTGGATTGGTAGAAGACATAATTTGCCATTTCTTTTCTCGATGTGAATTTCAGTGTTGTATTGATTGATAGGGAAAAAGGAGGGCAGTATTGAATAGTTGAACCCAGAGCTGTGTTTAGAGAGAGTTGTGACATGAGTGTCGCCATTGCTGGAAACAAACTGTCAGATGTATGCACCTGCGCATTTGAACAGTTGGTACACAGTAGCCACATGTAACACATAATGACCAGCCATTTTGTTTCCAAAATCTGAAGCTGGTACTACTCTTTACTATATACAGATCTGGTCAAGCCATTAATGTTTCCTTGCTTCCCAGCCAAACCAATTTCCTTTTTTTTATAGCATTCATTTAGCCTGATCTAGTATGCGAATGATTCAGTAGCATTACGGGTGGGAAATTCACAAATGATTCTTTAGAAACTCTGTAGAAGTTCTTTTTTTTTTTTAATCACCACATTTTAACTGGCCGTTCTAAATTTAATTTTGTTCAAATTCATGCATTCATAAATATTATAGGAAAATTTAACTTAGTTTTTTGACTTAATTTGTTAATGACAGTATACAATGAGCAGATGAAACTGTAAGCATTATGAGTTACAGGAATTTCAACCCTGTGAGTTCCTCATGAAAACAAAGAAAAGCATGAAAATGTCAAATACTTGTTTTGCTGAATTTAGCCACATTTACTGATGTAGAGATACTTTTTCAAAGATATATTTAGAAAAGCATGCCTTTCCTTTGAAAATGTGTAAAACTGACAGTAAATGAGTTTGCATTGCAAACGCTTCCATTGTCTGTGATTAAAATAAGTCTGAATCGTTAATTTTTGGATGTTTGAAATTTTGTAAAGTAATGTGAATATACTTTCATTCACTTCTTATTGTGATCAAGTTTAACCAAACTTGTAAATGTACAAAGATCTTACACCTGCAGTTCACGTCTGATGTAGAACATAATCGTAATGAGAGGTATTTAAAATTCATTGACACTGTTTTATTCGCTCTGTGGAGTGATGGTTGAGAGCGCTGTGCAACTTGCTGGCATGGAAACAGCAGCCAGTGCAGTGACCAATCTTGACCTGAAACGTGCACCAAAAAAGGCAGCTCTTAACATCACGTACCGCTAGCTGTTGATTGCTTGACAGGAAGGAAACTAGCGTTGGCATAGAGTTCCTTTATTCCATTGGAGAGGTTGGCATTGCTACTGGTTGAGGGTGCTGTAACACAGAGTCATTCGCCTCTATTTCTTTGTCGAGCAATTTGCTAGACTTTCACAAATTATTGCTGTTGCTCACTTCAGAAACGACACATACCATATAATGTAGGTGCTGAAAACAGTACACATTTGGCACAGAAGCAATTCCTTTGTGGGTTTTTTTATGTTCTTTCGGCTGAACGCCCCCTTGTGATTTTGTGGAAATTAAAAAAAAAAAAAAATTGGAAACATGCCTAGATAAGAAGAGAGTGTTTTGTTCGTTTGTGTTTCTTGTAGAATACCATATTAACATTTCACAATCAAGCGGCTCACAATTGTTAATCAGGATAAATGCCCAGTGAAATGATTCTTTCTGACAAGCTGTCATTTTGAAGAAATTGAACGAGGCTATTTCCAATGATGCGTCTTCAGACACACTGGAAATTGCAGCTGGTAGTTTGTTTTCACTTCTGTGAAATGCAAGCAAGTGCTAACACAACATGCGCATTGAGTTACTATCATTGACTGGTTCAGTGCACATCATGCAGCTGCATTTGGCTAAATGACTGAGAACCTGTCCCAAATGCTGAATTTGGGTGCAATTCAAAACATGACACGGCAATTTTTGATATGCAATCAAGATACCAGAATATTGTTTTTCTCAGAATACATGTATACAGCATTCACCGAGATGAAACTTCAGGTTAATTGTTGAGTGACCTTTACATTTTGAGCATGTGTTTTGGTCTCAAAGGAAAATAATGCACAGATGATGGACTGTACCCTGAAAACTTAACAGTTTTACCAAACTGTTACAGTCAAGTTATATTTATTTTGTAATATCCCCTTGCCATCCACTGTACATGTTCCCCAGCTGTGTTCACATTTAACCAGATCAATTTTTGGCAGTAAAACTGGTATTTGAAAAGTATCAGACTAAACCAGTGTAATGAAAACAAGGCGGCTACGAGTCCAAAGCTGCCATCGCATTCGTATCAAGAATAGACCACTCTCATTTTGCTTACAAGTTTGCAGAAATATCACCTTATGGTTGGCTTTCGATTTTACCTCAGAATTGTTCAAAATTAACATTTGTCCCGTTAATTTTAAATTGGGTTGTATTTGCATTTAGTATTCACTGGTACATGTATTATTATCTGGCATGCTGATAACTGCGTGGGATTTTTCACACTTTGCCATTTCTTCTTTTACTCTGCACCGACAGCCAACCATATTTCAGCAGCCACTTGAAGGAAAAACACGACTTTGTCATCAAAAGAGCAGCAGACCCTACTTATTTCAATGAACTACAATGAAAACAACTCATTTTTAAACACCAGATCAAATGGATAATAAACAAGAATTCCCATGTAAACCTCACCCTAACTAAACCGACCCACCCCGACAAACAAAACAACACAATATATGAGACCTAAGAAGATATGCGTGTCAACTTGCAACTGTGTTTGCTTATAACATATTCTATTTACATTCGATCTTCAACCATCTGCGTCAGAGCTCAATTTCATGGTTCTACTTACAAGGGAAGAGTTTCCACCAGCAGAAAATCATAGGCCACAGGTTACGGCACATTTCACGAGCACCCACCCTTAAATAGATTCATTCTTGAGGAGTAGTTCCTTTGTTCTTGTGTACTAAGAATTTAGAGTGCAACTGTGAAAAGCATTTTCCAAATCGGTCCCATTTGAACCAGACTTTCCTGGATTGATATTTCAACCAACAACCCTCGTAAAATACTTCAATTTGTGATGGTTAATGATACGTTGGAAATTCCTCCTTTTTGAGTAAATTCCAAAGATTTATTTCATGAAATTCTTGTAGGGTCCTTACGGGGTACTTCCTACTGTTCTGGTACCCCCACAAGGCATCATAAACACAGGCACCACACCATTTTGGACATGTGAATATCCTGTGACACAGGTTTCTGTGCTTAAATGCAAAGTTCTCATTGCTTGAGCTAAAAAGGCAGAAAATTGAGATTACAAATTGAGAACCGTGGTCGAGAAAGACAGAAGAACCATGGAATGGGGCTTTGCTCCTCAAATGTTAAAACTGGTCCAATGGACTTGTTCTTTGCATAGTACTGACAGAATATAGCAAACCGGTAACACAACCACAAACCATCACATCAGCAGTGAGTCCAGTTCAACTTCCCAGGAAATAGAGACCGAACAGTGAGTTGGGGGGGGGACGCGATTGCATAGCATGCCCATTGTACTGATTCTAGTTCAGCAATTGGAATAAAGAACCATTACTTCATAGGTACCACACTTAAACACTGGCTTTATTAAGGCATATTTAATACCTTTTTAACCATATGCTGCTGGGTCTAAATTGAAGTTGCATGACGAGTTCCCGGGGCATTTTCAAGATTTTCCATTTTCAAAATTCTTCAAAAATTCATAACATCATTTATGAAAGTTTACACCTACACAAATGACTGTCTGGTGGCTACTCTAATCTGACAGGCAACATCTATTGATGCCTGAGTATTTCAGCCAGGCCTGCTGCCTTGTAAAGAGAGCCCAGATTGTGTAGATAGTGGTATACTGTTTCAAAACAATGACGGATTACCTCCGCTATTGCAAACTGAAAAAATATTGGCAATTCCCAGTAGCCTGGTCTTTTGTTCCAAGTACGGTCTTTTGCTGCAAGGCCCAGCCCCTTTGTCAAACTATGAGCACCCTAGCCAAGCGTAGAAACCTAAGGTCTCCGGTACCAGGCACCCTGGCGTGCAGTGGTTAAACAATAGGGACTTGCCGAAATGTACACCTGTCAAATTTACAAACTCACGTGGCATGTTTGAGTTGTGTATAGTCACAGTAATGTCACTTCACTGGAGTCATCTTAAAACATAATACTTTTTTGAGTTTCCCATTAGAAACGAGCATTAAAACAGCTTTTACATATTGCACAGTGCAAAGGACAACCTATGTAATGAGTATCTAGTGAAAGAAAGTAATTAATTCAATGATAATATTACAGGTGGTGTACACCATTGGTTTTTTGTCATAATTTCACAAGCTTGGCTGATTACAGTGTACAATATTCACTGCAACTTACACTCCTATGACTTGTTTCATGTTTGAGTCAACTGGTTCGTGAAAAATCAAGAAAAACAGCGCGGCATTTGAACGCTTAAATCGAAGATGTTGTAATTCATCTTGCATAAAATTTATGGGTTGCAGGGTGTTCGTAGTAAACAAAAAAACATCCTTGGGGTCAGGGTGGGAAACAGACATGACAGGTTCCCTTAAAAAGGAGTTTTCAATGGTTCGGAGTAACCAGTGAATTTACCTTGGAGTAATACGCCTCCTTGACAATGTAGCACTGCGGATTCATAGAAAAACTTTCATCAGGAATTGCAGTCCATTCATGTCCGTGAAACTGAAATGAGTAGGCCTAGGGATACGATAATGCAAGTACGCACATTGATCAAAGTCTAAAAACTCCATATTTAGTTGATTCACTAATACTTATAAGCAAAGATGAAATTATGTCTTGAAACACGGGAGGTTTAACGTGTGGTAATCATACTTTTGTTAATAAAAGTCCCTTCCACCATTCTGCTTGGAAACAGCCAACCTTTTTGGATCATACCATTATGTTCTAGGGACGATTCTGAATTTGCAAAGTTTTTGCGTTCAGAAAATCCTTTCCTTAAATAAAATTTAACTTCACACTGATTCAGTTTATTTTCTCCATTTCACCTTACACTCTGCTTCCTATAATTTCAGTTTACAATGTTTTCGGTGAATTTTCTTTGGTACATTTCTAGCTGCTTTTAAGTTTACCCATTCATTAACCCTAACACTCCTCAGTCCTCCAACAGGTGAAGGATTGAGGAGGGTTAGGGTTAATGGAGACTCCCAAAACATCTGCAAACACTACGCACAAAAAAATTGGCATCTGTTAGAAGAGAGTGACATGCAAAGTGAAATGAACTCTTTATACGATGGTTGGCTGACCATCGTAAAAACAAGAAGACAAATTTCTGTTTTCTCGAAAACCACAGCATTCTGGGCGGAAATATTTGACAGACTGATTGAGGCTGTTCTTTCAAGTAAGATAATTCCGGATTATACGATAGTCTGAATTGGGAGATTTTACCAATGGTGTACACTACCTTTAAGGAGAGAAATCAGAATTTTTATTTTTCCTCTTTCGGTTTATTTTCTCTAGGGGAGAAGAGGAGGTCCAGAAAAAGAACCGCTGTCGGAGTGGGGAAAAAATATTCGATGCCCATGTTTACACTCAAAAGTTCTGTCAAAGAGTATATCTGCTCAGCCGTTCTTTAATGAGAGAGTCGCTCAACTGCCACAGTGCGGTGGCTAGTTCTTCGTCGTAAGCCTCATCTGATGCCTGGCACAGCTGGCAGTGGTTGAAGTACATGCCCCCGTGGCCTTCCAGCTCCCGGGCTGTGGCGCAGTACACCGTGGTGGCTGCTCCTTGTTGCTACCAGGAGAGAGAGAAAGAGCCAAAGACAAGTCCGCGTCACTTGGAAGTGAGCTAAGTACCTTGTCTGTTGTGCTGCGAGCCTGTTTGTTTGACAAGGATCTGGATCTCAGTCAGTGATCCCATCGTTGATTCGCTCTATCCATTGAGCGGGTTCTGGTGTCGTGAACCAATGACGGATTACTGATTGAGGTTCGGATCAGTGTGAAACAAATGGCCTTATGATTCATGGAAAATCACAGAAGAGAGTTGAATACTATCCAAGTACCAAATTTACTACATCTAATTTAGTACATCTTCCGGTGAGCACTGTTAAGTACCAAATTTACTACCAGATAATTTGATCTGGTTGGATATGAGCAAAGCCGTATAATACTAAGACAATCACAGCAAACATCAGAAAGAATTGCAAGGCTTTGGACAAACAATTTTCCAAACTAAGCTGTTGTCCAAAAGTTTTAATTAGAAAGCATTTTAAGTGTCCAAAGTCCCAAGTTCAATTATTTTTTCTCTGAAGCTGACTTCAACTGCCACTCCGCTGTCACTGTTTCTGCTGCTTTGTACACAACAGAAGGCTCAGTATTGGGTAGTAAACAAAGTACTAGGAGATTATTGGACAACTCTGGCTGTTCAATACTTTGAAGTACAGAACAGGTGGTTGCTTTAAAACAGTTCACGGCATTCAGTACATCTGGGAGGTGCCACAAACTGTGCCCATGGCACCATATAATGGGTCTTGAGCTGGACCTTAGCAATGGAGGCTTTTTTGGTACTAACTGGGCATCGCTGGTTCAAGAACAACCGGGAAATCCAACACTTCACATTGCTACCAACAAAAAAAAACACTCCCGACCAACGCGGCTCTTTTGCAGATAGCATTGATCCCTTTTGGCCATGAGCAAATCTAAAACCTGAAAGCTATGACAGTGGTGCCTTGAGGGAAACATTAACGGCAAGCCATAGGTCAAATTAGGCTTATAGGTGTGCATGGTAGACATGAACAAAGTATGGAAGGTTTAAGGTAACACCATGTCAGTCGATCTCAGTAACTGGTTCTTCACAGAGCCACACAACCTACAATAGAGAATACCTTCCATGGTTCTACAGCAAACTTTCCATGCTTCAAGCTACCGGTCAGTTTCAAAATCCACAAATTTTTAAAAAAAGTTATCGTTGGTAGTAGTACTACAAGAAAAATGGCGGCGTCCGTTACGGAGGATTAATGCTTGGATAACTGGGCTGAATTCTTTTGTATTTAAAAAAGAACATTCATTTCTGTGTTGTGGAAAATTCTTATTGTTCACATTGCAAAACTTCCCATTGCCTCCGGCTTTGGAAGCCATCTCTCTACTTTTTGCAGCTGTTCAAAAATCAAAATCCCACGAGTTTCTCTGTGTGTTCCTGTAAAACCCTCACGAGGAGGTGGTGTGTGATCCTGTTCCCAGAACAGTGTTCTTGAGTCGCATTCCGCCTTTCAAGCACGAGAACAAGAAACCTGTGTCAAGAACAGGTTGCCTGAACTCGACCAAAGAGAAGCCCCATCCATAACGTTCGTGTATGAATGAAGGGGGGAGGGGTTCATCCATCCTATTCATGCTAACCATGGAAATGAGAAATTTATCTTAAAAGGGGGAGGGGGGAGAGACGATGGATTGGAAGAATGACGCACCTTGGTTTTTGCAAACGGCCGGGCCAGGAGGAACAGCACTCGCCAGCCCCACCAGCTACTCTGCAAGTTGGTGTAGATCATGTTGCCTGGGTGCACTGCGTTGGAGCTCACGCCTCGGTCAGTTAGACGCCTGTGCAGGTGCTGGCTGAGCAGGATCAGGCAGAGTTTGGACTGGCCGTAAGCGCACAGCGAGTGGTAGTCTGCCTGGGCCAGACAGATCTTGTTCAAGTCTAGCTTATTGGAGGAGATGTCCAGAAATCTGAAGAGCGATTGTGTAAAGAGAGGGAGAGAGGTCTGAGACAAGCATTGATGGGGGGGAGCCGAGGGTAGAAGAGGATTCACAATCAATTCAGGATAGAGCGAACTACCAATGTATCGATCCACTTAGTCCTGCCCACTACGCGAACACGGGCAATTAAGAAGGGCTTCTCTTTAGTGCCATGCTGCATGTTGCGGCTACGCATGTCATATGCAGGTTCACGCACGTCGGGTTTTTGTGCACAGATGTCAGACATTAATCACAGCTGAGATTGGTCAAAGACCACTGGGTGGAGCTGAATGAATCGGTCTATTGTTTGTCTTGAGTAGGCCAACTTTTTACGACAGGGGCTCACTTCAAAGACGAGAAAAATAGAAACTCAAAACAAAAATTTAAAGTATACTAAGACTTATAGGGGTGAGATTAAGGGAATTAAGAGAAAGCCACAAAATATCACACAGAAAGGTTGCATAAACAGCGACAATAAAACCTACAACTTTTAAGGCTAATAATGGCGAAAAAGCTTAGGTCCTCTCTCAAATGGGCATGATCATGTTACAGATGCAATTGGATTTCTCATATAAAATCTGATAAAGTAACAAAACCTCCAGACGGCCACAATCTGGGGGTCAAAGATTCGGAAATAAGCGGAGGAATCACACGTCCCCGCCCGTGGACTTACCGGTGAGACTCACAAGACACAAAGACCACCCTGGCAGGAGAGGACTTGATGAGGACATCTTCCAGGTGGCGAACAAGGTAGTAATGCGAGAGGTAGTTGACCTGAAATGTCTTCTCCAGCCCGTCTTCCGTGAGCTGCCACTTGATGCCAAAGACCGCCGCGTTGCAGATCAGAATATGCAAAGGCCTGTGATTAAAACAAAGAGGGATTGGAACATGGAATTCATGGTCTGATGAACAAAAGTCAACTGTAATAATTGAATATTGGAATATCAGGCCTTCCTTTCAATTTATAGGAGAAAATATTCATTTGTACCAAAATGCCACCAAAACAACAAGAAAATATACATCTTTCCAAAAAAAAGAGAGGAAAAAAGGAAAAAACACTAAAAGTAAGGGTAATTCTTGGCCCTATTATCAGGTAAACACATTCAATTACATCTAAGCTTACTTGCAACACCTTAGCATATGTTTTGGTAATGCAATTTTGTGACAAAATAATGTAACTTTTCCCCTTTCTTTCATTTGAATGATTTTTATCCTCCAATTTTCAATCTCAAAAATATATATTCAAATACTCAATGAATTGAATACGCCTACATCCAAATAATCGGCACAGCCCTAGGACAAATGTGAACTCCTTAACCCAACAAAATGTGGGCCAGAAATTCAGGTGCATGCAAATGCCAATACCTTCTACAGTGAGTAACAGTTTAACAGATTCAGCTTATTTAAGAAAAGGCCATGTTTCAAACCAATATTAGTTTTTAATTAATTTTTCTTAACAATGCACTTATAAATGTAGCGATTTATTACTCATTGAACGTTGAATTCACAATTCTGCCATAGCTAGTGATGAGAATAGTTGAACTCTTAAAAAATTTATTTAGAAAATATTAAAAAATATAAAATACAATAATAAATGCACATCCCAGACAAAAATGCAAAAATCCTACTGATTAGTAATTCAATGTATTCACCAGCCGCGCAATTTGTAGTTTTCGGCAAACTGTTTGACGCTCCTGAAGGAGGCTAGATCCAGTGGCATGGTTTCCACATTGGCCAATGAGAGCTCCTCCTTGATCTTTGCTACAGCCTGATTGGCCGCCTTGAGATTGCGGCAAGCCATGACGACGTGGACGCCGTGGAGCGCAAGTGACCTTGCTGTTTCAAAGCCTATGACAAAAGGGCACAAAGTGATAATGGAGAGTCGTCAGACATTAAATTTTACACAAAGTCTCAACGCACTGAAGTCGTTATTACCATTTCCCTATGGGACCTGTAAATCATTCCTCAAACTATCTCAGCTCTTTGAGGAGTGTACAGCTCAGTGGGGCCATTTGAGGTGCTATCTCGCTGATCAACCATGTTAACCATCTGTGCCCTCACAAGTAAATGGGTGTTTAGGGTTTTGGAGGACGGAGGTTGTATTTAGTTTTTTCATGGAGGCAGTTGGAGGGTTTGGCAGGATTCAGCCTGCATCCTAGCAAATTGCTAGGGGAGGTTCTAAACTTATCCACAAGCCACCACTGATTTCAACAATAAGATGACGCTTTGAAAAGATGCTTTCTTTTTCTTTTAATCCCCTTTACGCCTTGGGAAATAGCACCCCCTCATCAGTGAGGAAAGTTCATGGTGTTGGTAGCAACACAACTGCAACACATGTCACAGTTGTTTGTGAACCAGTGAGAAGCAGTTTCCACCAAAGGAGCCTCCGTTGCTAGGAAAACTGTGCCCTCTCTTGGTCCCACTTGGGCCTCATGCCATTGGCCGAGTGACTCACCGATGCCAGAGCTGGCTCCTGTGATGACTGCATATTTGCCTGACAGGTCTCTACCCTGCAGCACATTGAGAGCCGTGCTTAGGGCATCGAACCGTCTGGGTAGATCCCCAGGTTTACTGCTCTCTTCCTGGGCAAAGGCGAGCCGGGGATCTGTGAAGGTAGTCCTCTTATTCAGATGGCTGTTACCAAGAAAACATTCAGATGACGAGAAGTGCTGTTAGTGTGACAGTCTCAGTCCTTAACTACGCTTAAACTGAAGACTGTGGTGCCAAAGAGTTGTAGTCGGTGCGATGAAACAACGCTAGACAATTTCAGCAATGCAATACTCACTCTACAAAGACCCGTCTCTTCTGGTCGTCTTCCTCTGCAGTCCAGCCGTAAGGAAGTTCTTGACAGACACACACAAAAAATATCCACTGTAATTCAGTGCTTATCGATTCCCTTTGTCAGGCATGCAACTTGGACTCCGACAAAACTCAAGGAAATTCCAATCTTTACAAGGCTTATTACAGTGTTTTTCAGTTTATGAGTGTGAAGTGAAAAACAAGAAAATCAGCTGCTCCGAGGAAAAGTTGCACGCCAGCTTTGTTTCTTTAATGAAACAGTTTACCACTGCGTCAATGGTGAAAGTCCATGCAGGCATTTTGAAAGTTCAAGCTTCACAAAAGTCACTGTAGTAGGTGTGTATTTTTTTTCACTTTGTAATGGCACACAATATGGAGACCACTGTACAAATCCAGAACTAAGCTGAGCCAGGAAATGCCTAAAAGTCAATGATTATAAAGACCTTTTTTAGAATAATTTCCAAACATGTTACCATCCTCAGCATTTTGTGTGATTATTAGGTAAACTCTCTTTCTTGCAGTTTCATGTAACCCTCCTTTTGTTGTAAACTGATGGTCAGAAATTCATTTAATTCCTCTTGCTACTCCCAACAGTCAAATCAGAATTCTGGCTGGTGTTGAGAATGGTCAAATTCAATCAACTGACAAAAGCAGGCGACTGGTAGACAAAGCAGGCTTATCAATCATCGACAGTCAAAGTACATATATGTTGAGTTATGTAAACAGTTGAAGCCAGTCGCTCATGTGGGTGGGGGACTCTGGACTGTCAACAACAGCCACTTAACTGCTTTTGAATGACAGGACAACTTTTTGCTGAATGCACATTTACATGGGAGGGTACATGAAGTCTACCAGTTTGGGGAATTTCCAAGTGTCCCCTGATCAACTTGGCCAAATGTGCACCACGTTAAGTTCTCCAGAAGTTCGTCCCTAAAGAAATGAACGAGCCATTTAAACTGCATGATTACCTCAGCAGCTATTGCTGTTATCTCCCATCCAGTTTCATCATCTAATGTCTACTGAGTCCTGTCATATTCTGACTAACTCAGGCCAAGTGCCATTGTAAGGAAAACCGTGTACCCACCTCCTGTTATTCTCTTCTTTTTTCCAGTCTTAGGATGTTGCCACTGAGTTTCTCGATGTTGGTGGCTGAAACGTGTAAACAGGTGGGGAAACAGTGACACAATCAGGGCCGTGAATGGGCTGTATCACATTATTGCTGGAAATTTCATGTGTTCCACAAAAGTTGTGTTGGGCCAAAAATATTATCTAAACTTTGAAGGAAGAAAAAGCATGAATTGTGAAGATGAGCTGCATCGCAAATCTGAAATTCGAATTAGAAATTCCAATGACTGGACACATTGATTTAGGCAAGCTCAGACAGGAAACTGCAGTCAAACTTTAAATGAGTATACATGGTTAGGAAACCTGATAGTAGGGCTGAAGCCAGTGTTGTAGTTGGGCCCATCACAAGTCCCACCAAGTCCACCACGAGTCTTTCCGAATTCCAAGCCAAAGCGTGACTGGTCTTGTGAAAACATTTGGGACTGAACATGTGGAAGGGACTTGCGTAAAAGGGCTTGTGGTGGACGTAACGACTATACTGGCTACAGCCTGACGCCACAGGGTAAACCAGAAATCTTCGGCCCACTATTTCTTGTTGAAATGATCTGGATTTTTACAACACATTTCAAAGTTGCACTCAATGCTGTGTACAGACTAGATACACTGCTCCTTTATGTGTGTTACATTTGTCAGATATCAAGTGCTTTATAATTCCTACCAGTCAAAGTGTCAAATACTATCTAAAACCGGTTGTGGTCGGCCAAAACATGGCACATTTAAAGATGTCCGCCCCATCTTCAAACTAGTCTGGTACCTAGAGAAACCTGTACTTACTTGGCATAAAACACTCGTCCATCTGGTGTGCTTCTCTCCTCCCAACCTGCCGGTAGTTCGTCTTCGCTATCTGTGTCCAACAGCCCAATACCAGGAGCAGCCATGCTCTGAAATGCACTTTGTTTTCTACCAAAGTTACAAAATATAAGAAAAAATTACAATATAGTGGCTGGAAGTCAGATAACCAGTGATGTTATCATGCACCTGGGCATGGTTCCAAATGGCAGAATACAGATCTACCAGTAAGGTATGTGTGTTTATTATTGTAAGTCTGGTTCCCAGAATCAAAGACTACAACTACATGTAAGCATACAGCGTTAAGAGTACTTTTGTTACGCCCCAACTATAGCGTAAGTCCCAACTACAGTTGGGCCCGTCCAAACTAGAGTTGGGCTCGTCCCAACTAGAGTGCTACAGTTGGGCCGGCACAACTACAGCAGAGAGGTCCTGTGTGCATGATGTGCTCAGCATGTGCCAAAGTCATATTGTTTACAAATGTTATGTCATTGGTCATGGGGCTAGATGAACAGACGAAGTGCCACATTTTAGATGAATTGTGTCAAGTGTGAGACACAGTGACTTGGATAATGTTGAGACATTTGCCACAGACATTGGTCAAGAATAGTTGGGCCAGCCCAACTGCAGCACTACAGTTGGGACTGTCCCAACTATAGTTGGGAATTTTGCTTTAGTTGGGTCATAACAGTTTTACTGCGCAATGAGAGTTGTTGCACTAGCATTGCGCAGCGAATGGAAACAACTCTCACTGCGCAGTGTCATGTGCCTGAAATTGAGGCCTGTGTGGAACGCCCTCACAGAGGACAGGTCTTCGTTCCTGGTGATACGGTCGAGTCATGTGTTCCTTCCTCCATGCTTGAGTAGGACTTCATATTGTCATCTAAATCTAAATAACAAAAAATGTCCTCTATGAGGGCACTCCCCGCAGGCCCTCTATAGAACACCATAAGTAACTGGCTAGGCCTCGGGCCTATATTCATTCCGATCCCCAGCACATGCTGCAGTTCTGGGCCTTGATAATCGTAGGCCGAGCAGAGCTGACGACGTCGGACCCCACACTGGGGTATGTTGGGACATGGATTGGGAGCAGTGAAATCGGTCGGGAAAAATGGCAGATAATTGTGGCCGGATGGGGATTTCGTCCTTGTTGTAGGCCTAGATACATTTTTCCGCGTTTCGGCTGCATCAAATAAACACTCACCAAACGCAGTTGTAACAGCATGTCATCAATACGAATATCGGAATAATCACGCTGTGACCGCGTGACGGCATAGTCGGCCGGCCCGGACCGATGCATAATGGTTAGATCCCTCACTGTTTTGGTCTGGGAACCACCACCAACTGCTTGCACCACATGCCTCGATACAAGAGCACGTACCCAGCGTACCAGCATGCAGCTGCCGCTTTTCACAAACCTTTGATCTCGGGGTCGGACAATCCTGCGACAGAAGCACCTGCAACATTAGCTACTTTTTGTAGATTTGCAGCCAATTGCAGTTGAAAATGGCATTTAGAAACCCGGCAAAACGTCTCCTTGTTCTGAAAGAGCAATGCACAAGGGCTTTCGCCTCCTCAGTTGTCTCTAAAACAAGCATGACAAGGTATGAAAAAGAGCCATGTTTGTTCGCTCATTATTTGTTTCAACTCAAGACATGCTAGAATTTTATCATTTGTTGACTTAATAAACTGTAACAGTAGGCTGAGGTTATTTGAGAGTGGAAGTTTATGTTTTGTGTCAGCCGCGGCTGCACGCATTATCCTTTTGAAGCATGTCGTGTTACAAAGAAGAAGTTGCAACTCTGTCACTTCAAAGTGTTCAATGTGATGGTCGCCGCCAAGTCAGACGAATTAATAGAAAACATTCCAAACATGTCTGATCACTGCCTGCATCTTCATGATCTTAGCCGGACAAGCGGGGCCAGTAATATCCTAGCAATAGCTGTAGTTTTTTTGCTTGCAATTAAATACAAATTATTGCTGTGACCAGGAAATAAAGAGAGAAACATCCCTGATATTAGACCTACTTTTGCCATTGTACATAAACTTTCATACTCTGTGTGACTTTGAGCCAACAAGGTTTAGGCCTGCATAGTGTCGTAACACTGTGGGGTTTTGGAATCAAATTTTTGTGATGAGATGGTTCACAGGTGTAAGAAAGCTATTAAATCAAAATTTCCCGTCAGCAAACCTGCTTTATCTATGCCTCCTAAAAAGCGGGATAACCAAGTTTCAGAGCATGAGACCGAGTATTTTTGAAAAAAATGAGATTTTTGCTCACCAATTTCTCGTTCCACCCATTGACTGTTGCTTCGTTCATGCCGTTTGTGTTTATCAGACTGTGCCATTATAGCTTGCCTCTAGGGCTGTGCAAAAATATCCAAATATTTGATAAATTATCGCATGTTTGAATATGATTTTCTGAATTTGAATATTTGAATGCAAACTTCATGAAAAGAAATGGAGAAATATTTTTGTTTTAAATGAGAAAAATTGCACTGTTGAGGCTTGTTTCAAGCAGATTCAAATGAAAAGTGACAGATTCCGTACAGGTAGCCCGAGGCCTGAGAAACTGTTATAGTGATTATGATGTACAATTGTGTGCGTTATTGCAACTGTTTTTTTATATGATTTGTTCATCAACAGTCTGTCTGTCAGTACCACTGAATATTCAGATATTCGATTGAATTGAAGGTCGAATATTCAAATAGTGAATTATTCAAATTGACTCAGCCTTACTTACCTCATGGTTGATGGTTTTGTAGTTTGTTTATTGATGAGTTGTGTGCCTCTTCCCTCTATACCCTGCAAAAAAGTCCTGGAGATGCTCTTCGGTATGAATATTACATTAGAAAGTACTGGTATCAAATGTTTCCAATGGGTTGTTCATTTCGTCCATGGTGTAGATGATGATCATATCGTCTCAATTTCACAGCTGGTGGTCCCATGTGGAGATGGGTCCCCCTGACCCCATTCTTGGGGTCACAGAGGCATTCAAGCGTGACTCGAACCCCAACAAGATGAACCTTGGTGTCGGAGCCTACCGAGATGATGAGGGGAAACCGTTTGTCCTGCCAACTGTGAGAAAGGTCGATCTCAAAGTTCTTTCATTTACCTCAACACCTTTTCCCCATGACAAAAATGCAATGTCTCTGCTTTTTCCAGCTCTTTTCTGTGCTGCATTACCGGAGTGTTGAGATTTGAAAAGTCCACATGCAGAATAAAAAAGGTGCTACCCACATCAAACTATTCAGATTGTAAGATGAAATGCAAGTAATCTGTTTCACAGGACCCCTTCATCCTCCTTAGGTAGTTTCACAATTGTTATGCATCAGGTGTAAACTGTAGCGAAATAGTGCTTGTCCGAGGTTGAAATTTATAACAAAGCCTGGGATTTCTGCAGGCTGAGGCCAAGATAGCAGCCAGCAATATGGACCATGAGTACCTGGGCATCACAGGCCTCCCCGAATTCACCAAGGCCTCTGCCAGGCTGGCCTTTGGAGAGGACAGCGAAGTCATCAGCAGTGGTCGGGTAAGAAACTCGTCCCTGTAGCTATCTAGCTTGAATTGAGACTGTTCAGTTGCATGATAGGGAATAAGGATGGGAATTTATTTGTAATGTGAAAAAAAGCTCAGAAAACTTCCCCATACCATTGAAACGTGTCAACGTCCCACCTTTACCACAGTGTCATTGACAACTTGAAACACAACAAATTGTATACAATGTAAATAGTTGACACAAAGTTGCGGTAATGAATTCACGGTATTCCTCTGATATGACTGAGCAATAAAGTGTTCCAAAAATCAGATTACATTTTACAGGCATCCTTTACAATAAAAAAAGAATGCCAGATTGCGGCAATCAAAAGTCAAACCTCTATAAAGGGACAGTTCCATTTAAACGTTTGGGAAAATCTGTAAACCAATTTGGAACTTTTTTTCATTTAAGCATGTAAACGTCCCACCCTCAATGGGGAACAAATTTGACAGCAGATATATATTGATATACGGAACAGTCAGGAGAATGCTTAGAGTGACTGTGGAAACATTTACGTGGTGTTTGTGCTTTGCATGCTCAGCAGAGAAGTACATGTATGAGTTTAAGCCTACATGTCAGTATCCCAGACAGGTTCCGTTGTCCCTGAGAAAGAAGATGTAAATTTTAAAAAAATGATGTTGAAAGATTGATAACCGTATCCCTTCCCAGGATTGTGAAAAGTTAATGAAATCAGAGGAAACTGAGCTTAGTTTTTCTGAGATTCAGAGTTTACAGTTGTAAAACTGTATGATCATACAAATTATAATAATCAAAATCATATAAACAAAATCTTATGTTAATACATGTAGTTGGATGGGACTCAAACCCACAACCTCCTGCTTATTAGTGCAGATGACTTAACCACTTGACCACCAAGCTTAATGGGATTTGCTGGCCAGTTGGAGTGAAGCAACAGCGGATATTATGTCAAACAAACACATGATTTGATTCAGGACCATCTGAGTGAAAAACTCGAGGCAAGCTTGGTGTCCTAGACTTGATTCTTGGGAAAGGGCATTGACTACAACAATTCTGGGACAAACCTTTTGGCTCATCAGGGGAATAAAGAACTATCCGCCTTGAGCAGAAGCACCCCATCATTGGTTGAAAAGAGCCATGCTGGTGGGGAATATTCATTTCGCTGGTAGCGACGCGCCCGTAACGTGTGCATTCCATAGTCGTTTGTGAACCAGCCAAGTGCAATTCCTGCCAAAGGACCCTTCATTGTTAGGGAAATTGCGCCCTCTTTTGGTCCAGCTCAGGGCTCATAGAGTACGGAATTGTGATGTCATTTCTTACCAGAAAGTGTAGTTCAAATGAATGGAGTATCTGTGTGTATTGCTTTGAGCGCTGGTTCTTGTGCTAATGTCTTTTACTCGCATAATTGTGCACATGATGTATTCACTTAGGTACTCAAAAGATATGGATGAAATGGTAGGATTTGAACTGAGTTGTCTGAAACTTTGAAAACCATTGACAAAATTACCGATCCTCTTGCTATGCAGAATGTGACTGTCCAGGGGGTCTCTGGCACAGGGTCCCTGCGAATTGGTGGCAACTACCTGGCCAGGTTTTTCCCTGGCATCAAGTCGATCTACCTGCCAACTCCTTCCTGGGGCAACCACACACCAATCTTTAGGTAAAGATTAGTCAAAGGTTCTTTTCATCCAAAGTGACATGAGGAAAGGTAGACATGTTCTTGACCAGGAGGCCTCACTATCACTGTGCTTTTCTGGGATATGCAGTCTTCGATTTTTGAGGATTGGGAAATAACCCTGTCCTTTGGGCCAGCATTTGTGCCAGTTATCATATCATGGCCTTACCTCGTCTTGTGACACACATAATTAGGTAATTAATACATGTATGCTTGAACAGCTTCCTGTGTTTTGGATGATTGATATTTGCCTCAGGAGATAGTTCCAGTCATCTACCACCTCGAGGTCACTAGTTTTCACTATTTCTCTGCAAAACCTTGTATTTATTTTATTGCACCTCCAAACTATTCATCAGGCAACTGCAGTATTTCACTGGTCCAATCCAACATGGTTGTCATCGTGCAGTATTTGGATCAACTGAAACATTAATTTCAGGATAGGAAGTTCATGTCATGTTGTTTAATGACTGTTACATTCACACCAACACTGGATTCATTGTTTAAAGTTGAAACCGTAACAGTTATAAGCATTTTGAATGGAGCAAAGCTTGACATAAACTCCTCTGTGACAAAGAACAAGATTGCTGTAGAGTGGCAGCATCAACATAGACTGGCACCACTGTCCTTACCGGTACCACTGATCTCCATGGCACGCACGTAAAGGGCATGTGTTGTGGGTAAATAGGTTGTGATGTGCTAAGACAACTCTGAGGCTGCTACTTGAGTGTGGGATAGTTCCTCCCGGGTTTTTGTGCATGGCGCGTGTACACCAGGACACAGAGGACACATGGTTGAGTTCCTGGAATGGACCAATGAAATGCCGCAGCTCCCTGATGAATATTCATGAGGTATAGTTAATATGAATTTCAAACTGATTCAGTTTTGTTTTCTCTACAGGGATTCAGGTCTTGAGGTTAAAAGTTACCGGTACTATGACAAGAATACGTGTGGATTTGATGCTGCAGGGGCCATGGAGGATATTTCTGTAAGACACCCTTTCCTACATGTTGTTCTGGAACCGGAAAACTCTTGAAAAGCATAAAGTTATACTGCGGGTGGTATTGACTTAGTACGTGGGCGTGGGCTAGGCTAGACGAGCAGACCAAATACATGTACATGTAGGTAGCTTGAGAGTAAGTCTACCAATGAAACCATGTATACATGGCACAAGCTTAGTCTCAACACCAGTTGATAGCATACAATGAGTGAAGAGTCTCCCGAGACCTGTTTACTCTCGTAACTAATTACCACAGCTATGTAGGAATATGAAGGTATTGATGAGTGTGATTGCTACTTTATTTTGACTCCAATCCCTGCACTCTTGACTAAGAAGTCTGATTAGAAAGCTACTCCATTGACGCCAGATAATGTATTTTGCAAAGCCGTCCCCCCATGTTTTCTGGTGTTTGAGTTTGAGTGTAGAGATGAGTATGGATAATTTTCTGACTTGGATATTAGTTTATCTGTACAGCGAGTTTCTAAATGGTACTTGTTTTCTTCCGCAGAAAATCCCAGAGAAGTCTATCATCATCCTGCATGCCTGTGCCCACAATCCTACTGGAGTAGACCCCAAGGTAGGAAGTAATGATTGATAACATTTTTAAAGGAGCAAAAGTTAAACATACAAGTTTTAAACCAACCCATCAAGCTTATATTCCCATTCATAACTACTCTTGGGTGTAAATATGAACTTTAAGTCAACTGCTTATTTTTCCAACAGTTTTCGTTTATAAATTCTATCTTGTGTCTTGTGAAAAACCCTTCTAGCCAAGTGTATTGTACGTGCATGTGCCTTTTGTGTGCAGTACAAAAATCCCCTTATTTGGAAATGGACGTGCATGGCATTTGCTGTGCGATGTGATGCAGAATGCAGCTGAGCTAGTATAGGGTGAAAGTCTGACTTGATAAAATGCAGACTCATTGGTTACATTGTGCATGATCAAGATGATTATTGTGTAGACGAGGGTTAGAATCCGCCACATTTCATTCGAAATTGGACATATTTATTAGGGCTGTCCATAATTTTCACCATTTTCACACGATTACAAACTGTTCAGTTGGGAGGGATGGGGGTTAAAAACCTTGCGTATGCTTTTTCTGAATCTGAAAAATGGGGATCCATCAACGGATCTGTCAGCTCTCCATCCATCATCATTTTTTGCCGGCTGATGTACACTTTGGAAGGAGGAGGGGGGTAGTGAAAAGTCTACTTTGTGTACACTTCTGAAAATGATGAGAATTATGGACGGCCCCTTAGGGAATCACAGCAGGTAACGAGAGAGAAACATTGTGGCCGAGATATGTTCAAACAGAAGATCCTAGAAACACGTACTTTTTTCCATCACATATTTTCAACTTGCATGTCACTTTAGATATGGGAAGCATTCTGCATCTATGACAATCCACCACTGCACAAAAGACAAGGCTAAGTTCTGTCAACTACAGAGTTTTGACATGATGCCCACAAAGTGACTTTGGTAATCACTGTATTCATCCAAATTCCACCCAAAACGTGGCCAGATTTGGTTTGACATTATGGATGGGGTTTAAGAGATAACAGAAATGAGTGTTATATTCTTGTGTGCTAATTTTTTTCAGCCAGAGCAGTGGGAAGAATTGAGTAGAATTATCAAGGTAAGAAATTTTGCTTTTTTTGTGTACGTTTTATCTTTCATGCTGTAGATGTTCCTGGCATTTATTCTTTGTGAATGCTGCAGGTAATGAGTCTTATGAAAATACAAAGGGGCATGATAACGATTGCAATTCAAAAGTACTTTTTCGTTGCATACTCCTTCAGATTATGAACCAACTGTGCGACAGTATAATTCCCAAACATTCGCCCTTTGCATGCTGCTGCCATAGGCATGCAGAGCCTCGATCTGGCAGCTTTAATACACAATACTATAGCCGGTTCAGTGATTCCTGTGTATGATGCTTATGTAATTTTGCGTGTGCTGCGTTAGTTCTTATACCATGCGTTTGGACAAAGCGATTCTGACGCGATTGTACAAGCTGCCAGTTTAAGGCTCTAAATGCTTATGGTGGCAGAGTGCGTAGAGCAAATGGGACAAATCTTAACCCTAACCCTGCCAGATGCAGCACAGTGCATCAGGTGAAAAAGTCTGATGAACTTTGCACTGGACAATCAACAGCTGTGAACAAACTGGCCATGTTGAGACAATGGGAGCTAGTCCCATTGAACAGTGTCATTGTTAGATCTTGTGGTAAATTGCAACCACAGACTCCCCGGCTGTTTGGCCTTGGGGAGAGTTGACCTGTTGGATCTTGTTACACTGGGCTGGCAAGCGACCCTGACAAATGATGCAGACCGATGTGTCTGGCAGGGTTTCTCACTATAGTAGGCTGGGAGGGTTAGGGTTGAGGTAACACGGGTCACTTAAAGTTGATCACAAAATGCTCTGTCTGCTCCCTTCATGCGGCCCCTTCAGCTGCAAGGTAGACAGAAATCTCTGGGCAACTGTCTCGGCAGGTTTCCTTGGGCCCATGCAAAGACCACAGATTCCAGTGAAAATTTCTAGAGTGTGCTCTGCAACAAACTCACTGGAACTTGTACACGTGGAGTGAGTCATCCCAAGGGAGTGATGTTGCTACGTAAATGCAGTAAATGTAAATTTCTGCAAATGTTTAAACGCTCTCAAACATTGAACGCACATAGGAATCAGTGTGTGGGCTGAGATTTGAGTGAAGCAGTAGGGCACTTCATGCTTTTATGCCCTTCTGAAATGAAAATTTTGACTGTGCAAAATCTACCCGTTGGTTTTCAAAAACCGACATAGAATTTATGTAAAAACATAAATCACTCCATGGTTTCAATCCTGTTATAGCCTTAGTGCCGTTTACTCATGAAGAAAAGCTTGTGGGGTGCTCAAGGTATCGTGGAAGTGTAAATCCATAAGGGAAACACTGTGAATGCGATGGTAATGTACTGATTCCCTTTATTGTTTCGTCTCTTTCATGGAGCCCACATAATGTGACGTGAATCATCTTCTGTTTTTTCGGTTGACAGGACCGCCAGCTGTTCCCGTTCTTCGACATGGCCTACCAAGGCTTTGCCAGTGGGGACCCGGCTCGTGACGCCTGGGGCCTGCGCCACTTCATCGCGGAGGGCCACACTCTGGCCCTTTCCCAGTCCTACGCCAAGAACATGGGGCTGTATGGCCAGCGGGTCGGGGGCTTCAGCCTGGTCTGCGCCGACCCGGACGAGGCCAAGCGCTGCGAATCGCAACTCAAGATCATCATCAGGCCCATGTACTCCAACCCGCCACTGAACGGGGCCAGGATTGCCAGCCTTATCATGAACACGCCAGAGCTCAATGCTGAGTGGTGAGTTGCTTTCACTTACCTTTACGCCAGCCATAACACATCTTGAATAAACTGATTGCAGGTGTTTTCCAATCCACAAAAGTAGCCAGGCAGTCCAACAAGTTTTGCTTGTCACCCATCGTGTTTTAAAAAAGCTTCGAAAGCATGCTCAGGGGATTCTACTGATGTTCCTTAAACTGCAGATGATGCCTGGGTAAATAATCTCCACAAAACGGTCTCCAGGTTCTTGGGCATCATCACTAAATTGCCCATGTGTTCCCGGACGTGGACATTACGCGGAATCACGGAGAGCACGCTAATCCCTGCTAAACAAAAGAGCCGTTAGCAACCCAGCGGATCCGCAGACAAAATGCAACATGCAAGCTTTATGCAAATTACCAACCTCATGAATACACCCGATCTTTCGTGTATCAGCCGGCAATCTTTGGCAGAGCAAATTCCTTTGAATTAGCATGCGGCCGAGTTTCCGTTGACCGACCGGTTGACTGCCAGTTAGAACAAAATGCTGATTGGCTGCCAACTTGAAAACCACAAGGTTTTGTTTTTCTGATGTCGGCCGGCTGCCCTGGTGGGAATTCCAGAATGAATGTATACGTTAAGGTACCTTACAGGATTTGCATGTACTGCACTTTGCCAAAATTGACCCATTTCGGAGTTTGTGGTTTACTTTGTGTATCATTCAAGGGACTTGTTTCAGAGTACACTGCTCGGAGAAAAATCGATAAAAACGCTGTTCATTTTTAAAAATCAGAGCACAGCTCGTGTAATTTGTCTTGCAAAACATCACGGACTGCAGGACATTCCTGCTTGCCAGGACAATTCATAGATGAGTTGGATCTGCAGACTAGTTACGGCCCTTCAGAAAGACGTTCTTTTCCTTTGCTTTTCAAGGCCCAAATAAACTGTCCTTTCGTTTGGTTGAAATTGTAATATTTAGATGTTGTGATAGAAATATGCCAGAGCTCTAAGTTGTTCGCAGATTTCAAATAAAATGCCATTATCCATTGGAAAAAAAAGACTGATGGAAAATTAATTCAAACTTGCTACTTGGACATGGTCGCTGACCTGGAAAAGAATGCTGAATTGATTCCAGGGTCCTTTGAATATATTGACTGCCACAGTTTGGTAGTGAAATAAAATAACCAGAACACAATCCACTCGAAATCCAGTTTGATTTTGTATCCTGTAAAGTAGGAAATTGCTTTTTAAGCATACTGTTTTTGCTGATCCTACGATTGTTCTGTTGAGTCAAGCATGGTTTAAACGCAACCCTTTTTGGTCCGCAAAACACGTTTAGAAAGGCTCTGATGATGATATTCCAAGAAATTATAACCCCTAAATAAACTTTGGAAAAACATTTAGAACTGTTGAACTCAAAGTTGCTCATGAATATGGGATGGAGAAGGAGATTCAATGCTTGTATTATATTAACCCTAACCCACCTCAGTCCTCCAACAGGTGAAGGATTGAGGAGGGTTAGGGTTAATGTATCGTTCATACATGGAAGTACTACGGCACGTTTGTAGCGAGCTTCTAATGTCTCAATGAGCATTGACCATCGCACATGCACAAGTACAATACATGTACGTATGCACATGCGTGTACACGTCCCAACCCGAACCAAAGTTCGGCCAAAAATTTCTTAATGACCTTAACGACCCCATCGTCTTTAATAAATGTTGATACTGCAAATGGGAGAACGTCTTTTCCGCAGAACTGCTGTCACTATTCATGAGGTCCAGAGAAATCATGCTTAACCATGATGCTTTTTGTCGCGATGACAAAAGGGCACACGGCCGCCCGGCTCATTAAACCCCTCACACTTCAGCTCACACTTCTTTCGCATCCACGGATTTCCCTCTACTTAGCAACGCCAGACCGATCGGAAAAACTGCAGACAATACGCGGAAGAACGCTCAGTCAATTTGGGGATGATGCCTTAAACAGGATCAATAACCCTAGTAGGTAGGTCATAGTGAAACTGTTCTTAATGTCTAATCTCTGAAATCTTACAGGAAAAAGGAGTTGGAGCTGATGTCTGGCCGCATCATTTCCATGAGAACCCAGCTGGTGGACAACCTGAGGAAAGAAGGCTCTACCAGGGACTGGTCTCACATCACCGACCAAATTGGCATGTTCTGCTTCACGGGGCTGAAGCCAGACCAGGTAGGCCAGGATCACTCCCATGTAGTTGTCCATTTTGGGTTGTCAGACCCTATTTGAATAACTGAATAATTGAATTGAATATTTGACATTTCATTTGATGGAATGTTTGATTATTCAGTTGTGCCAAATTGTCACAAAACCAGAAATGACATATACCAGTACATGTTTTTACAAAACGTAATTAAACTAAAAACTTGAAGGAAAAATCATTTTTGGCCATGTTATTGGGCAGATACATTCAGCTTCATTTAAGTTTTACTTTAATACCTTAAAAGTATGCTTTTAGAATGCAATTTTGTGACAAAATAATTAAAATTCATTGGCCAGGCCTTGAAATGAACGACTGCCACGACAGCCAGCACCGTCGTTGCCCTTTTCACTGGCCGAGGTGCCCCACAAGGAATGGCCAGTTTTACCTTGCCCTATATTTACCTTGGTGGTCATGCCCATTTTCCACAAACATCCATAAGCCTTGTAAAACACGAAAATCCTTGGTTTACGATGCGTGCAAACCCATTGAAAGTGTATTTTGTCGTCATGCCACCCCAATCAGCTGTCTTAAGTTAAAATGTCGCAGAATCGATGCACACAGAGGTAGCAATACGTAGCCGGCTTTGATATCAATTCTGTACATGCACTAAACATACATCAGATACATTCGCACAAAGCATGTATGTAATGTACTTGTGGTAAATGTAATGTAATGTAATGTTATTACGAAATTGGCTATAACAAAAGTCCAGTTATAACAGACACAAGTCTGTGGTCCCGGAGAAAACCAGCACATTTCTATGGCGAAAAAATCTGTTGAGCAAAATTGCATTGTACGAAATTCGTGTTACAACGAATGGTTTTCATGACTCTGTTGCCAGAAAAACCATTGTTGACGACCCGTTTATAATGAGCGTTTGCGAATCGCTGTGGTGAAAACATGTGCGCAGTGCATTACACTGGTTCCCGCCAGGGCAAACCATTGCCAAAGAAGGCATGAGGGAAATGCGGCAACCAGTCAATGTACAGTTCCTGCCAAAAAGGGTCGCGAATGTTCCACTACATGTGCATGGTATACGAATGCAGCTTTACAGTTGCAAGTCGAAAAAATGCTGCCGTCACAAATTTTTCTGCAGGTTCATTCTCAAAAATTGATTTCATGTCTCTGTTTGTGTTTTCTGTGTTCATGTATTTAATTTGAAGATGTACTGCTCGTACTCGAAAGGAGCGTGTTTCCACAAAATTTCCAGCCGGAGCACGAGGCCCCTCCAGATGCATCACATACGCTTACAACGCGATACACAGACATCGTTTGCCAGTTTCCTGTAGTCCTGACAAACGTAAAGCACGATTCAAGTATCAGTGATTTTTTACATTGATTACACAAACGTCAAAACAAATATTCCCTTCCCAATTCTGATAAAATGCGCCCAAATAAGTTCGCTTGATTACTTTCACATCTCAAGAGCCCAACTAATTACCCAACACTGAATTATTCATATTGCTGCAAAAAGGTCTAGCGTACCCACCAATGAGACTGTGCGTTTTCATGACGTACATTTTGCAAGACACAGCTATCCAATCGCAATATTCCTTCAGGACATCATGCTTCTTCAGCGATTATCTCGCACGCGGGCAGCCACGTCACAGTGGGTGAGTGAACTCGGACTATTAATCAATTGGGTCATGCAGCTAGTGTTGAAAATCATAAGACAGATGGAAAATTAAATAAAATGTCTCTCCATGACACAATTTGTGTTGGAAAGAGTACGTACATGGATGGGCGCTTCAGTTGATGAGTCTTCACATTCTTGCAGGTACATGCAGGCCACATGTGCCCTCCCGTTTAGCTTTGTCGTCATCCGTGGTGATCAAAGCCATTTAAAAATCCCTGGATCGATGCTTTCACAACATGTATTTGCTTTTTTAATCTCACATGCACATGAAAAATGTTTTCATATGAGAGTGAATTTTATTATTCTACTAAACACATCACAATATATTTAATTAATTATAACTGAGAGATCTTTTTGATACAACATCAACCACACGTTCATGTGTATATGCATACAAGTACATGCATACGTGTGCACAGCATTGTACATGGCATTGAACAACAATGCACCGAAGCCATTGCATTGTTTTCCACCTACAACGAATTTTGAATACAACGAACATTTCTACGTGGTCCCTCGGATTATGTAATAACGAAAGTCGACTGTAATACACTTCTGTACATAAAAGCACAGGTCCAGATTGTGCCCATACTTCAACCAGCTACCGGGTACATGTACACCCCCACTGCATAAATAAATGTCTCTATTTGTACACTCACATTCCAGTAGGAGTGCATGTGGCAGACTGTTACATGCATTATTACCTGACTTTCTCTTTCTCAGTGTTTGTATGTGTGGTACACCCTTCGCTTTGATTCACACTTTTAGCCTCCATACCCCTTTTACAGATTTTATCTGGCCTTGATGTCTCCCCAACTGGCCTTGATGTCCTCTATAATTTTGCTTAATTCAAGGCCAAAGTGGCCTTGCCCTAACACGTTCCAAAATTTAGGGTCTGTAATTTTTACTTCAGAATATTTTTCGATTTCGAAAGTAAATATTTGGTAATTGATTGAATATCCCAATACTCCAACAATTGGTACAGATTTAATTTGCAGGAACAAGGGAGGGAACTTTTTTACATAGCGACAGCATCATCTTTATGGGAACTCAGATGTGTATGCATGTTCATGGGCATATTGCACTTGACACGCTGAGCATACCAGTGTTCTAGCTAGGACTATTTTAGGTCCAGGTAAATTTTTGGATTACGAAGCGTAGTGAGCGCAGTTCTCAACACTTTCTGATGCTTAAAATACTTTTGAATTGGTACATTTAATCAGAGATGCCAAATTTTCAGAATGAAAAAGTGTAATCCTATCGCACTTCCAGTTCTGGTTTCCCGACCAACTCTGAGATTTCGCCGTGACCCAAATTGCATTGGCAAATTAGACATTTTTTTAAAAAAAATCCTGTTGTCTTTCCTTTCAAAACGAACACTTTTCAACAACTTCTTTTCATGTCAAAACACTTGTATTTACCTGACTAGCATTGTGTAACTGTGAATTGTAATTAATTGATTTATATTTTCACATTAATTCTGGTAAGTTTTTATTTTGATCACTTTTGGGGCAATTTTTGGTAACTTTCGTCCCATTCAATCAGCACAAAAAATTGTCAAAAAATCCTTACCTACCAACCCTATTTAATCAGAAACAGCACTATTTTTTATTGGCCTAACTAATGTGCTTCTTGGTGTCGCACAGTAAGATCCAGCTTGGGCAATGATTATCATGTCACAATTACATGCGTTGCAAAACACGTAAGCTTCTCCACGACAAGACTTTGTAATACAAGCCCATTTTTGTGGTGTATTCGTCCATGAACTTCTTCTCACTTGTTGCCACGGTGCAAAACAAGTCCAGTTGCTCGCCAAATATCCAAGAATCAAATCCTCGGCAGTCCTCCACTCTGCAGTCAACTTTGGGACAATCATGATGTTTGACACACGCATGTACGATATTGGTACATGTACATGTACAATGCACACAATCATGTTGCGATCCTGCCTATTCACCCCTGTTCATCATAGCATTAATTGGGGTTAACGGATGATTCAACCACGCTGGTTTCTACCGCTACTCACACAGCTTGTATGCACAAACAGCGGGATGCTAGCGACACATTTCTGACGTGCGCATTACGAGGCCAGCTTCATGCTACCAGTAGCTTGTATGGTTTTTGTACTTTCAAGTTGGAAATCATAAAAATCTTAGTCTGGATCGTACAGTCCTAAACGGACTAAACAAATTGTACAAGTCATACAAGTTGGCATCTCTGCAGTTTCAGCAATATTTCAGTTCACTTTTTGGAATATCCGTGCTGGGCGACGCAGCCAATTTGAACCTGAGAGCCGGGTGGACATTTGCAGTACCGGGTGGTTCATTGCTGGTGAGAGTGCGTATTGTCAAATCGGATGTGTGAGGTGTAACACTATTACACTTGCATTTCTTTAGTCATGAATGATATTGTATCTAAGTTTTAGTTCTCACTGAGTGTGAAATCATCTGTGTAAACCATTTGAAGAATTGTGACCCAACCTAACAAAATGAGTCGGCAGTCGCCAGGGCCACTTCTGAGGTACAGACCTTAACAAGAATCTTGCAAAATGCAAATCACTAGGAAACCTCCACAGTTTCACCCACATCGTGTCCTGTTTCATCACGATGCTATTAAATGAGTGACACATCTGAGGTTTATTTGCTCTTTTAATGCAAACTTGTTTAAACAGGATAACTGAAAAAAGGCCTTCAGACTCATTTTGGGGTATTTAGTCACTATTGATTTTCCCACATGGCTGTGCTTGTCTGTTTTCACAGTTGTTCTAGTGTATCCATTCTCCACTGCATGACAGCTACATTATGTTTCTCTGTTGCCCACCCAGGTGGAACGACTCATCAAGGACTTCTCAGTCTACCTGACTAAGGATGGTCGCATCTCTGTGGCCGGAATCTCGTCCAAGAACAATGCTTACCTGGCCCATGCCATGCACGAGGTCAGCAAGTGAGAAGCTGATGACACAGATGGCGAGGTCATGACATTCGACCCTAAACTGGTTTCCCTGCAAAAACTGTTCACTTGAGCTGTGGGTACCAGGCTCGGACATCATTGCACTATTGGGTTCGACAGTTAGGAAGCAAATCAAGGAAATGGAGAATTAATGGCAATCATGGTACTAAACTGACACAAATGTTTCAAGAATGGTTTTGAAAAATAATTAAAATATTGAAATAATTAATTTTAGAATTTTTCCCCAAAAGTTGTACCCTTTTTAAGATATCGTATGCTTGAAGTAGGGGAAATTACTAACCCCAGCTTTCCGAAATCCTTCAAACTTCAATAATACTTTGATAGGTCTTCGATAATACTGTAAATTTTAGCAAGTTAAGAGCCTGGCTATCATTACTTCACAGGAGGCTTAAAAGTTAAGGGACGAAGAAGTTGTGTGTGTGTCGTTTTGAATAATGGAAGATTTTGGAGGATTTCGAAAATTTAGTGGGATTTATGTGTAAGCTTAACAAGTGTAATGGCTGGGTTGTAGTCTTTTTGGGGCTTTACTTAGAGAACCGATCTCCTTGTATGTTGGGAGAATTTGGATCTCAAAATCAGTGTCATACTGCATCAAAGTTACAGAGAAAAAAAGAAATTGAATATAGTTTACCCAGTTTTGTGGCTTTGCTTAAGCCATGGATTCATGCTAAGAGCACAAAATACATAAAGTAGAAATGTAACACCAATCTTTCTTCCGAATGCCTTAAAACGTGGACTGTTCTGCTGTTTTTTGCGAAGACTCATCAGTTTAAGGGATTAAATTTGATCCATGAACTTTGCAGAGTTTGAAATTGAAAAGAACTCTTCATTAATGAAAGCAGCTGAACGGAATTGCAATGTGTTCCCTCGCTTGTGGTCATTGGTGTAGGTAGTGACAGATGTATGAGTAAAAGGTAATTTTAAACTCTCAGTTGATAAAAGTGCTAAATTATGTTCAGGTATTAATTTATTTGACAGAAACAGCTCTCAACTTTCCATCTTGAACATCAGGCTTCTTTTCTGCTAGTGCCAAAAAGGTTATTAATCATATGTAAATTTCTATAATTAGACCTCATTTGATTCGTTTTGCTTCCTGCAAAAGTAGTAAGCTACGCAGCTGACTTACGTGAGATGTTAGTGTTCAATATTGTTGGTCTTGTTTGCAGGGAGTGCTGTTTCATATTGTAGCCTCCATTTTTGAAAGAGTTTTGGAAGCTGGAGAATATTATGCTCTGGCACAAAATTTGAATAGAGACTGTTGACAGTCCTAGTGGGCCACCAATTATTTGCATCGAAAATGCCACTTTTTGTACTTCATTGCCGTCACCTTGCGAATATTGTCTCCTGTGATTTATTCAATTTTCACTGTTGACATGCTATGCCATGCATGTTCAATATGCAGTTAGAAATTTCGTAATTAGACGTAAACTGCAATGTATGGAAACTGCCAAATCCCTGGCAACATGAATTTCACATGGTGATTTTTTTCCCATGAAGCACTGCAGAAAGATGAGCATGTTGTGATGAACTTGTTGGGTACACTTTGTTGTAAAACCTTCGGTCGAGGAAAATGGATTACGAAAAAAAAAAATTGCGTGATGAGAATAACGAATGTACAGGAAAATTTATGTGCATTCAACTTCCTCAGTGTGAAAAGTATAAAATGAATGGTTTAAAAAGTGTTTCTAAAGGTTTTAACTTTAAAACCTATACTTAGGCCAAACAGTGTGGTTTATTTCTAAAAAGTTGTTTAAATAGTGATTCTGTAACATTTTGTAAAATAGAAGAATGCAACGTTGGGTAAATATTACCATTTGTGGGAGTGATTCCTGTCACAATTATGGGCAAAACTTGGGGCATTTGTGTAGTTTTTTAAACTACAGTGCTGGAAACGGATTTCAGTGAAAAGCAGAATGCAGAAATTGGATTGTAGTTCGGAAGATGGAGTTTTTTCAACTTTCCATCATTTCTAGGCTTTCATACCTTTGAAAATTTCATTTGAAATGAATACAAAGTTCTTTATAATACTGTTGTCAGAGATACCAGGAATGGTGTTCATCAGTTTACTTGAGAAACTGTCAGGCACGTAGAGTTGTGTTTGGAGTTAATACTCGCAAAAGACTTGATGAATGTTTGTCCCTTTACCACCCACTTGTTTCAACCACCTTGGACCGCCCATGGAGCCAGTTCAGATATTTAAGTGTCAACGATTTTGCTCAGAAACATCTGCTGTTTGATGTATGAATTGCAGTACATTAAAAGGAAAAAAAAAACTACTTTTCATCGGTGGTTCCTTGTTTAACTTAGAACCCTGTGTTGTCGTGTGATTGACATGTGGTGACTTCTGACTGACTGAGGGATGACATGATATTGACTTGTAATTATTTGATAGTATTTTGCTTGAGGCATGAGGCCTGTTCTGTAAAACTGAGTTTGAAATTGACCGTATTTGCATCGAAATGAAGCTGTTGCATTTGGAAATGGAAAGGTCAGAAATGAAGAGTTGAGTTTAACAACCATACAAAGAAAGTTATATTTTGCTCATAGAACACACAAGCTGTTTCTTGCTTTGTTGCTGCATGTGTTTTTTTTTTCCATTTGTCAAGGTCAGACCTTATTTTCTCTGATGAGCAGTGACATTTAGGGGGACGTGTAGAGAATGAACATATGTAATAACACATTGAAATATATTCAGTCTATGATATACATGTACCTCTCCCCCCCAAAAAATTTATGCCTGTTTCGTGTATTTAAGTTGATTTGTCACAGGTCACACAATGTTGACAAGTTAATAACTTGAGTTGCAGGCCTCAAAGGAGGTGTTGGTACAATCGAGCATGCCCAGTTATATGCAAATAGTTTGACACCACTGGCTGTGTTTTTGAATCGCTTGATTACACACTCATCCCAAAGACCCCTAAGTGTCTTGTAAACTTGTAAGAGACTTTGTTTTCTTTTCACACAATCAGCAAACAGATGCCTGACAAGGAAGAATGACTCCAGTGGTGTACTCAAGTGTGTCGTGTTTGTACTCTTATTGATAATCAATACTGAGCAGTGGGGAGCCAGCCTGGCCCAAAGTAGCTTGTCACACACCTTGATGTGATCTTAGTTGCCTCAGGAATCGGGGATGAGGAAATACCAGGCTAAGGAGGCAATCCCCAACCAGTATAAAGTTTGCTGGTTGTGTGTCCATTATTAGATTGATTCACATGGGAAGGTCAAATTGTCTTATGTTGTTCTGTCACGCTTCCATGGTGAAACATTGACTTGCCAACATGATGTATTTGAAAGATTCGGAACATCAGACTTTAACAACTTTAACCAAAAATTTCCTCTGTGAGTGTAAATTTTTACAGCTTTTTGAAATCTGAAGAATTCTACAGTGGGCAGATCAGGTAAAGTTATTTGCGTAATATTTTAGTAGCAAGTTAGGAGATGGTATAATGTTTTTAACTAATGACATTGAACGGCATTCATTGATAATACTGGATGGTAATGTTTTTCTGACAAATCCCATCAAATGTGTAAATTGATAATGAATTAATTAAACCGTTTGCACCGAAGTCGAAATCTACAGTGCCTTTTGTGGTTCACTCAAATGTGCTAAAAATTTGTGTATTAATGTCGTGAATTTTTAATGTTAACCTGCATCAAGGAAATACATGCTGCATAGGCTTGTGTTGCTGCACAAATCCAAGCTTTAATTCACCCTCACCTTGCTGGGTATCAGATAAGCATATCTGATGTGTTGTCATCAAAGTGATCAACCACTTTGTGTGTTACTGCTTAATATGTTTTCAGACTGATAGAAAATCCCTCCCAGTTGGTAATAGGATTGTGAGATAATCTGTGAATCTAATTCCTCAACAGCCTCTCCAACCCAACCTCTAGTCTTTTTCCACTACGGTGAATCGGCCTTACAGAAGTGAGAGCTTCAAGGACCCGATTGCCGCATTTCACTGCAGCTTGCTTCTTGAAAAGCTTAAGACTTCACTCCATCAGTAAACCAGCACCAACCACCAGAGATCCATCTTGCATTGTGCATTCACCTGTTGTAAAGGCAGCCCTTCTCTTGTAAGCATGAAACTTTAATGACTTGTTCAAGCAACACTTGGTTACCCTCTGACCTGTCTTGATTAAATTTTCATATGCATTTCTCATGAAACTTTCAAGTCAATGCTACCAACTTTTCTTTTGTTGCAGAGGGATGGAGGATTAGGCCCTTAGAGACCAGTGCACCTGTTCTGTGTGGCTATGTGGATGGCGGCATTGGTGCTGGGGGAGACATCTTGAGACATTGTTGACATTATTTGACTGAGGATTACGTACGACACATCCCACTGTGACTGAGTAACTCCTGGCCCAACCTTTGCACCCATGACAGTTTTTTTTAAGAGAGGTAAGTTTTCTCTAACTTGGCCTTGCAATGAAAGATAAAAGTCACTAAAAAGTAAAGTTCGAATAAGCTTTTGTCCAAATTTTGATATCCTAAATGTGTGATTGGTTATAATTCTAGTGAGAAAATCAATTGAGGAAATCTCTGCCCATTTAATGCAATGGTAAAAGTATCCTAAAGAATTTTGAACAAGCAAGTTCAAGACAATATTTGGTAAGGTTGGATATAGGAGGGATGGTTTGTGTGTTGAGCAAACATGTGTTTGACTTGGACTCTTCACAAGACCAAGACCCAATTTTACGGAGCTGCTTAACAGTAGAAATGTTATGCTTACTGCAGAGAAAAATTTGCTAATATTAAGCACCATTTCATAGTGGTGCTTGGCACGGTTTTGCTAATGGTTGTGCATGCATAAAGATTTTTAAGTGAGTAAATTTTTCTTCTGGGGTTAGCACGCCTTTTGCTGTACTTACTGTTTACAGTCTTCATGAAATGTGCGGAGCCTCTTGTGCTTGGGAGCCCCCTGAAATTAGGTTCAGGTGCTGGGTGTTTTAGGGATTGGCCTTTCAACACTTTGTGCTCGTGCATGCATGTTTGTTATGCACTTACATAATTGTGACTTTTGGGCTTTTTTGTAGAGTGTATCTATGTTTCTGTTTAATTGTTAACCCAATCTGGTGGTGCACTGGAGGGAACTTGAACACCTCGCAAAGAGGTTTACATTGTTTTTTTTCTTACCTCGTAAAATGTCTTAAAGATACAATATACACCTACAAACCTCACACTGCAAGTGCTGATATAGCCATACATCAAAGGCCCCTGTGGTGCAATGGAATGGAGGGTGTACCGTGGGGGGCTTCAGCATCATGAGTTCTTTAAGGGGGTAAATTTGGACCCCCCCCGACAGATTATGGATGCACCATTGACCCGATCTGTTTCAATCTTGTACAGAAAGCCTTGTGCAAATCCCATAAGTTTCATTAGGTATTCCATCACATCTCTGAGGATCCTGTAGGTGGATGGTACCATTGATGCCTTACAGAACAAGACTACAGGTTTCATCTAGGAACCTGTGGGAGGTACGTGTAGCAGAAAACCTAAAAATCTTATAGGGTTCTTGGCACGAGCATCACCCTCCACCTCCACCTACCCCCCTCCCCGGGGGAAATATCAAAAAATGAAAAGGGGGAAAGGAAGGGAAAAAGCAAAAGAAATGAAGAAAAAAATGAAAGGGGATGAAAATCACCACTATGCTTGGAAAATCCTTGAAATCAACCCCCTCCCACTGTTAATTGTTTATTATTTCCTAGCTGATGAGTGCTTCCCCCTCCCTCCAGAAAATTCCCCTCCCCAAAAAACAAAGGTTGCCCCTCCTGGAAAAATACAGGTTACACCCATTGTTCATGGAAGTTATAATGAAGGGATTGATGGTTTCATGCCATCAAGTTTGTCCTTTTTCAGGTCTGTAAGTCCAACTATGCTAGATGTCTCTGAGGATGCGATTTTAAACAACTACTGGCAGTTCACAGTATTATGACCTAAATGGTATGTCGTTTTCATTCACAGAACCGAAAGTTTTTGGCACATAATTGATCTTAAACTGTGTTGAACACACAACAATCAGCATGCCTGCTTTGCCGTTGAGGAACAAGCCAGAAATTCATAGCGATGCAGTAAACTTAAAGGCCCGAGGAACTGCAGTGGATGGAAACCTTGGTTCATCCGAGCTAAGTCTCAACAACCATGGACCTTCGCAAGGGGATGCTGGCGATGGCCATGATGGACCATTGATAAGTCCTAGTTTTGCATCACAATCCGGAACAAACTTACAGCAGTCAATTAAAACTGGCTTTGACTCTTACCAGTCACCAGTTCCCAAGACTGGCCAGGCATCTCAAGAAGAGTTAGCTGACGAGGATGGGTTCTCTCTGCTTCTCAGTAGTTCCTCATCCAGCCAGAGTTTTGGCAGGATGAAACGAGCGCATCCAGGAACACTGTCAGAGAAGAAATTGTCAGTCATATCTGTCAGAGATTCGGAACTGGATCTCATTGGTCTAGCACAGGACTATAAGCCAAGTGGTGATGGAACTTTAAATGGAACTTTAAATGGAACTTTAAATATTAATAGCATTGGAAAGGAGAAAAGTCACACTGAGCTAAGTAAATCTCTTGAGACATCCACAGACATCAAAGAACCGATTTTGTCGACTGCATTTGGTAATAAGATTTCCCATTCAGAACTTCCACTTAAAAGTGAAGCAGCTCGGAGCAACAACGCCCATTCATTTCCCTCAGAGAAATCAGATTTTGGGACTCGAACAAGTGGTGATGCTGGCCAGTTGCCCAGTTCCAGCTCTCCCCACCCCAGCACCAGACAGCGGTCAAGGCAGTGCTGTGGGGGTCATGCTAGACCAGCCATTCAAAGAACAGAAAAGCAGCAACAAGGCCAAGGACTTGTCACAGAAAATCACATTCAAGTTAATACATCCCCAAAGATTTTGGATCCTTCCAAGCTCCACTTGCCCAGCACCAGTGAGCATGCAGAATCACCATCAGCTGATTCCTCTGTGGACTCTTCCATTTCTCAGAAGGATAATCTCAAGAATCACCAGGGAGGAGGATTGTTTAAAATTCTTCTGAAAGAGGGCAAGGAAGATATGGAAATGCTGTTGGATAATGAAAATAAGGCAGACAAGAAAATACAAGAAGGTAAGGTACCAAGACATTTTTTGTAAACTTAACATCCAAAATATATCTTGTTTTGCCAACACTTGGTTTAAAAACATCCAATCACAATTGTGAGGGTATGGAAAATGTTACCACAAAAAGGGTGAAAATGGGAGGGGGGGAAACTAATCAATTTGAGGACCTGGTTCCAAAATTTGTCTTAGAAATTTGGCATTTTTTTAAATAACTAATTCTCAGAAATAAGTGTTTTCTTAGAAATAGAGAAGAGTCTTTTGTGTAATGATGTGTATTTGGTCGGCATTTGGGTGCTTATTTGAGTACTTGGGTATTAGAGTATTTGGGAGGCATGTGGCGCAGTGGTTAGGGTTTGTAGCTTCTGATAATAGGGTCAGGGGTTGGAATCCAGCTGGTGGCAGCATGTTGTGATCCTGGGCAAGTCACTTTACCCCAATGTGCCTCTCTCCACCCACGAGTAAATGGGTACCTGTGAGGGCAGATATGGTAGTTTAGCCGTTTGTGCCAAAATGGCAGCACCAGACTAGTTTACTCCCCAGGGAGCTGAGAGGGTTTCAGGAATGTTCAGATGATGTTAGCCCAATGTGCGGGGATAATGATAATACAGCACCTCCGAATGGTTTGCTAGATAGATGGCGCTTAACAAGTGCTTGTTATTATTATTATTACTGGGCAGTAGTAGATTTAGAGGGGATACACCACACTCATGCCCCCCAACTGCCTACAAATTTGCAAAACACTGAATTTAAAATTGGCTCCATTGCATTCACATTTTGACTTGGGGCATTGCACTGCACACTCGCATTTGACCCTCCAAGTTTGTGACACCTTTCTTAAAATGATTCACATTTTGACTTGGGGCATTGCACTTCACACTTGTATTTGACCCTCCAAGTTTGTGACACCTTTCTTAAAATCCTGGATCTGCCCTTGCTGGTGTGCTTATCTGATTTAAATCTTACTCGTGGCCTTGGAGGAAAGTGTTGATCAGTTGAAGTTGCCAATTAATAATAGACCGATAGTATCCCCTAAATCATGTGACCTATAGTGGGTATAGTGAGTCGATATCTACTGTCAGCTTTATTTTGATAAATGATACTTAATTATGACACATTTTGCTTTTTGTGGATGCCATGTTTAATGATATTTAATACCCACTATAGGTCATGTGACTCTGCGGACACAATCGGTCTATTGATCAACCGCGAAGGAAAAACGATGCTATCACACCCTTTATAAGGGAGGTTTTTGCTTTCACATTTTCAAGATAACACAGTGACTATGGTAACCAGTGAGACATCTGGAGAAGAACTGACACCCAGGCCTCCCTCTGCTGACCAGCAACCGGCACCGAAGAAGAGGCGCAAAGCTAGCGGCCGGAGAGCCCTCTGTGCTGACCCTTTTGCCAAGCTCCCTAGGGTGAAACTGCGGCCGTTTGTCTGGGCCGAAGACTCAGAGGATGAGATGCCATGTGAGGCCATTCGGCGGAGACGGAAAGCATCGACGAGGAATTCTCCAAAGTTGGTTGATCGACGTGCGAGGCAATTTGACGATCCTTTCAAGGAGCTGGCATTTGTGGTGTTTGACAGCGCCGACGTGGACTGTGATAAGAGACTGAGAAGGGCTGAGTTTGCTTCTGTGAGTATCAACCTTGACCCACGCTCCTGATCCTTTTAAAATCTATCAGGAGTTTAGGGGAAGGTTTTTGCAGATGTGTTTTCTGCACATCGGTGACTTAGGGAGCATTCAAGAGGGTTGTCACAATAGGCAAAAGCAAAAGGGGGATGCATACCCCTAGAAAAGAATTGAAAAAAAAGGAAAAAGGAAAGGCGACCCCTTCCCAAAAAAGAAGAAAAAGAGGACGAGGGATGAAAATCACCAATTTCCTTAATAAACACACCGAAATTGAAAGTATGCTGATGATTAGTGCTATACCCCCCTCTGGAGAAAAATCACATGGTTCCTACTAAAATGCCAGAGGAGCTTAAGTTAATCATCCTAATAAATCCGTACAAAAATAAATCAAAGTGGTTCAGAAAATCCAGGAAGTCTGAAGATGCTGTTAAGATATGATTAATTTATTTATAGTACTGGTAGGCCTATAGAAAAATATCTGTCTGACTGCATTTATATGTGAATTGTCAATCATTCTATTTGACCAACAACAGTCTTCAAATTAATAACCATGGTTGCTGCTCCTGTGAAATAAGGAACCTTATTTGCTGGTATGATTCGGAATTTCATTTTTATTTTTAATTTCTTTTTAGATTGACATATTGTTGACACCAGTGTACACATATAAAGTAAAGCCAAACTTTCTTCAAAAAAAGTTTAAATTATTTTTAAATGTTCTTTTTACAAAAGAATGTGTAAAAAGGAAAATGAAATCATTTAGATTTGTCACTCAGTAACATTGTTACTCATTGTCTGTCATGACTTTAAATTTTACAAGCTCATAAGTTGTGATATACATACATGTAATTAAGTTCCAAACCCTCACCAAATTCTGATTGAATCTGCAAATTTTGCATTTGAATCTGTTTAGATTTTGAAATCCCCATCTCTGGATCTAGAACTGTCCACGGAAGACATCAGGAGGCTGGAGAAAGATTGTAGCAAGGGCAGAAAAGACATCAGGGTAATTACCGTAGCCTCCAAATTGGGAGCAGTCCTGCTCAATGCTGTTGGTTGAGTGAAACAAATAAAATTGTACACACTTACTTATCAGAGAAAATATTACTTGCTAAAATATATCATTAGCAAAAGTGCATAATATTCCTGTTAATGAAAAAATCAGTGCAGAATATGAGAATGGTTGATCTTCTTAATTCCTCACTGATATTTTTTGCTGACAAGGTAGACTTGGCAAAAAGCGATGCTTAGTTCTACAAAAATGATTTTGTATACTAATAGTGAGATTATGTTGTGTATTGTCACAGGATTTACCAGTGTCATTTGATGAGTTTCTTCCTTTGGCAAGACATCTGCTGATGTTATACTTCAACAAACAGGATTCCAATTCAAGGGTAAAACCTTTGTCAAGTACAGCGTGTATGAAGGTTGACCATCAGAGTGGTGGGGGGAATGTTTAGGGCTTTGTTTGCTAAAAAAGTTGATTCCATGGGTGCCCGTGGTGAAGGATAAAAGATATTGAAAGCTATACTGTTGTGTGTGGTTGGTTGGTAAGGCTGAGTTAATTGGAATAATTGATTGTTCAAATTTTGACCTTCTATTTCAGTTGAAAATTCAGTTGTACAAAGTTTCTACAAAAACAGAAACAAAATATACATGTTTTTGCAAAATAATAAAAGAAGAACTTGGGGAAGAACACTGGTTTGTCTTCATTGTTGAGTTTATGTCGCTGCCATTATGTTTACACAACATCTCAAAATCTGCTTTTAGAATGCAATTTCACAGCCAAGTAATGGAATTTTTTTTCCTTTCTTCATTCATTTTCACCTTTGAGTATTTGATTTAAAAAAATAAAAAAAATTTGGATAATTGATTAAGGATTACTGGTATGTTCCATCCTGATCCTTGCAGAATCCATGGAGCATACTAGATAGAGGCCGGGTTTCCCCACCGTACTACTTCAATAAACACACAGGGCAAGTCAGGTAGGTCAGCGGTGAAATGTTAATTAATGTCAGACACTAGTTTTTGGAGCAGCATTGAGTGTTAAGCGATGTCTAGCCTCTTACCTTGCTTTCCAATCTTCCATGGTTGACGAATTTCAAATTCTTCCTCAAGAAAATTTATTGAAATATGCAGAAATTGCAATTCAGATATCTGTCGGGCAGTTCCACATGAAAAGCGGAAGATTTGGCCACACTGTCACCAATCTGTTTCCCATTTTGTGTAGAATTACCCTGTTCTCTGTTTCCTTTGGATAGTGCCGATAGACCCCTGGACTATGACCATCAGCCTGAACTCCACCTCTTTGAGAAGGCTCTTCAAGATGCCTTTGAGATAGCAGACATGGACAAAGATGGCAAGATTCATCTCAATGATTTCATTAGAGTAAGTTCCCTCCTCAGTTAATAGCATTGGATACATTAAGTTTCATGTCATTGACCAGTGTTCATGGAATCGGTGAAAAGTAGTGGATGGGTTAGGGTTATTATAGGACATTTACACCCCCTTATATAGCCAAAAATAGGAGAAAAAGGGGAAAAGGTTGCTAATAACCCCCTTGATATCTACCCCATCCCTTGAACCAAATCTGGACTCTTTCAGCTACAGTTTCAGATTCTTAGAATTTCTTTTGAATTCCAAATTATATATGTTGCATGTTTGCAGTATTTCCCTCAAAGTTAGCCAGCCACTCTTCGAAACCTTGATTTCTTTTTTTTCTCAAGTAAGGATTTGATGGCTTTATTTTCTATCTATTCTTTAAAGTTACAGTTAAGCAGTCACGGTTATCTCAGAGCTTGACAAATTTTCTCCTGTTCTTTGCAAAAGTTAAATCTGAGCAGAAGGGGATGAATTAAGTATTTTTTTATTATTTTTTTTCTGGGGAGCTTGTTTCCCTGTTACATTGTATTTCTTTTTCTGTCAGTTTGTTATCAAATACAAAATATGCTATGCAAACAGCAAATACTATGCAAACAGTTGGAGAGTAAAGGGTTAATGCTGAGTAACTTCTAATTGTTTCATCTTAATTAGCATTTTATGTTCTTGATATTTCAGATTGTCAACTCGGAAGACTTTGGTCTTATTCTCACCAAGAATGACATCGCTGAAATTACCAAGCACTTCAAAAAGTAAGAAATTGCATCATCTTGTGAGATTGGTATACCATTGTTCTCTGTTGTCTTACTATTTTGAGAGTTTATGAAATGTTTTAGCCCTGTCTCCCAAGGCAATTAGAGACCCTTCCAAAATTTTCCATTTTTGGTGGAATTTGAGGTAACTGGAACTCAGATGTCTCAAAGCACATTTTTCTACTTTAATCCTAATCATAGTTTTTCATATATTCGTTGTCTCTGAAGAACTGTGATATTGTACAGCATTTCTGTGTTTTTGACCAAATTCAAGACGTGTTCCCTGTTGTTGCTTTTGAAGTGAGGCTGGGAAAGTTGGCAAAGTTTGCTATGCAGAGTTTCTACCCCTCGCCAAGCGGCTCATAGTGGCTGTGTTCTCTGCAAGATCTTCACTTGAGGTATGTGCCAAATGAAGATGATTACAATGGCATCATGAAGGGGTGGGGCAAGGGGGGCTCCTCCCTAAACAAAAACAAAAGAAAAGCAAATTAAAAGAAGAAGTGAGAGATCTAAAAAGGGACGGAAGGGGATGACTGGATCAGAATCCTCCTCTTTCCACCATTTTATCAGTTTGTTATTGATGAATGCGTTGCTGTTCCTTCCTGGGAAATATCCTGCTCACTTTCCTGGAACCCCCCATCATGCCCATGGATGGCTATGACCTTATCAGTATGGTACCAGGTGAAATTCACAACTCTCTGTTTGACTTGTATGCCAGACCATATCTGACCAAGACAAATCAGGACACAGCTCAACTAGGAACAGATCACCATTGTCTAAGACTCAAACCCAAGGGGGCAATTTGGGGTACATGCATTTTTCAAGGGGCACCATAAGTGGACAAACTGTGTCTTGTACATAGGGTGTGTACATTTCAACATGTGGGGGGGGGGTTAGGGGGCATGGATGATAATAAAGTGTAATTAGTGTATAAGATTGTCTGAAAATTCTGAAGAATATAAGAGTTTTTTTATTTGGAAGTGATCATGCTGTAGTGTGAATTGTTGACTATTATGCTGAGCTAAATGAATGGTCAACCCTTTGAAACAAATGTTGAGAAATTTAGAGCATTTTTGGTATTTGTCCCTTACTCTGTTAGCTTTATGCTTGTGCCATTTCAGCTTCCTCAGTTCAAAGATCTGCTCATTGTTTTACCATAATTACAACCAAAGAAGGATTTCTTGCTATTTGCTGCTTATTTCCCATTTTTGACTGTCTTATGAATTGCAAAGGCTTCAAAGAATTCAATCAATTTTGTGGACGGTATGTGGATACTGCAGTGAAAGGTTTTATTAAAAGAACTAATATTTATTCCTCCAATTTTGTCTTTGAATTAAGTGAATTACAATTACGAAAGGCGACTTTTGAATTGAAAAGCAGTGGTTTATTGTACAATTTATTTTGTAGTTTATATGTAAAGTCACACTTTAATCATCTTTTAATGCCCCATAAAAAGAAACCAAGAAAACAAATCACCTGTATGACTTTTCTGTAATTCTTCTACTCCAAAATAAACTTCTTTTCAAACACTTTGTTTTTTCTTCTTTGCCTATGCATAACCTCAGACTTGCGTCCTTCAGAAATCCTAACAGCAACACGTATTTTGAGGGCTAGTCTAGAGTTTGCCCAACAAAGCTGTGCATCTCATTCAATATTGAATAGTTTACAGACCTTGGCACATGTTGTGCCTTTTCTGTTAAGTGAGCTCCATTGTCGTGCAAATGGTGAAGCCCCAAAAGAGCATATTGATTGGTTGGTTGTCATGCTGATTAGCATAGCTGACAGCAAGTGCCCTTCTTGACAACGAATGAAAGAGAAGTATTGATTGCCTGGGTGTCTGGGCCAAGTCATGTTGCTAGAAGATCTTTGCTCATCAACTGGTTCAGCACTTATTGTACTTCTACATGTAGTTATCTTTGCAAATATTTGTCTTTAACTTCCTCGCTCTTCAGTATTACTTCACTTGTCAACAGCAAAACAAAGCTTTTTGGGACTATCAAACCAAACATTTTTGTGGGGTAAGTTAATGAGAGGCAGTAATATATGTCACTGATTCCAATGTTTAGCCAGGAAGACATTGTTAAGATATACCATAGATGGTGATATACCATAGATGGTGTATCAAACACGTCTAAACTACAAGCAGATTTTCTGTATTGATTTGGCAGAAGAAGATGTCATAGCTTAGGAAATTGTACATCTAAGTGCATGTGGAGCCTGGCATCTTAATGAAAGTTTATTGCTTTCATGAATTTTCCTGCAAAGTGAATAATTCAGTGTTTTGGTGAACATTATGGTGAATCACATTGGTACCTGCTTTTCATGTGGTTTGCTTTTGTAAAATATGCACTGATCTTAGCTGGCAAGTTGTGTCTCCTAATTAATTAATATACAAAGTTTTCAGTTGAGTAGACTGTTTTGTATGATACATTATATACATAAACTGAATTGTTCTTGTCTGTTATACTCAGGATGAGTGGAGCTTTCTCCACACCAGACATGTAGGTGCCTTCTGGTTCAATAAGAGGACAGGTCAGAGTTTCCGGCATCCCCCCAATCATATTGTCACCATGCAGCAACAGCAGCTCCGACACAGGTATAGTGTGGGAGAAGACTGTTTGGTTTGGAAAAGGTTGCAAAAGTGTTCCCCTCCCCCCAAAAAAGGATAACACTTGTGGTTTGTGTGAAGGGTCCTCCTAACACAGTGCTTTAAGTTCATGATGGGTAATTTGGTAGATGAAACAATCCAAAATTTTGTGGGAATTCAAAACTTCGGTTGGGAGGGGGTAAACACTTGCACTTATATGCATGTGATTTGTCGTGTGTTATTCAATGCTATTGTATAGATTTGGACTGTTGCATGGGAAAAAACCTGCAACTTATTCCCATACAAACAAAAAAATTGCTAACCCTGTGGGTACAGAATTTATTTGTTAAGAACAAACTTGTTTGCAAACTCTGACTGTCAGTTGATCAAAGCAGTTTTCTCAAATAATTAAAAGCAAGGAAACTTAGTAAACCTTCAATGTTGGATTAAATTTTGGTCAGTATCACACAAACACATCAGTCAGAAGTCTTCATGAATCTAATGTAATCACTGGTTTAAAATGCTAAATATATTTGCAGTGAAATGGTTCATGAAGTCATGCTCCCCAAGGAGGAAATTTGAATATTGAAAGTGCCGCCCAAATAGCTCAAATACCTCAAACAGCTCAGACGTGTTTGTCTAAAAGTTTAATGGCAACTTTCTGGTTTCTGAGTTCAACAGTGTTACTTTGTGAAAATCTTCACAGAGAATGAATTGACTACATTTGCCAACATCTTTTTTGAATTCAAACAGAAAACAGGAGGTTCAAGCTCTTGTCAAAACGTCAGAAGAACTCAAGGTCACGAAGGCCAAACTGGAAGAGGAGACAACTCTCAGAAAGGTTCATTAACAGCAGTTTTGTGATATTTGGAAACTCAATTCCTTCTGGTTTCACTATCATAGTCGACATATTGACTTGGAAATACTTTGGATGGGATTTATCGACAGATAGTGCATCAGGTCTTTTTTAATAATAATTTTATCCTATTTTAATTCACTATGCTAGATACTCTCCCGTTTTGCAGTCTAGTGTTATCCTGCAGTTCATTGGAAGAGCCTGTGACTTGTACAGTTGTAATGAAATTGCTTTCAATACTGATTTACACAGATTTTATAAAGCAAAGCACTGAAAAGTATAAGACCAGTGCTGTCTGTTCAAATGTACACTTTTTCTTGAGTTTCTTGCATTTTTATATTTCCTATTCATGCTTTATGTTGTTTCTTTGTATAGGACTTTGAGGAGAAGTACACGTCCCTTAGTTCCGAGCATGCTATCGCATCCAGGGAACTACAGAAGATAACAAGGCTGTATGACAAATGCAGGATAGAGGTAAAAGATCATTTAATCTCCTGCAAAAGGATTTAGCTTGATGAGTCCAAGGGTGGATCTAGAACCTTTTTGTTTGGGGGGGCAAGGGAAATATTTTTAAGGTGAATTTATGGTCTTTCTGAAGGGTGAGGCTACATTTAGGGGCTTCTTCTTGTGTACTTATAAATAAGTATTTCTGGCAATGAGACCAATTATTGCCCAAAAGAGCATTGTTGTTCACTACCTGAAGAGACCTAGAGAGGGGACTGTGAGAAGCAATTAGAGTTGTACAGGTGGGAGGAAAACCCCAGAAGAATATCCTAGGTAAAACCCAGGGAGAGAGGGACTTCAAACTCAATGCATGTGTTGGATGATGAAAGGTGAGGAAAGAACCACTATGCCAACCTGACTCCTCTACAAGTTAAGGTAGTTCAGGGCCAGATGCAGAAGAGATAAGTTTCAAACAGTGAAGGGAGCGGGGAGATGGTACGCCGGGGGGGGGGACAGGAGGCTTCATTCAGTTTTGTAACACCTGTAGGGGAGTAAAGCAGGACTGAGAACTGTGGCATTTGTACCCAAAATTATGTATATGTTCTGAAAGATTACGATATGTATTTAGATCTGTTGTTGCTGTTGGGTAAAGTAATGAGACTGATTTTCTTTTTTCAGAGTGAAAAGAGGAGCATTCTTTTGGATGCCAATGAGAAGGAGAAGGCCAAGCTACTGCACAAAATCGAGCAATTGGAGCAAAGAGGTATCGGGGTATTCGGAAATATTTGATAGCCTGGTTGTCATTTGATAATGACACTTAATCCAACTGCTTCATTCTGGTTTCTGTAGCAGGATCTGCGATGTATTGGCTAATGCTTCTTGCAAACGCGAAGTGGCATGATTTTCACAAAGTCATCACCGTTGCTGTTTTGCTGTAAATTTACTCCATTCTCAAGGTAGACCAGATCTTTTGCAAAGAAAAGGGAAATCTTTTTGTTGTTATCCTTGTGGTAAGCAATTTCCAAGATCAACTCTCTTTTCATTTTGTTGTAGTAGGCCTATAGGTATTATTGTGCATAATTTCATTTGCCAGATGATGATTTGGGGCAGGACATGTTTTGATACAGAGTTTCAGTATTTTGTGAAGGTACTTCACATAAATGAGAATCAGCCGTAAAACCGTTCCAGAAAATTTCAAATTGACATCTTACCAACTCGACTAGCAACAATTTTGACAATATCCCTATAAGTCCCAAATCCTCCGATTTCAATATGATTTTACATACACCCCAGGGGGTTAGGGATATGACTGTTTGTATATTTGGCTTAATTTTCATTAACTTGTTAGTGCAAGTGATTCTTTATTTTTTCCATACTTTTTGTTTTACTCTTTTGCAGTTGCTGATGCAGAGAGAACAGAAACAAACCTGGAATCCATGCGAGATGTGCTCAAAAACTGCCAGTAAGTTACTCCAGTTTGAGTTAACCCCCAACCCGCTAGGGTGTAAGTAAAATCATATTGAAATCAGGGGGATTTGGGACTGTGAGGGTTAGTTAATATTCAGTAAGCATCAATAAGATCTTACGGTCAGATCATGTTTTTCACCAGACTAAAAATGAGCTGGTTGTGGATGCATACAATCATCCGTAAGCAAGAAAATCATTTCACTTAATCGTGACCCACGCTTCCATTTTCTTTGAAAATTCTGCCGCTCAAGTAGTTGCATGTTCCACACTTTGTACATCTGGACTTTTTTTTTTTTATTTGGCCATGCAGCAGCCAGTCATGATGTGCCATTATATGACAGTTTTTCTTATGCAATCAAAGTCATTGGCATTTACAGTATGAGCCATCATGCCCCCTCATAGAACATTTGGTACCACCAAATGGCAAAAGATTGCTACCAGTAATATTAGAAATCGCAGATCCGTAGTAATGGGCATCAATAGGAACTTTTGGGGGGGAAGACTTTCCATGGGGGTGGGCAAAGCGCTCATCATCAGCAAATTAATGATAACCGTTTACACTAGAATGGAGGTAGTTCTGAGGTATTTTCAGGCAAATTGGTCAGTTTCAGTCCCTTTCCTCCCCTTTTATCCCTCGTCTTGCCTTTCTTTTTCTTTCTCTTACTTTTTCAGGGGGGGTCCCCGACACCCATGTCTATAGTGAATTTGTTAGACATTAGATTACCAACCTAGGATTTCTGTGTGAGCTGTGCAAGCTAGACTGCCCATGCATGGGGAGGATATTACAAGCAAACATATATCACTCGCAGCCCCACATTAAAAATTCCAAAAAGAACAAACTGGACCTTGGTCTGCAGAGCAGCTTTTGTAACAACGGCTGCTTCTAATATGTGCTCTCTCATCGGTTTGACTTTCAGGGGAGCTCTACGGGAACACGAGCTAGACATCAAGAGCCTACAGGCCAAGATTGAGGACCTGAACAAACAGCTGAGTGAGTCGGAAGCCAGGGTGGAGGATGGACAGGGGGTCATTGCCGACCTTCACCGACAGCTCAGGGAAGAGATCAAACGCAATGAAAAGATGGAGACGGTAAGTTACTGTGAAGTGTCTGACATACATCCCAGCAAACGGAAATCAAACGTCCCTTTGACATTGTCATAACCTGCAAATATGTCGCAGTAGTGTTTTTGTACAACGCTTCAGCAATAAAAAAATGGGTGGAGTTTCCTTACCATTGTGGAAGTTATTATAGTGCCATTCAGGTTTAATATCCAAATTGTTATAAACGTATGAATAGCATTAGGATCCAATCACTTCATCCACAACAACTGTTCATGTAATATTTTCAAAAGGTTACTGCAAAATGTTCCTTCGACTAACAAACCACTGCACAGAAATGTACGCTCAAGGTCCGATATAGCCTAAGTTTTGAACCACAACTTTCCAGTATGCCAAAGCGAAGCACAGCCACGAAATTGTTTAGAAGACATGGCTTTCTATTTTAATGGCATAGTGTAATAAGGACTCACATCATGGTTGGCTGTGAGCTTGTAAGCACTAAACATTCCAGGTTTGTAGGACTTACATGCATTACTTCCTGCTTACACATAAATACCCTTCCCTTCATTGGCGTTGTCTTGTATACAAACTATACTCAGTACTATTTGGGTACTTATGACAAAAAAATGTATGCATTCTTGAAATGCAACCTGTTGTGATGAAGTCAAACAATATTAGCTGACAAATGCTCTATCTCATGCGAGCTGTGTGGAGCTGATGGATTTGAAGCTCCACAGGAAAGTCTACGTGTAAACAAATCTTGACCTCATCAGTTCATACACCTGTTGGCCCCAATCTAAAGGTGGATCCCACTTTTGCCTGAAGTATGTGTGTAGCGAATTTGATTTCACAAAACATTTGCAGCAAAATTTGCTTGAGTTGAACGTTGCTCAACTTATGCAAATTTGCAGCAGGAATATTTGATCAGACATTACAATTTTGCATCTATGATCGCTTCTGCACCAAGTACCAACTAGCCTTTATAACTTTATACCAATTTTGTAGTTGAGACCTCTTAACATCACCAGAATACCCCACAATACCAGCACAAGATCTCCCGTCTGAATTCAAGTCACAGTCTATTTAAAACAAACTATAACAGAAACATTCCTTAGTCATTGTTCGCCCTGTTACTTGTGACTGGTCTCGTGATGGTCTTGAGTGCAATACCGCTCTGTACTGGACTGCCTATGATATCGAGAATTTGGGTATGTCATTCACGATGTCCAGGAATTGAAGAAGGTGCCAGACATAAAAAAGGAATTGCAAGAGGAGAAGGAATCACTTCAGCTCTGCCAAAAACGACTAGAAGAGAGGAATGCCGTCCTGACGTTAACCCGACAGGTCAATCGGGAGAACAAGGCCAAGATCAAGACACTAGAGGAGGAGCTCACCAAACTCCCGGCCGTCGAGGGGGAGCTGGAGATGGCACAGTGTGAGATCTACACGCTCAAGCAGCTGCTCGTGGGCAAGGACAGCCTTGTGGCCCAGAAGTCACAGGAGCTGGACAGCGTGAAGGGGAGGCTGGAGCTAGACCAGGGGAAGGCAGGAGGAGCGGGGTCAGGGGACAGGACAAGAGGGCGGGGGTTGAGGAATGGTTACTCAGCCAACGGGGTCAACTTTAGGGTGGTTCGACTTCAGAAAAGGTAAGTGGAGTGTTTTTTGGTTGTGTACAGTTCATTCTTTTGAAAGTTTTTAGTGTTGGCGTAAGCTTACTAGAAGTGCATGCCATTGAATGGTTTGTTATTGTCACAACATTGAGGCTTACAAATTTTACATTCTTCTCCATGTTTTCTGGTGAGGCAAGACTGTTAGGAAATTTGTAACTAACAGAAGTTTTGTTTTCAGCTGTTTGGTAGTCTAGCCGTTTAGTTGGTAATAAGCTGCCAACCAGAGAATGTTGGCAGGACTCTGCCATTACAATCACATAATAGTTGACATTGTAAATCCTCACGGGTTCGTCACATTGACTTGTGAGGACTATGATGTGAAGAGCTTGCAAGGACGTATGATGGCAGAAGCCCTTGCAAGCTCATGCCATAGTCTTCGGAAGTCAGTTGCAAGCCAATTAACCACAAGTAATCCAAGTCTCCAGTCACAAACCTAAACAGATATTCCCACAGCGAACGCCAAAAATGAAGCTTGTCCAAGGTCATTCGGACCTGCGTGTGAGGTCTGTCCTATCTGTGCTGCCCTATGCGAACTCACTCGTGTATTTTGGTCCCAAATGATCTGGCTGTTTTGAAATACGAACTGGCTTATTAACTTTTCTTTTCCCTTGTAATTGGCATGTAGTAAAGACTTGTTACTAGACTTGTAAAAGAAGTTGTGATAACTTGACTACTGCACAGGTTGTAATGAATACTTGTTCATCACCTTAGGTCATCAAAGGGTATGCAGGTTGGACCTCTTTCTAAGGAAAACAAGGTGAGTGCATTAAAAAATCTAGACACAAGTTCCAGGGTGTTATTTCTTAATACAACTTCAGACATCAGGAATTTCTGTATAGACTAATTCAGGGAGATACCATCTACCACATCGATATTTACACTCCCATCGCACAGGTTCTTAAAGTCAAAGCATGCATGCATTATGTTACGTTGTAAATGTCCAATTTGTCAAAGAGATATGTAACCTACATAAAACCTGAATTCCTGTATGGTATCAATGCTGGAATGGCTTTGTGGCTGTTACTTCTTGTCAAGTTATCTGTCGATTCTCTTGATAAATCTTTGATACGGATTAACAGGATTAGCAATGAAAGACATGTGAGGCTTTGCTGCTGCTGAAGATAGTGTTCATTGCTGAAATCTAACTGTAACATACACTTGATGCTGACTGATGCTTGCAGCAAGTTTAGGCACGATCAGTGGCTTGACCATAAAATGATTTCGCTTTTGCGTGCACAATGCTACGCTGCTTGAATGGCCTTAATTACTTGAAAAATAGTGGAAAAATTGTGTCACACAGAGTTTCTGTTGGGTGACTTTCCTGTCCAGCTAATCTGTGCTTTCTGGAAAATTATGTTTTTGAAAATCAGAGACTAGGCCACCCATTGACAGTTAACAAGGTAGACCAAACATCCTGTGTTTAAGAGTTAGTCACACGGAGGTTTGCTGTCTGATGTTAACCCAAACTCCCTAGGGTGTGCGCAAAATCATATTAAAATTGGAGGATTGAAGGCTGTTAGGGTTAATGTTTGAAGTCCAAAATAGGAATTTCACATTTGAGCCTGTCACGTTAAAAATTTCTTTTCGGCATTTGTAACTTTGCATTATGTTATCAGTCAACGCACAACTCAAGCCAAATAGATGTAAGCACACCTCCATATGACAGCAGCAGCAGTAGCAGCCAATCAGATTCAAAGCACCAGAAATCGAATAATCACCTGCTGTCTGAAAGACCAGCCAGCGAAGACACCATCATAACATCCATGAACACTTCAAATGGAGGATTTCTGAGACTGCTCCAAAAACAGGGCAGTGCCGAACAGGACATGCCCACGATATACGACTTGTATACCCCTGAGGGTTCCTACATGCCCACCGCCAATTCTTCCAGCCCTGCTCTGAAGAATGGAGCACACCCAAGGCCCAAGTCCTCCATGGCTAGACTAGGGGCCGAGGAATCTTCCGTTATGCAGAAGGGGACGTTGATGTTTGAGGATGACTTTCTGGTGGCACAGTTCCTGCAGGTTGGGGACAGGGTCCGCATCAAGAAGAAAGGTTTGTGACGCATCAGGGGTTAAATATTTGTCCTACCTCTGTCTTGAATACTATTTTCAGTGGCCCAGAATGATCATGTGACAGGGCAACAAAAACCCATGTCACACTCACCATTAGACATCACATCTGTCAACCCTGTATGATATCATGCAAACCCATGCATGTGCCCCCACAGTACTTTGATCAGTACATAATTTTGTGAAACTCCCAGATGTCCGCGCTGCCCATGCACCATAACACTATATAACAAGAAAGAACATGATCAGGCATCTCGACATGGGTTGAATGGAATAAACATGCTTATTCACCGTGAAATTTGCCCCTGTGTGCTTGATATTTCCATTGTAGGTGGTAAGCATGGAGGTGCCATTCAGTCTGGCATTGTGAAGTTCATAGGCAAAGTGGACAAGGAGTACAACCACAATGACCACAGGCTATATGCAGGCATCAGGCTGGATGAAGCAGGTCAGTGCAAGCTCAGGCTATAACCCAAAATCAGTCACAAGTTGTCCAGTCCCAAAGATAAGTCACCGATGCACCGTGGCTTCAGGCAATCACAACTATTGTGAACATAGAGATCATAAATAGAGCTACGAGACGAGGGCATTGGCGGTGCTACGTGGTGTCATGTGGGTGCAAATGCACCCACTGAAAAGCCGCTTGCACCCACAAAAATATTGTCACATATTACGACAGGGCGATCAACCTTCCGTTTTACAAGTCCACATCATAACCCAGGAAAAATGAAGGATCATTTACGCCTATGCGATTCTGCCTTGCTCCGCACTTGTACCCATAGCCACCCAGGTCTGGCGCAGCCACTGGACACAGGGAATGTAAAATTTGTCTCATAACACACGAGCAACTTGGAACCTACCGGACGCCCACGCATGCGTGTGAAACATACAAAAGTATGCCGAGGCATCATACAATTTGAAGTGATGACGTCAGTGAAATAAAACTGAACCAGACTGCATGAGCACGTAAACGCACATGTCTTAAAAATGGTAGTGTAATCAAACATGTCGCCCTGTTCTGGGGCCAAATTTCTGTCACGTAAAAGAATAGGCCTGTCACCTCTAGCTTTACTGTTACGATCTCTCTGATTGTGAAAGCCCTGATACCACCTCCAAGAATTCCAGCCTCGCTTGGCTACGAAGGCCACCTGCCAAACCGCAAATTCTTGGTTTGTGTCCCAGCATGCTCTGCACGCTTTGAATGACACGGTGAAAAGGCTGATTGTTCGGTGGCATGCTCAAGCTTCCACATTCCCGTTGTCTCTTTTAAAAGTGGGGACTATTGTGAAGCTGATTATGATGCAAAATTAGTCTTTTCATTTCTGGCTACGCAAAAAGACAATTACCATATATACAAGAGCCAGGGTCTGCCTTCTTTCACCTTGTTCGCTCGAGCGTGGGCCGAGAATAATAGCTGAAAAGCGGGCTGAGGATCTCAATTTTTCCCAGCGCGAAGGGGTTAAGACACCATCTTCGTGTAAACTTAGTGCATGAGACTACCATTGCGACCTAGGCTGTAAATTGTATTGTTATTTTTGCTTGTTCAGAATTGGTTTCTCCCCAAACTCTTTGACAGGGAACTTCAGTAAGCCCAATGATGCAAGTTTTTTACATGTGTTTTTATTTTCATTGCCAAGACCAATGTGCCTCTATCATTTCTTAATGAAACTCTATGGACTTATGTTTCTCACAGTGGGTGACACTGATGGCGTAATTAAAGGCAAGCGATACTTTACTGTCAACCCTCGACATGGCAAACTGGTGCCCATCACTAATGTGATCTCAGTGCTAAACACCAAGGTAACCAACAGTCATCACAAAGGACAAAGCGGTCTTGAATTGATGTCTTTTATTATTTAAAATCTCGAACTGGTTCATGAAAAGAAATTGTCATCTGTGTAAAGGCTATAGTGAGACAACATTTCAAGCAATAGATGTAACCATCTGTGCCCCCCCCCCCAAAAAGAGTTAGATATTACACATTTGTTATCTGAGCTGTTGTCAAGTCATTTAGAAGTTGTTTGGATAAAAACACTACTCTCTAGTTTGATTTATCTTCATTGTATGGTGATACTAGCAATTGAAATGCCACACATAGATTTAAAAATTTGGTGCTTTTGGTGAAATACTTCTAACTGATAAAAAAAAAACACAGCTGATTTCTGCTAATTATTAATTGAAGTCAGTCCATTGTTGTTCATCAAACTCGTTCAGAGCAAGTCACACATTAGGAAAATAAGATTGGGAATGAAGCTGAGTGTATTTTGTGACTGATGAACATTGTGCAAGTTTTGACGTCAAACAAGGCCTTCTCCAACTTTTGTTCCTTGCAGACATCAACCTACAAATCCATCTCGGAATCCATCCGGGCGCAGCGGTTGGAGACGGGAACGGCACAATACGAGAAAGATAGAAATCCACAGCTCATCAGGGTCAAGTGAATAATTGTCTTTCTGCTAAGACTAGTGTGCCTTCTAAGTCTTTGAGGTGCATTCAATCCTACCTGGATGTGGACCAGTCCTTACCCATATTCTGCAGGTTAACCACCTTTGTTGTCATGGCAAAGCTTTCAAAGAATCCTTTCATAAAAATGAATTACTTTAACTTTTGAAAGACTGTCGTCCACCAATATTTTATTTGTACATGATGCTTGTAAACTTCTAAAAATTTCAGTACTTGAGGCATGTCCATGTTTGATCCCAATATTAGGTATTTTTATCTTTTTTCCCCAAATACCAAAGTGTACATGTACATAGAACCAAAGTGTACATAGAACTGTTTCCTTATATATATATATTTAACATCTACTCTAAAATGCTTTAAAATCTTTAATGTTCTAGACAAGGGAGCATTGAAATTGATCTGAAAAGTTAGGATAAATTATAAACAGTGAATGAATGTTTCCTGGTGTGATGTTTCCATTTCAACTTTTCCATTAAAATTCTTTGTGGGATAGGTTGCCTACAATATGACAGATTGAATGTGTGCCTAGATCACAAATCATGCAGCAGATGTTTCATGCAGTGGAAACATGCTGTTTCCTAGCACAGAAAAGCCAAACAAGATAATTTCTGAAGTGTGCAATTAATTGATTTTTCAAACCCTTTACAATTCCACAAATGAAAAACTCAACCGATCATAACAAATCACCCACTGAACCATACATAAGTTGCTGTACCATCACCGGCAACGAAGAAAACTCTTGTAAGAAGTCTCTCAACCAGACTAGGACCGTACATTCAAGCAGAAATTAACTGCATGTGCTAAGCAGGGCCTGCATTAAATACAAAGCTACCCTAACATGCAGTGAGTTACCAGCGAACGACCGTTGTTGGGAAGTTCTCTACAAATATCGCCGCTGTCAATTACGGGAAATCATCTATAAATGACGTAACCCAAAAAGAACTGGCAAAAATTCTTTCTTTCCTTTTCACCATTACTGTCCATTATCATCCATTTGTCATTTTCAAAGTGAAGCCTCTTTGTGCATGTAAATAACAAAATCTGCCTGTAAAGCTTCCCATAATGAGCAATTACAGCACACTGGAAGTTGTACACTGATAAATATTTCTTAACAATTTCTAAGAATAAGTATTAATCCTGAATGTAGCATACATAAGCTCCTTTAGATAGAGCCCAAATTGGCAATAAATTTGATCACAATTATGACAGTCTGACTAAAATCCTTGAAGCACTATGTATGACCACAACAAAATCCATGTCAGAAATACCATCACAACAACTGCAAATGTGTCCTGAGAAATTCTACTGAACATTCACTAAATTCCCAAGTCTCATAGACAAAATGCATAGCCCTTATTCAACCACATTTTGAAGAGCCAACCTTTCAAGCAAGACAAAGCTTTTTTTTTCACAATGTGCGACCCTCTATGAATTTAAAATAAATTTGGGTAAAAAAGACAAATTGCAATGCTGGCTTTTAGAATAATGAATTAAAATCCTGTTTCTGTAACTTTTAGGAAATTGCTAAAAATACAGCAAATTTTAAACACAAAATTTGAAAATAGAAATGAACAAGTTACCAAAAAAGAAAAATAAAACTTATCCGATGGTAGAAAATAAATATTTGTCACACAATAACATAATCCTCAGGAAAAAAACTTTCTGTAAGTTTCTTTTTTGTGTGTGTACAGGATTTTATAAGTTTATAACTGATGATTCAGGAAGCCAGAGCTCAGCTCTCATTACTTGGAGAAAAGTGTCAAATAACAAATATGTGAGACCTGTAAAACTCGTGACTTGGACAGAAATACTGGAAATTAAAGAGCTGCAAGAAAAAAAAAATTTAAAAGTCATTCTCATACCTGAGCTCGTTAGTTAAGTACTTTTTACTGTCATTGAAAGAATGTACTTTTGTCACCACCCTGCACTCAAAATATTGACATTCCACAACAGCAGTGTGTCGGATATTGATAAATTCATACCAAGAAGTCTTGAAAGGTTAAAGGAACGAATCTTGGTACTAATCTGGTTCCAGTTCAATGTCACAGATGCTGCTTTGGTTAATGGGCCAATAAATATTGTTGCCGTGCCGTTGACATGGCTTATTTACAATTTGAAATACAACATGTCTGTACGCTGTACCTGACAGAAAGCTAAAAACGTTGATTATGCAATATCATACTTTAAATGTCAGTAAACATCAAGACTTCTTATACTGTTAAAAATGGAGGCTACATAATGGCGCTATACAAGATAACGATGTGATTGGTTGAACCTGGTCAGATTGTTAGACTTAAAAGTGCAGCATAAATGTGAGAAATTTTCACCGACACTGTCATGAAAACATGTAATGTTGCACACGTCTCCCATCAAAGTCATTATGCTGGACAAGATAAACCCGGATGAAGATTTGAAATCAAGAGGTATTTCTAATGAAATATCCGTTAGAAGACTTGTAACAACTGTCAACTGTGGTAACTTTTTCGGGGCTTTTAATAGTTCACAAAGCATGAGTACTCTCCCAACTTACAGTAAATCTTCTGCTTGTTTTCGTTTTGCGTAGAGTTTTAACAGCAGTGGAACCTAAAAAGACAAAATTGCCAAAAAAAACTTCAGACATTTGTGGTCAAAAATACCTCAAAAACCATGGAGAAAAAATCCAGCGAAGTAGCACCATTGAAACACTGCTGAACCAGATCCTTTCATGTTGTTTCTAGAAGTTGGAAATCAGATTTGAAAACCTACATTCCAAGTGCCCTGTCACCATGTAATCAGCATGAAAACTTTTCTTGTGCAGGAAGCAGTGGACTTGTTTTGAACTTTGGCATTTAACCATATCTTTTCAGCAGACAGGAGACCATGCAAGAGGCTACTAGAATTTGAATACAAGTACATTTATACAAGTACAAATGAATTACCAGACTATACAAACTATGAGTAAACACTCTAAACTAGATACCGGCATCTTTACAAGCATGTGCATTTAAAATATAAAAATAGATGCAAAAGTTTCTGCAGCTAATTCATTAAATTCCGATTAAAAGTTTGTTCAAGAAAGACTCATCAAAATTTCGTTGTAATGAAAGAGTTTCCAAAGTTGTCTCCAAAGCTGCAACTCTGTTTAAGTACTTTGGACATGACTCTCCACCTCTTGTAATCAAACTCTCCACTCAAACAGTCACAAGGAAAATAATAACACTTATGCCTTCAATATGAGCAATTTAAAATCTCTGTCAGTTTCAATTCTATTCTTGAGAAAAATTTAGTCTTGATCTTGAAGGAAAGCCCTTGTTTCATTAGAGGAGCATGTGACCTGAATGGAAACTGGATACACTACTCGTGAAAACTCGATGTGTGAGAAGCTGACTACAAGGGGGTCCAAAGTTCTCTTGAGTAGAAAATGACCAACTGATAGAACAATGTAGGCCCACATGTCTTTATGCTCTTAATGACAATCCCAGTACATGTTTGTCAAAGGTCAGGATGTGTAATGGAGCAATGTAGACACAGGAATCGCTGCCACACGGCTTCACCAAACCGATACCTTGGGTGATAAGTACAGGGTACCAGACGCATAATCTCACTTGTCTCTATACAAACATTGTTTCAGTTGACTCCACGATGTTGGGATCAGACTCACTTTTTCTCATGTCATTCCTGTATGTCAAGAAAGAAAGTGCTAATGTTCAATGAAAGGGGTTTGCCACATAGAAAAGGTTCCCCGGTGGATTGGGGGAGGGGAGTACATTTTTCACTTATTTTTAACTAATAAAAGAAAAGTCTAGGTCTGTTTCTATTTCCTTCCCTCCAAAAGCTAGTACAGGAATAAAAGGTTATGTCAAATATTTCCAAATTTCTTTGACCCCCCACAAATTTGTCCCCTCCCAACATTTGGCTCTGGATCCGTCCTTGAAAGGGTTTCTATCTGGAGGGGTTAGTTACTGACTAAGAAGCAAAACCTAGAAATGTTTAAGCTGCCATTAACGATTTCTGATGCAATCAGGAGTTTAAATGCTGTCCACCAGAATTAGAAGCCATTAATGCGGTGGCAAAATGCTCGTGGACAGGTGGTACGCGCGTGTTACATGCCCCTTCGACCAATAGGGTGTCGTGATTTGCCAAACACATCGACGCGTCGAGCTGAAGAATGTGTGTGGGAGCGTGGTGCCACCGCAAATATGGCATCTTATCGGATTAGTCTATATCCATGCTTTGTGACAGTGATACTTAAAAATAGATGGTTCCCTGAATCAAGCGCATACAGTTCCTTCTACTTTTATCTGGGCAGCTGTCTTGCCTTATCTCATTCACGATTAAATGACTCAATAACTTGGGAGTTGGCAAGTAGAACTGGTTGCATGCCCGTCAACAATGCCCATCAACAATGCTTCACTTCTTCAGGAAATTTGTTGCTGTGACAACCGCTGCCATGACAGTTGTTACAGGCTTTGTTGCTGGCGCACAACAGTAGCTATTGCAAAGAGTGGAAAAGCACCCGACTGAATGTAGGTGTATGACTAGCACTTCTTATGAGAAAAGTGTCCCGTCTTAGCATGGACTGGCCAATACAGTCTGGCAGTTCACCTGGTTGAGAATGAGATACCTTATGTTTGGTGAAGTGATGTCCGTGTGCCTACGGACTTTGGGCTGTGCTGGTGGGGGTGGCATAAGCTGTATTGTAATACAAACACACAAGGAGAGAAAGAGGGAAATACAGAGAAGTGCACAGTTAAATTCACACCACACAGTGAAAATCACTGTATAAGGCATTAGTGTGAGAATCAGCGTGAGTGTGCGTGTACATGTACTTCATTCGTTTACACTGCATTTCCTGGTTCAAAGTGATGTCACACTTCGGTACTCCGTAGAGCTGTATCAAACTAGGTGACTAACTGACTCCTCATGTCTCTGTGACAAGATGATGCTATGATGCTGTCCTTAGTGCTGACACTTTCAGTTCATCTGCACGTACGTTTGCAGAACAAAACTTAAACTGTAAATGCAACGTGAAAGCACAACGCACATAAGCACATTTTCTTCTTTAGTAGTATGCACGCATTGCTCGTAAAGACGAAAACAAAATGCTGCCATATCGGCTTTGATGCCACATTGATTTGGAGTATAGACCAGACATGCTGTATAAAGCTACACAAAATTTGGGTTCTCCACAGGCCTGTTCACCAATGTGGATGATCCAGCAGGCTTCACTTTCCACAGTAAGCACTCTATGCGTGTAACATGAGGATCAGTGACAGCTCTGAACAGGTCACTCTCCAGCAGTGACAATAGTGGCCCCAAATTACCTCTTCTTCATTGTTTCTCTGGTGCATGTTTTGTCATTTGGTCATAATGTGTAATTTGGTTTTCCTTAGTGCCTGAAAATGATGGTGCTTACTGTGTGTCTATGGGCTTGGTGGATCATTCAAATACACCAAAACTGGAGAGTTGTGATTACACTACTCAAAGACACCATGATTACAATGCCATCATATATCAACCGCACTTGGTAAACTTGACGCTGTGTGCCTTTGGCAAGTCACAGCACCCTATCTGACCCAGGCTGAAGTGCACCCCCAATTGGTGAAAAAAAAAAAGGTGGATACAAGTGGGTTCTTGCATGCGTTCTGCATGTATGCAAAGACCATATATGCTGGAGTAAATTAGTTACAAGTACCCTGCGTGCTCCGTGTCAAACGCACGCACAGTATACTTGCAGCCCTCATGGTGCACTTATGTGGTGAGTACCAAAAAAAAACCACGCCCTCCTTTGTTTCACTCGGAGCGGATTGGTTGAAGAAAAAGTTGACACATGCAAACCACCCACCCGTGAGTGTGATGCCATCACAGCGATGGCTTATTCTGCTTCCCTACGCAACCATGTCACCAATATCTCCAATGCTTCTGAAAACAAACTGCCCATCACCAATGTGCTTCCTGTGCCCCAAGTTAGTCTTCAAAACACACAGAAAATGAAGCAAAACAAGACCAAAATTCACCCTGCACATCTTTAAAGACAGGTGGACCATGCATTCCTCATTTGTGTCTTTTTTTCATATGAAGTAACAAGAGTACAAAATCTTAAAGACTGGTGCTTTAACAAACCAGATGAAGTTCTATCTCTGTGTATAGTATACAATGCGGTTAATGTGTCGTGAGTTGAAACCCACCATCTTGTGAGACAACTTAAACAGCATTTTGAACAAAATTCTCATTCAGCTAGTTTTTATCCACGTGACTTCACAGCCACTTGATTCTTGATACTAGGCCTACTGCATATAAATCCAACGGGGGATTCACAAAATTACATAGCAGACTGCACAGGGGCAACATTCATGGAAATTTACACAAATCTGTCCCTTGCCACATCTTGGAAATGACCTTTTATCATTTTGTTCCCCAAATGACAGCTTACAACCATGAATAATTTGCACCGTGTTTCGATTATCACCATCTTCAAACTGAGCACGATTTAAAGCAAAAGTTTGATTGGCTGATTTTCGGACAGTAGCAAATGGTCCATTCTGCCTTTAACACCCACGATAGTTCACAGCACCAATCGCACACATTTAAAACTGTCTTACGTAATCGACGCCGGTTCTCCGGTTCTTTGGCGGCTGCAACTTGGCATTGTCTGGTTCGTCCAGGCTGTCCGCTGAGCCCCATATGCGCAGGGAGTTGCGGATGGTTTCACGGAAGGAGGTGAACATGGAGAGGTGATGATGATGGTGGTGATGCTGCTTCTCGGGCGAAGTCTCAGCCAAGGCCATCAGTTTGATCCGAGGCGGTGAAGCTGTGAATAAAAGATCAAGCAGACACCTTTGGACAGATGGAATATCAGAACTTTTCAGACCAGAACCAGTTAACTGTGTATGAATCTATAGACCCATTCACAATAATGCTAAGTAGGCAGCTTCTCACATTGTATACGGCTCCTTTGATGAAAACTACAGCAGGTTTGTTCTTGGCATACAGGTCACTCTGTAAATTTAGGGTCCAGAGCATAAAACAGGACTAGATTGTCTACATATTGAGTCAATGAAATTCAATTTGATTAAACTGAAGCAGAAGCAACACTCCCGATTCCCATTCATCACTGCATGTGGGAATTACATCTGCACACACAAGAAGTGTTTCCATCTTTAGAATTTCTGATTGCCTTACAATGACTGCTGTTACCTGGACAGGGCAGTTTACAGAACATTGGTGTGAACTGTGGAATTAACTCCAGGGTATAACCCAAACTTTAAGCACTGTAGAATAAACACAAGTATTGAGGAGCCTTCCTTACTTGTTGGTGGAGTTCCTGTGAGCATTTCTGCAACGGGAAAGAACCAAAATTATATTAAAATTTGAACAGTACATTAACCATTCATAAACAACATAACAATCAGACAATAGCATCAGGGGGTGCTGTGTGTGATTGCATCCAAGAGTCAGTTCACACTTCAGACAAAAATTTAGAGCGAAGTGAATTAGGTCACAGACAATGTCACAATGAAAGTACACCCTTTGATCCCATGAGACTCATTTTGCTCTATGTGTAGGGTACAAAGAAGTCTAAATGAGCTACATCTCCCATTCCCCAATGTGAATTCCCACATCACTACTGCCACTGTCTCCCATGTTTCAGTCTGAATACACACCATTGCAACCATCAACCCAGCGCTCCAAAGGAACAAAACAAGAACAAATCTGTGACTTGAAGAAGTACCTCATCCTTGGTTCATTCAACAAGCTGACATGGTGTTTGTAGTGAATGCCGTGTGTGATGGTATGGCATGATGTGGCAAGAAGTTGGCACAGGATTTGACACCATTTGTCACAAGTAGCCTGCAGTTATTGCTTGCTCATACTGTCGTGTCATTGATTGCCACAGAAACACTTCTGTCCAGAGTCCATCACAGATCGAGTAAAGAGTGCAGTCATGAATGCCAGGAAACGAACGAGAAAGGATGCCTCTGTTTGAATGGACTGTAACCAGACTAGAGACTGGATAACTTGGGACAGACTTGCGAGGATTTGTGACTTGCAAGGATTTGTGACTTGCGAGGATTTGTGACTTGCGAGGATTTGTGACTTGCGAGGATTTGTGACTTGCAAGGATTTGTGAGTTGCGAGGATTCGTGACTTGCAAGGATTCGTGATGGACTCAACCACAGTACTGTCAAAAAAGTTTTTTAAGTTCCATCACTTTCCTTTGGCAAACATCTTGAAAGATGCTCAAATAGTACAATTTAGCAAGCTTCGGGAAGTCTGGGAAATAAACAGAAAACTTAATTTGTATATGAACAGCTCTTGGGAGAGTGGTTATGTCAATCCTGTGCTCTACCTTGCAACAAATGGATGATCATTCATATGACCGGTGAGTGAAAAAAATTCTTTCTTGCACTGAAAAGGATTAATTTATAAATTGGTGAGACCCCAGTTTCCTTAGACTTATAATACTCTAAGGAATTTAGAATTAAAAACTTCAAAGTTTGACTAAAGACAAACAAATACGTATCTGCAAACAAAATACAAAAATGAAGGAAAAGAAACTGACAGAATCAAACTTAAAAAAAAGATTTAAAGAATGCAAATGTTTCAGTTACAACTGCACAACATGCCTCAAAAGTGGAGTTGTGATGCAACCAAACTGCCTAGCCCAACTGAATGTTAATTGATCCAAAGAACTGCTTGGAATATCAGTCATTTGATACTCACAGAAATGAGTAACAATGCCAAGATCAAAGTCTTCACTAATCTACTGAAAGAGCACACTTTTTTTATGAATTGCACAAGAAAGGCAATTTTGACATGGTTGTTAATTTTTCAAATCACCATCATGCACAAAACGAATCTTTTTATTGCAGGTCTAACGTTAAATTTATCAGCAATATGCTCTGACAACACTGCATTTGCTCAATTAGATCACGTCATTGGCCTTAAAGTTCATCAAGAAGGCTCCAACATGGAACACAAAGCAATGAGCGAGTACAGAAAGAGTTGAAATCAACAAACTAGCAAGTAAACTTTAAGATCAAGTCTCTGAATGGATCAAAATATGAGCACTGCTTAATGGTACTATATGTGCAGAGGGAACTTTTAAATTTTTCAAAAAGGGGAAATTTGCTGAAAAAGCAGCACATTTTTTTGTGCAAAACTATCTTCAAAATTAGGGTGGGGTGGGGTAACATGGACGGGTCACTGTGTTTTTAAAGGCCTCACAAACAACTAAACACAATTACTTTTGTAACAACCCCCACCCAAAACACCTAATGTTTAAGGAAAAATGTCAACTTTGTGGTTGGTGTCTGGTTTTACCGTACAGCTCCAGCTCCCATAGTTGGAAACTTTTTACCGAGCGGGATCATTTTTTCTAGTCTTCACTTAGCCTTTTTTTTTTCAGACGATCACTTTAAATTCTGACAAAGAATTGAAATGATCCTGTCAGCTTAAAAATAATATGAATGATCAAAAGCAATCAGGTTAAATAAATTAAGTATGGGATCAGTTTTCAATTCATGATTAATCCCATAATCAAATACCTAAACCAATGAAAAAAATATTAGACTGATCAAATTTTAATCAGGTATACACATTGTAATCATTTACCAACTCCAGTAAAAAAAGAAAAAACAATCAAATGACATGAATCGATCTGTCAAATTCATCACTGAAATCTACTACTACACAAAGTGACACTGTGCATGCATAACAACCAAAGTACATGTACTGTTAGTGCATGGGTGGATATTAGGGAAGAATGAGGCAGAAGCTGGAAGTTACTAGCATTTGAGCTAAAAAGCCACAAGCGGAAGATGCATGGTCAATTTAATGATGGCAATTTTCTCTCCAGTGCAAAAAAGCAAACAAAGTGATCTCCACCCTTCTGATTTTGTACTTCAAATAACAAAACTTGGTTATTCCAATGAACCTATCATGTGAGTTTGAAATTTACAAAGTCTATTAGATGTAACCGATGACATTCATCCAACAACAGTTGAAACAGAACACAGTGCCAATCACCATTAAAAACTGCCATCATTATAAACTGAACACCCATCTTAATTAACGTGAAGCAATATGCAACTGTCTTACCTTCGCTGCTCCAACGAACACACCGACTCTTTGGAATTAATTATTTTTGCAACTTTCCTCGACAACTCTGAGCTTATTTTGAGCTCTGATTTACCAATTGGTAAAAAAACAGCAGATGTGATATCTATGCAAATGTGGAGTTAATCGCATACACACCACTGTTTATACACATTTAGTATTGAAAAGCATGATACACCGACTGAATTATGTCCCATTCTGTTTTGCTTGAATTGGAGACACTGTTAGCATGATTACAATGCAATATGATGACATTGTGTCTTCCACGACTTGGCAAAATCAGATTTGCTGCAAATATGCACATTTTAATTAAAAGTGAACAATTTCCATCAAAGAGTTTGAATGGAATAAAACTGCAATTGCTGAAGTAAAAAAATGTTAATTTTTTTTCCCACCACAATAAGAGTCACCATCCATCGCTTTCAATGAAATTAAAAATTCCGGTGAAAAATGACCACAAAATATTCCATTCACAAATATCAGCTAAGTCATACATCTACAATGATAGTAATCAAATCTCTGTCAATTTCTGATCAAGTAAATCATCGAGCAATTATGAGCAAATTCAAAGGAATTTCATGTTTTGTACAGGTTTGGGGTTTTGTTTCCAATGCACTTAGAAATAAATTTTTTGCACAAGAAAACATTGTACAAATTTCATTGCATCTATAAAGCACTATACACTCTTCTCTCAGCTATAAAAATTACACCCATACAACTTAAAATATATTACAGAAAAAGTCAACAAAAATTCAAATATTTCTACCATATTACCGCTGAATAATTATTTAATTTCTACATTCTAATTACCTAACTTTGTATAAGGTTCATCAGACTGATATGAATAAGGCTTGAATGCAATATAGTTTAATGATAACCTGTGTTAGAAAAAACAATTAAGTGATCAAAGGTATTTTAGATTCAAATTTATAAACAGTAATTATAGACAATTTTGAGATGTGTCCAAATCAATCACTTACTTCATGAGTTGTACTTAAAACAAGGGCTAATCCACAAACTTGTATGCGGGCATCCAAAAAAATTCTGAAATTTTTGCATGTAACCTTTTATGGCCCTTCTGAGGGGTGGGGTTAATTTCGAGGGCTTTTTACACACTAAGAAAAGGAACTGAACTGAAACAGATAAAAAATCTCCTCTCTCTCGTCATTAAACAAAGTCTGGTTCCTCTTTTTTTAGGGGAGGGGAGGGGTATGACCCCTATTGGCCCCCCCTGGATCTGCCTTTGACTAAAATGACCTTACCTGTACAAATCAGATAAAAATTCAAGTCATTCACATTAACAAACCTCAAACAACATGATAATGCTGTAAAACTGCAGGCCTCCCTTTTTCATCTGGTTTTTGATTAAAGCGCTCAAACAAAAAACTATGAAGGCATATTTATATATAATTATAAAGGCATATCCAGTACCCATAATTATTTCATGGGGCTTAAGGGAGAAACGACAGGCTTAGCTGAGAATTCCTTTGCATAAAATGGTCACCAATCAAAGTATTATGTACTGCAACTGATTTCAACCGGTTCCCTGTGGACTGGGCTGGCTCAACAGGTTAGAAATGCAGTATGTCACTACATCCCACAAAATGAGTCTTTTCATTCATTTTCCAAGTGCATTAAAAAGAGCATGCATGGTACTCCATTTTGACCAGCCAGACAGTTTGACCTACTCATGGATACCAAAATTACATGGCAACCGGAACTGAACAGTTTTTGAAACTGACTTCCATTGTGTTCCAAAATGTAAAAAAATGGCCCCCTCTGATGACTCTTTTTGTACCACTCAGTCATATCTACAGCAGCTGTCTGAGAATTAGCTAGCAGAGTTTTAAAAGTGCCGAAAAACACCAAATTAAGCACCGAAGAGATCCCAAGTTAGCTAGGCTTGAAAAAAGAAATAAAGGCAGTTGTCCAAGGTGCAATTTTGAAGAAGAAAAAGGTGAGGTGCTATTGGCAATAACCTTCCTTCACTTGTCACCCACTGCCCTAACAGGACACCGGTAAGGGCAAATATGCTTCACAACTTTTTGTGAAGGAGATACATCACAGCTATGGGCACACAATGCATTGTGGGTAGCTTGCAGTCCTAATCCAAGAGGGTAATGTCAGTGCACATGTTTAATGCGTGCGAGGAGCTCTTGGCCCAAGTTATTGTTCAATGAATTCCGTCCAATGAGTGCTTGACAAAAATTACATCAATGTTTGCTCTTCACAGTGTAATGTTTGGGCGGTGAGTGACGAACAAATTATCTTCCATGCCCATCTTTCTCTGAAGCAAAAGACTTACGCAGTCTTCCCACCATACAGCCAATAGACGCACTGAACCTATTTAAGTCTCGGTGAGTACAGAGTAGTTAAACCCTTCCATAAAAGTTAGATCAAAATTTGTACCTGACTTACAAACCTGTAAATAGGGTTGGGAGAAATAAACATGTCATATCCTGCCCAAATAATCCACATCACTCAACACAAAACCTGGCAATATTTTGGGAGGGTGTCTCCATAAAATTAATTCAAACATCAATTACTATGTTGATTTGGTCCATTTATCGCTTTCCTGATAAAAGCAATGAGCATTTATCATCAGTTCAGCAAGGGTTCTCATTATTATGTAATTTTTGTGTCAATAGAAAAGTACACAAAAGTATATGCATACATTTACAAACGCATACCACTTATATGCATCGCAACCGTACTTTGTAGTTATGTCAGGACATCAATAATTTGATTAAAGATGGTCAACAAGCAGATGGTTTCTGAAGTGGGGGGTTTCTCTCTCGGTGAACATCATGCAGCCTGATATTTTCTTCATAGCAGGCTACGTAAGTCTTTCTGATTCATGTCACTGGAGAACATTGACTAAACAACGTGTACGCAACGTGCAGATGCCAACAAGTGTTCATGGGGCGCATGTTCCTCGAAGTGCCAAGTGATGCTGAAAAGCATGGCCGACGTTGATCGGATGGGATGAGTTTTACTCGGAGGGAACTCGTTCTCAGCATTCTGCAACGAGTAGGAGCGGGAGCGGAGTCACAAATTGGAACCAGCCAATCAGCAATCAGCGGCATCAGCAACAATCCAAGATGCATCCATGATGCAGCCAAGCCTTTCATATGAAATGTGCTTTTTTTTTCCCTTAACCTTCGATCAGTGCTCGTAAAAAGGGCGTGCAAGGTAGGCATCCGTGGATGGAGCAACTCACTCATGGAAAACACATACACACGCACATGCAATTTGCAAGCATGGTTTGAGTAGTCAGGGTTCTCAACACCGAGTCTCAAGAAATACGAGTATGAAAGACGGCAAAAATCACAAATGAGAATTTTCCTCTCCATGAAAGGTTAAAGATATTCTAGTCCTTGTTAAAATCTCAAGTAAACCTTACTGTGCGGTGGTAAAATAGGCAAGGACCAAAATCATCACTGCTGTGTTGACTGGGTACATGGAATGAGCAGAGAAATGAGTCTTTGGCCATAGAACTTGAAAAACTGTATAAAAAATTGCAAAGAGGACGGACTCAATTCCTGATCCTTCTGTACTAACTGACATTTTCAGCTTTTTTGTGTCCTCAGCTACATGGATTTCTTCTCTTCATCAAAAGCCTCAGAACTCAACTTTCTTCGTATGTTTAATTTCAGCACACCACTTTCACTTCCAGATTCTTTGTAAATTTAGTGAACTTGACAGCAATTACTATGTCGGGTTGTGTCAGGAATAGGCCTCTGTACTGATGATGTAGCATTGCGTTTTCATGGGCATTTTCCTTATGATAATGTATTCAAAGTGCCATGGAAGTGTAACATGTAACCGAAGTGAAATGTCATCAGTACACCGGTGTCCTGCAACCATGAACAATTGTCTCCTTTGGCATAGATATCTTGACCACAGGATACCGGCTAGGATCTATCAATGCAAATGACACATCTAATGAACCAGTCTTTTCAGGTCTATTACCAGGCACCTCTATGGGAAGCAAAGTGAACAAGTCTAGTCAGATGGAGGAGGCACAATTTGACAAACCACGCTCTGTTGAGAACCCTCACTCTGTCTCATGGAGAGTGGATGAGGAACATTCTACTCTGACATTCATGATTGTGGAATGGTAAAGACTACATGCATTCAAATGCTTTGATATGAGGGCATTTCTACAGTTCCAAACATTCAAAGGATACTACAATTTCCCTTTCAGTAATCTGCCAAAAGGTGCTCTCATTCACACTATGGGGGGGTAGTTACTGGCATTAAAAGGGTGAAGTACTGCTGCGTAACCTACTTTTACTCACTACATGGTAACCTGTTCTACAAATAGCATTTGGTCAAAACCACCCTAGCTATTTATTTCAGAAATTCAGTTGTCACACTCTTTGCCCCATCAAGTTCAACAGGGTGCACCTGTACAGTCAGTTTTGGTGGATGTGTCTCCTAACGGCACACAGCTAATGTATCTATCAGAAGTCATGCAAAGAGACATGCAGGAGTAGAGCTTGAATTAAATTGCTGAATAACAAACATCTACAACTACTTCTCTATGCTGCTGGACTCATAAGAATCACAGACATTACTTGGCAAAATGCCAAGCATGTTTCACATGATCTTCTGGCAGTGTTGTGGTTGAGACTTCTGGTGACCATCACAAGGCAACCACAAGACCCCCCAAGATCAACAAACCAATACAAGAACCCCCCCAAGACCATCAACAGACCAACACAAGACCTCCAGTCTGAAATCAAGTCATAAGCTATTCAAAATTCTAAATGAACTGCAACAAAAGCATCCCTTTGTCATTGGTAACCCATTACTTGTGACTGGTCTTGCATGTGATCTAGTGTCTGGTCTCAGTCAGAGAGGTTTCAACTACAATACTGTCTTCTCGTAGTACAGAACTGTAAAATATACAATACACTTCTCTGATGAGCAAATCACACGAAAATACAATCAAATGTACACTAATTACAATTATATTTTTGTGACAAGCAAAACAATGACAATACAGCAAATCCCTCTTAGGAGGAACTTTTTTCTACCTTTTATCTACATTAGGCTCTACACTGGCAGTGGAAATCAGAGGCAAACTATTCTCTCTGTAAAGAAACAGGCTCTGCAAACATGAGGATCTTTTTTGGGAGGGTGCTAACACCAAAACCACTCGATAAAGCCTTTTTACGATGGAAAAAAAAGAATTTATGTACTGCTTTTACTGATTGAACGTGGCCTGAAAAAGAGGTTTACAACGTTCCTCATGCTGAAATATTTGATGAATACATCAAAACATCAAAAATGACTGGTGACTCATTTCAGAAAAAAAAAGCCACAAACACAACTACATCAAATAAACCAGACTCGTGCTACATTATGCATGGAATACACATACATGTACATATTTAATAATGCTCAAAGTTAAGCATGGCACAGGATTAAAATTAATATGAAACATTCCCATTACCAGGAAACTGACAATAAATACCAGCTGTTAACTGACTCTGTTAATTAAGAAATGATGAATAAGTATACCAGCACCACCAAATGTAAGTTTTGCCCACCAAAATACAAGTTGTCAACAAAAATCCTGCTTTAAAATGAATATTCTTCATAAAAATTTAACTATGGATTCTCCTATTCATTAAAAAAAGATCACAGAAATCCAATTTCCCCCTGGTCAGTATCCACACAGCAAACAACTATTAGTGACATCAAGCATTTTAGGGAGTTTTGAAATTCATTTCGGGTCGGTCAAGGTATTTTTGAGCACGTCTTCTTTGGTCTGTCAAAGTTTATGTGTGAAATGGATGTACGTTTGGGAAAGGGTACTTGCTCAGTTCCATTAAAAGCACATATTGAGCTGCATGCGTCTTATGCTGAGCTCTTCTAGTAAATCACTATTGTCTTCGAACTAAGGCATCCATTTCTAGTCTAAAATCACTTCTCTGCAGTACGCACTCTTCAAGGTATGTTCACTTTAAAAAGTCTCATTAATCAATGGAATGATACGTTTTGAAAGACCCTGTGTATTTTACTACTTTTTGGCATAAGATTTGAAAGAAATGCTAAAACAGAAAATAATCAAAAATTCACAATCAATGTATGATGTTAAAATAGAAAGACCCTGTCTGATTCTTCAAAAGAATTTTGGAAAAGTAATGCTATAAATGCAACAGTTTCTAGGATAAAACTAAAGATATATACAATTTTAAAAAATGCTGCTTTTTTGAAGAACTCAGAGTTTACAAATTTGTTGGCAGATCCGTCAGAGTACCATGGAAATTTGGATAAAAATTTCGGAATACAAATTAGTTAAAACCCTAACAGGTAGGCCACATCCTTATACAGTTGGAAATTTGGCATTAGTCTAGGAAAAGCTCAGTCCACCAGGTAAATCTCAGTGGCGTGCTTACTGTTCCGTCGTTTTAGACTTGGGGAGTGCCTGAGCCCCCTGCCACCACTAGGGGTGCTCTTGGCCGCCGGGGTGGGGTGTCTCTCACTCTTGGACCTACGCACGGCCGCAGGCCGCTTGAAGGATAGCCTCTCCATGGCCCGGGTGAATGAGCTGCCCGGGTTGTCCTCTGGGGCCGGTTGTGCGCCGGTGTCGGGATTATTGTGAGCGCTGCGGCTGTGAGCGAGGCCATTGCGGGGGGCGGAGATGGAGGAGGTGGAGAAGGAAGGGCTGATGGAGGGGGTAGAAGGGTAACAAGAAAAAGGATCTCTCTTACGTTGCATGTAGGAGGAGGCACCCGTCTTCAGGTAGTGGCGAGCTTTGCGGCCGCTGTAGTCCCGGATGTTGACGTCGGCATCTGCTCAAGAACCAGAGCTAAGATTCAAATTCTGTTTGGCATCCTTTCCCAGAATATCATCATCGGTCATGACGTATTCACAAATGAAAAAACTGGAGGATTTTAAGCCGACTGATGGGTCCAGTCTGCTTTTACAAATGGTAAACTTTGCCAAAGTCAGAATTTGGTCTGCCACATGTTTTCATTCTGTCAGCAAAAGCCCAATACGCAAGTACCTTGCTGATTCTCGTTAAAACTGCCAAAACCAGTCTTGGCAACATCTAAGCGGCCTGTCTGTGATAATTCCCAGCACACCTCATGCAAATGAATCACATGCACGAAAGCTGAATCAATACACACCACAGGGCATCTACATGTCTCTGAGCGATCCAGGTGCACTATACAGTGCATGCAATATCATGCACATGAGGTCTGCTTGGAATCGCTCTGAAAGGCATGCCAGATTCCGCCAAGACTGGATTTGCTTCAGCTTCTAGATAGTGCCCAACCCACCTACTCTGACACAAACCTGGCAAATGGTCCACAACTGTCGGATGCCAGACTGTGATTTTGCTCTGTGCTGTATTGTGTCTGTATCCCCCCCCCCCGTCGACAAATGAAAAACTAAATACAAGCCACCAGTTCCAAGGTCTATTACATGAGTCAGTGACATGTAAACATGGAACTTACGGTAATCCTGAATGAGGAACTGCATGATGGACTCTTTGTTGTGCATGGCAGCTATGTGGAGCGGTGTATAACCCTGCAACCAACCCAAGAACCAAGCAAGAATACTACTTAATGATATGACCCTTGAAAATGCACCCATACGTCTCAATTCAACTTATTTGCAATGTTTGTTTTGCTACTTTAAGCAATTTTCACTGAGCGTTTTTGGTTTTTATCCTTATGAGTATTTCATGTTCATGAGAAAAACTGTGAAATCATACGGTGTAGCAGTCTCAGCCGTCTCCCTGTCTCCCGGTCTCAGCGGTCCCCCCTGACGTAGCTGGACACTTCAGCATGACACAAGCACGGTCTCGTTGGTCTTCCGTGCTGAGATGACTAACTCGCACGGTACTATAAGCGGTGCTATTATCTTTGGTGTAGGCTTATGTACAGTACACGTCACGTACAACATGAAGCATGCATGGACTGCACTGCTCAGCACGCCACTTGAACCGACGACTTTCCCGTTGTTGTGCCCAGAGATGGCATGACGTATTTTTACCATATTTAGTAAGGGGGACCGCAGAGACCAGGAGACAGCTGAGACCGCCAGACTGGGAGAAAACCTAAAATATTACACTGATCTGTGCACAAAAAATGCTAGGATTTTTAATGTTTTACTGGCCTAAATTTCTTTTTCTTTGGGGATTCAATTGTTTGTGAAAGCAAGCAATCCTTTTGCAGAAATGTTCTCAATGAGCTCGTTTTCATTTCATAATCTGCATAAATCCATCTCTGAAAAATTTCAAATTGAAAGTAATTTTCTTAGTCTTTTTGTCAAAAATTATACAAAAATGAGCAAACTTACCCCTTGCTGATATGTGACAATCATCAAAGTGGTTGCAGAAAGAAAATAGGAAAATTAAAATTCTTACAGAATTGGGCTTATCAATCTGAAGTGCATAAACACAGATCTTAAAATATTTCCGAACAGAATTTACAACTGCAAAAGTGTTTTACCATCTTAACACGTGCATTCCAACTGCAGCCATTTTTTGAAGAACTTTTAAACACTCTTCAAAAACACTATGCATGAAAGTAATCCTTAATGCCTAACTGTAAGTCTATAAAGTTAGGCATTCCACACAACACTACCAAATGAAAGATAGAGTTAGGCAAAACTACACCTCATCCATGATTCTCTATGGACCATCTGGCTACATTTGTGGAGAGTTCCTTCACAATCAGGCTCCAATGGTAAACTGTTTTAAAGAATACTTTTCTCGGGTAAATAGTCATTCTTAAATAGGTATCAAGAACAAATTTTTGATCTTGTAGTTAAGTTATTTAAACTTGTTCGGTTCTGCCCTCTGTCAATGCATATGTACTCCAGTTCTTGCTTGTGATGCTAACAGACCTTTGTGAAAAAAATTCTTGATTTACATTACCGCTTATAAGAGACTGTGATAATTGATGTCATTGATAATTCAACGGGTGACCACTTACCGATTTGGAGTTAACATCTGCTCCTCTGTCAGCCACCAGTCGTATCATTTCCTTCTTGCCATGTTTAGCTCCCCAGTGCACAGCAGTCTAGTTTTTCAGATTACAGAGAAATAGAAGACATAGAGTTTCAAGAGCATCAATGAAACTTTGTATCAGTTAAGTGCATGGACAGGGGTGCAAGGTAATGGGCGAAGGGGCTGTGCTGTGTTTGCACAAACGACACTACTGTTCATGCACAATGTTCCATTGGACATATATGCTCACGGAGAAGACAGTAGGCCTATTCACCAGCAACCATTGAATACATGAGCTGTCATCGTGAACTAAGGGAACTTGATCATTTGTACTTGTGTGTATGTGAAGCATGAACCAGCCTTTCAATGCTTCCCATAAGTCAAAAATTAGGGTAGGGAGAATAAAACCTCCTGTAACCTGCTCTAATGGCACGACAATTTATGCCAATTTGATGGCTCACAGGAGTTACACTACATGGTAGGATAGTGCAGTTGGATTTGAACCTGCCAGTTCAGACCTGCCATTCCAGAGTTCAAATACAATTTGAAGAAATACAAAAAGGAAGGGAAATAAGAACGGGCAGAGAGACTACGCAATAAGGCAATAATTAATTTATTCTGGTGCAATGGATGTGATAGAGTACATGTCCCAATTGCCACCTGCATTTTGTTCATGAGCATGCACTCTCTGGGCCTGTAACGCTTTGCCCGGATATGGATCAGTGATCCCGCACTGGTTCACTGGCACCAGACCTCGGCGTTGGGATCACCAATCGAGATCCAGATCCATGTCAAATAAACATGTCCCTGATGGTGTCCACTCAGAGGTAACGTGATCTTTTGGAAGATTTCACGAGGAGAGGTCTCACCCATTGAAGTTTTGCAGCCCAACAAAATACATAAAATAATCTTCGCTATTCTTATGAGAGAAGAGTTCAAATTCACACTCTCCTTGAACACGTATTAGACAAGAAGACTGAACCCACACTACACACAAACTGTAGATAAAAAAAAATGACTGAAGTGGGACTTGAACCTATGAACGCTAAATGTCTGTTCACAAACAGAGCTATCAATCTATAATGCACGGTTGGAAATCCTCAGTAGGTCAAGAACTACCTGTAGTGTGTACAACATTCCTGTGTCATGGGCCCAAATTCCACTTCATTCAATGTCCTCTCAACAAGGGATATACAAGAGTCCAGTTTCCTGTTTTATGGAATGCATGTACATAGCATGTGTGAAATTCCCTCAGCATTTGTGCCATAAAATTGTTCATAATACTGACAGCAAAGAGATTCACACAAATGCGCTGCCCAACCGTAGCCCCAGCCCAGCTCTGGTTACCAAAGGGCTCATCTCAATAGGTAAAAACTGGTAGATTTTCCCAAGAGGTCACCGGTTCGAATCTCACTTGTCCATTTTCTCTTGCAAATTATGCAGGAAAAAGATGCAAATTCAAGCTTGTGTGGAATGTAGGTTGAAGTCCATAAATGTTAAAGATACACCACAAACAAGTTGCTGGCCAAAAAGTGGACAGAAATAGGATTCGAACCTCCAACCTCAAGAACGCTGCACCAGCACTCTACCAAGTGTCCTTTAAAACCACAATCAGGCCTTGATCATTACCTCAGTAGGAGCAGAACCACTGGGTACTCCTAAGAAGTCACAGGTAACAAAAAGTTTAAATTTTTTGGCTGATCCAGAACATGGATTGGCACCGTAAATGTTCAGCTGCGCTTCTCCAAACCAATCACACACATAAAAACAACAAACAGCAGGGAGTATACATTACAGACAGAAAAAGAGCCAGGCAGTGGCTTGCAGTTCAAAGGCTACAAATGGGGAGGGGGGGCTGAGACAAAACCCAAACTACAAACAGGACAATCAGTCACTGCCTAGGGGCTGTAAATATGTCTGGTCCAGTTCCTAATACAAGCCCCAATTTATGTTTCATAACATGCACCCACTTTATGTAAAAAACAATGAAAACACGATCTTCTTTGGGGGGAAGATAAACGTTTTGGGGGGAAAAAGGGACCACCTAGGGTCCGCCAATCTTTCCACTGCTGCATTTATTTTTCGAAGGTAATTGCCACCACCGTGACATATTTATGTTACAGCAGACAGATCTAGTAGCCTATGTTTAGTAAACTCTGCAATTGACCTCTGACCTCAGTTTTGACTGATGTACTTTTGTTTCTGTTCTCCCTTTCCAGGTTCCACTCTGAGATAGGACAGAGGTTGTAGTTTTGAGTGTGGAGGTGACTGTACTTTATTTTTCGGTGGAAAGTTATTTGGAAAGAAAACACCCAGGAGTCATGTGGAAACATGTAAATCAAATATTGATGAACACGAGGGACCTTCTGCGCATATTAGCAATATTGCAACACTGCCTTTTTTCCCCAGCCAGAATTTTCTTTCATTTACAATGATGTATGAATATCTCCATTATGATTATGCAAATCCATGTTTGAAATATAGTGCACGCTTGTGACTGGCACTGCAGTGGCAACATTTGGGGAGGTAGCAAAACTGGTATCACCACATTTAAACGATCCTGGCACAATCCTGTGCAGATGATCTGACATGTGAATAACAATTACCAACTGAACCTGAACAATTTCAGTTTGATCTTTGGGTTGATTTGTCATTCTCCAACTTCCAATACTATTATTATTAATGTGACTTGCTCTAGAAAAATGGGTAATAAGTCGCCAGATTCAAGTTGTGAGTTTTTGATAAGGCTGGATTCTGTACATCAAAGGCTACAATTTAATATTTGAATGACCCCCGTAGTGCGCTGCATTCTGGAGATATATAGACATCTGTATATCCACATTTTCGGATTCAATAAAAGCACTTTTTGAGAAAAAGCTCTTGAAGTGTAGCGCTTGGAAACACACGAAACTCTCCAAATAGAACAGGCCATTACGTGTTTTGGCATTGCCCGACTCATAACCCTTTTTTGCAGAGCTGGTCACAGATTATTTTTATTCGACCATCACAAGAACAAAGCATTACAAAATTGAGCAAAAAGTACAATAAACACCCCCTCCCAAAAAAGAGATAAAAAGTAAGCAGTAGCAGGGATCATGGACGAAAATCCCAATACATGACAAGACACATATACAACTGTAAAGTGACAAAATGCCATCCTTAATAAGCAGCAGGCTATTCCCGGAAACAGTAGAAATAATTCTGAGTCTGAACCTTTGCATGGAGAGATTTCCTGAAATGTTTAGCTAATGACATAATTTAAAAACCAAAAAATATTTGACGGCTCAATAGACCTATAAATAACAGGAACAAAATTCATGGATTTATTGTCGCTGTCTTAAGACGTTCATGTTTTCTTTTTACCTTTGACCCTCTGCGCAAAATTAGTTAGGCTTACACGATTTGCGAACATTATCTGCATAGATTCCATAACTGCAGTTCTGTTATAAATGAGTATCAATTCCCTCCAACTTGTTACGGGGTTTTTGACTTTCAGATGGCACTGTCATTGTGAAAAGTGCCTCCTCTATTGGTTGAATTCTTCTGATGACATGCATATGCAAAAAGAAAAGGAAAAATGAGGGAACTTTTGGATCAAGACCGAGGTTCTTGGAGCTGCTTGGCCAGAATGTTGCTTAGCGTAAGTCAAGTTGAAAACCACTCAGGAGGCAGCCTACAACGCATGTCCTTTGCATTGGTGACCTGCTGTTTTACTAAGGATACACTCTCTATGCTCAGCAGATCCGTCTGTGATTAGGAGCTGGAATCAGCCTAATGTAATCGTGCTCACCGAATATCAACAAGAACTGTCTTATTAGCTCCGGGTAAGTTGCCATGTTCCAGTTTGGTGGGGGCTAGGGTGGGGATGTCGCCAGATAATTTGTCAGAAGACGGACAACCACGCCGACCAACTTGTCTTCCCACCACTTTCAACAAAAACAAAAACATATCTGACTCAAACATACCTACATGTTATTGATGTTAGGTCTCCTTCCCCCAATGCACTGCATCCCCCCCCCCCCCGACAGATTTATAGCCAGCTCAAACAACACAGCCGGGCAGTTGGGGGAGTGTGCACGCTTGACAAACTGCATTTTAATACAATCCATGTGTATTTGTGTTACATTTGTCATTCCACATTTCCCAGTTGAAATAAACAGCCGCGGCAAAACTCTGCACTGGAGACAGCATGTTACTGAGAATGGGCTCATCAAAACAAAACACAAGCAAATAAACATGCAGTGGGTCCAAATTCCAAGAGAGTAAATGGAGCCGCAGATTTTAAATGCTCCGACCTCTTTGATTTACTTTCAGATTTTTTTTTTTTAAACCCGATCCCAGTGGATCTCATGACAGGAGGGACAATCCTTCTCAACTTCTCTACTGTCTTATTTTATGTGCATTTGGATGGACTGAGCAGGTTGAACACAAAACTCACATTTAAAATATGCGCCCTGAGCCTTTGACCAGCATAACAACCGTCACATCACATGTTTAACTTCCATAGTGTAGACATTTCTTGTTTTCGTGCATTGATGAAAACTCTGTGATACTACTCAATATTTCTTTTGAAATGGGAACTTGATTTTAAGCTGGATTGAAAAGAAAAGTTACCTTGACTGTTGCCTCTTCCTTTTACAACCGATAACCCTCATCCCAAAATGCCTAATAACCTCTTTTTCAGAGAAGGGGAACCATCCTGTGGATGTGGGTCCGCAGAAAGTCTTCCTGCCTACGCTCCGTGGGCATCTTTTATTCTTGAGTTCACACTAGGAATGTAAGGTTGGCATCTCTGATCTTGATATACAAAGTATTGACTGGATAGTGTATGCAGACCAAGGACTAGACACCGTTGGGTGCCAGCTTTGCAGGCCAGACTAGGTCTGTTCAAATAAAACTTGTCTACATCTTAAACCAGTGAATTACTTATTATCACTTGATACTTCTCAGAAACATGGAAAACCACAGCAATGAAAGTCAAGGCAGCCATCTTTGGAGGCCCAAAAATCCAACAATGGAGGCATCATTTGTCATCTTTAACATGAGCACACACTATCCGATCAGTAT